TTTCAGCACTTTAGTGTATTTGACAATTCTGAATTTTAGGACTAATCCCTGAATGGGATCTTATCTACCGTATTATTTTGTAAAACTGACAAGATATTTCATTGGCGCTGATTTGTATTAAATCATCGACATTGCTTTTAATCCGACTAAACTTCATGACATAGAGACATGTCTAGACCTGGAAGGCACAATGGTCCACGCGGTACCGTACAAAGGAATATGAGCATGTTGACATAATCATTAGAGGTGTGTAAATATTTGGTAGAGGAAGGCCTACGGTGGTGAATGTATTGCGATTTGGTCCAAAGCCTTTTCTTCTAACATCCAATTGATCTAGCATTTTCTTACTTAGTTCATCTTCTATCCACGAAGCCAATTTTTTATTTGTTTAAATTTTATTTATCACTATTCTTTTTCCTTTTTATTTTCGTATTATCTTTCTCGTACATTACCAGTCAGTCTCATAAGCGACCCGTTTATTGAAGAAACATTTAATACCATTCTGTCTAATAAGATGTACATCCACCACCATTTCGTCTACATGCAGTTCGTTCATCGGTCTTTATGATATTCCCATTTAGCTTATTATTGCTTGGTTTGATGACAACAATTGTATTATTTTCTCGCTCTCTAGCTGTATTTGATAGGTGAAAGTAGAAGTAGGAGGAAGCGGAAACATTTTATCCGTATTTTCGTTCTGTGTCATCCGGCACACGAAGCATGGTGAATAAAACTGTGCTTGCTATGAAATAGTAGTAGCCAATAGAAGAACGATTATTGAGAATGCTTCCACATTTGTGTAAAATATATTTAGAGCAGAATTAGTTGGGTGATAACTATTTTGAAATCAGATCGTCATATTTGTTTCTAGGGACGGTATATGTGGGTGTGTATAATAATGTTTGAAATGTTCTTTACATTACTGAAGTTATGTACTTCAGATCAGTGATAGTCTATATGCAACTGGTAAACATTTACGAATATTGATCATTCTGTTCAACCACTGTTACTTAACTGAAACATGCTTTTTTCATTTAAAGGTACCATGTCCCATTTGCAGGTCAACAAAATAAAAAGGTTAAATTCCAACGGCATTTTAAAGATAATACTAATTTAGAAGTTCCCTAAAAAAATTAGGCTTGAAAATGTCTTAAAGTGGGAAAATAACGACTATTAGTTGTCGAATCGACTTAGGAGCTATAGAGCCAGTAAGTAATAGTCTGATTTTCAGACCATTGTACCGAACGGTAGTACGTTTTATGCTGCGCAAAGATTTAATCAGTTTAATTTTGGCCATTACAAGAAGTGGGTTATTGATGTAGACAAATGCTCATGTACCCTTTACAGCTCATTTTATGTATGTTATTACATAAGAAGAAAAGAAGCCAGTCAGTAGCTCAATAGTGTCTGACGGTGAAGTCTAGCAAATAAACGGGTTTCCGTGCATAATTTCAATATTTGGACACTGCTAACGTTAACATTTCATAGATAGGACATACATTTCATATTCATAACTCCTGCAAAGTTCTACATAATTTGATGTTGGCTGCAAAAGGGATATTGTACCTTTAATGGATTTTTAAAGTTTTTAAAGACACAATTACCATGAACTTTTTGCCGCAGTTTTATTGACACGTCCTCGGATTGCAGATGACATGGTTTGCGGTTCAAGTCCCGCCGCGGCATTAACGTCTTTTGTCAAGAAGTCAAATTACATAACCACTCTCCACCCAGGTGTAGTAAAAGGGTACCTGGTAGGAATATATTCCTCGAATGCTTTCAGCGCCTTTGGGTAGCTGGGCTAAAGCAAGGATGACAATATTTGTTTGTACTGGGGTGGATATGTTTAAATGTAGCTGCATGCATTGTAGAACAACGTAGATCAAAACTACAATTTCTAGTTTATAAATTAATGAAAGAATAACAGCAATCCGTGATTATTGCATATTGCTTGAAAAGATTAAAAACTTTTTATGAATAATTTGGAATCCTGTTATAACATTCTGTTCATTACAATAAGAGAAATGTTGTTGGTTTCTTGGTTTTTCATTATTTCACAATCCACTAATAATGTGATTTCAATTGCATTTATTGATGCCAAAATTTTTGTTCTCAGACAGTTCTTGCGCTAGCTCTTCTTAGAATATAATTTTGAAATAAAGATAAGGGGAGAAATAGGCCAGAACACCCCCATAAAAAAACTGCTCACGATTTTGAAATAATTGAGTTTATGAAAAGGATGTCTTTCTATTATTGTAGGCGGACATATTGCTGAAGGTTATCCTTTGTTTAATATGCTGAGTCATATTAGAAATAACTTGATAGACCTCATACTTTTCACGTACGTTTATTATGATAAATAACATTCTGATCTTTTTACGTCGGGGGGCGGGGGGGCGGATTCCAACATACATTACACGTTTGTATAGAGTTTTAGCAGTTTTTTTCCTTCAAAATGAAGCAAAAAAGGGAGTCCGGAGGAAAACAACTTCCTGAAAGAAAAAAAAATATTCTCACCCAGGGCTATAGGGATTTCCGAAATCAAGAAAGGCGCGTATATTTGCACCTAAAAAAAAATTACCGTTTATTGCTGAATCATACTTTCCTGTATAATGATAATAATAAACACGTTACTTATAAAGCGCTTACCACCGAATTCTAAAAGCGCTATAACCAACAAAATAGATTGATAAACTATTCCATTTTAAACAAAACAAAAAAGTGCAAATACACCTACAAACTACAATACATAAAAATACACATCAAAGCGAACAGGGTTAGTTAATCATCAAAAGCAATTTTTAATAAATGTGTCTTGAGACAAGTTTTGAATTGGTTTGACAGTTTGATAGTTTTTGACATTTAAAGGTAGTCTGTTTGAAAGTTCAGACTTGTGGCATTGATATCAGTCAGTAATTTGATTTGATTCGATTTGAATTAGCCCTATGTTAAATCATAGTCAGTATAAATTCATCCCCTTTTGGCAATTCTGGATCGTTCCCTGATAATAATACTAATATATAGCGCTCAATGCATCGATCCGACAATGTGCCTAAGCGCTTTACAGATATATTATTACCCCGGTCATCAAATTCAGGCTTACCCGCACACAATGTATGCACATTTTCCACTCCCTAGGGCATGATCTATTCATTCATCCCCCCCCCCCCCTGATGAATAGGTATTACGTAAGGATCGACACCCATGCCCTAGGGAGCATTCCAGCCAGTCGCCATTTTACAAGCGCACACTTGCTCGTCCAACCACGTGAACGTTCGCATCCTGCTGGTTACCCATTTAACACCTGGGTGGAGAGTAGCAAGTGCAGGTAAATATCTTGTCAAAGGATATTAGTGCCGTGTCGGGATTCGAACCCTCGACCTTCGCATCTCCAGTCAAGCGCCTTAAACCACTCGACCACGACACTTTGTTGATATCTGATCAACAAAGCCTTGGTGTTACTGGTATACCATTTTAGATAATTCAATGGTCTGTTTGCTTTCCTATTCTTTCATCAAATTTAACTGTCTCCAAAAGTTCCGTATTTTCGGTCGGGATAAACACAGGCTCAACAAAGCGACTTTTTGAATAAATTCCCCATATTTGCGTCTTCTATTCAATGTATTCAATAATACAAATATGGTTTTTATTTGGTCGAGGTCAGCAATACCTAATCCTCACAGTACAGTGTCTGTCAAAAAATAAGACTCATATCGTTCAAATAAACCTCGTTCATATATGACGCGGTAAAACAGCGGGGTGACGTATATGCGCTTCAAGTCCCTGTATTTCACAAAACACAGCTCAGTGAAGACGCGCAGGACAAATATTGCGCGCAGTTGCCATTCATTGCATTTAAACGTTCAAAAAATACCGCGGCGAAATTTTTGCAGCGGTTTACCGCGGCTTATCTGAACAAGCCCATAATCCGGTCACCGAGGGAATTTTTACGAGACTGAAGGTTCAACAGAATGAGAGCCTGCCAGTGAGAATACGTATATGTTACATATGATTTATTATGTAGGCCTCATGGTGAAACTTGCAAAAGTTTAAGAGACCAAAGGTTGGGCTGGCTTGCCTGGACCTTGTAGTATTTTAGAGGGCCATTTGGCAGAAAGTTCACGATAATGGACATTAGACCAAAGGTGGGCCTTTGGTCTTGTAGAATTTTGATCTTGTGGGCCTTCGGTTTTTTATGAGCGTCCAGTCTCGTGGTTCTCCAATCACAGGCGTATTTGGTCTAGTGGGCCTCTAGTCTCATAGGCGTTCGATCTCGTGGGCCTTCGGTTTTATGGGCGTTCAGTCTCGTGAGCCTTCAATCTCGCGGTTCTCCAGTCTCGTGGGTATTCGGTCTCGCAGTTCTCCAGTCTCGTGGGTATTCGGTCTCGCAGTTCTCCAGTCTCGTGGGTATTCGGTCTCGCAGTTCTCCAGTCTCGTGGGTATTCGGTCTCGCAGTTCTCCAGTCTCGTGGGTATTCGGTCTCGCAGTTCTCCAGTCTCGTGGGTATTCGGTCTCGCAGTTCTCTAGTCTCTTGGGTATTCGGTCTCGCAGTTCTCCAGTCTCGTGGGTATTCGGTCTCGCAGTTCTCCAGTCTCGTGGGTATTCGGTCTCGCAGTTCTCCAGTCTCGTGGGTATTCAGTCTCGCAGTTCTCCAGTCTCGTGGGTATTCGGTCTCGTGGACCTTCGGACTCATGGGAATTAGACCATTTAAACCTGGAAGTTAATACGCATCGGTCTGACCCAACTTTGGCAGACCGTGCGTAATCAAAGGAGAAGCATGTCCCACATCACATCTTTTAAGAGCAAGTTGTTTATTGTTTGTCAAAATTTATGTTCAATAAATTGCTTGAGAAAAATGCCATGCTACTTAAACATCTCAGTCTGTAACAAAATTGTGTTGGGTTAAGCAATGGCGAAGCGCGGTTCAACCCTTTGGCACTGGAACAGTCGGGGGGGGGGGGGGCACCAGCCTTAGCCGGAAAATTAAATGCGAATTTACGATGGGACGTTGGGTATCCTTACACTTAACGAAATTAAGAGCTTCTCTTTTCCCTCGGATTTAACGGTAAATATTTATCAAAAGCACTAATCATTATGAATATCTGTCCTTTATTATAATATCGTCTGACATAAGATGTATAAAATATTGCTGGTAAACTTCCTCAATTATCTGTTTTAAATCAACTGTCCGGATACACAACCTGTCCGAAAACCTTGGTAAACAGGGCTATCAATTAGGGGATGGTGTCGGAGGCAGGCACGGGGGGGGGGGGGGGGGGGGGGGGGGGAGCATGGGAGGGGGGCACGTGCCCCCAACAAATTTCCAGGATCGGTTGAACTTTTTTAGACCCCTTTTGTTGACCTCGATCGATTACATGTATGTGCCACCCCCCCCCCCCCCAAAAAAAAAAAATAAATAAATAAATAAATAAATAAATAAATAAATAAATAAATAAATAAAAACAAAACATCAAACTCTGGCTACGTACCTGGTCGGAGGTACCTGTGCTGGCGTCTTCTTTAATCTTCCTTTTCCCCTTCTCCCTTTCCCTTTCCCTGTTATCTCTCTTTTTCTTGCTTTTTCATTTATATCAAGATTCGTTGAGGGATGAGTGCACGTAACCCCTGTGCCCCTGTAGATACCCACTGAAATAGCCCTCTCTTGTGCTTTAGCTACTGTGCTTTTGGTAATAAACTCTTTGCTGTTATTGTCTGGCGCACACTGCATATATTCATGGAAAGTTTCGTTGACTGCATGGGGGGGGGGGGGACTCTTTTTACCACGCACAAAAGAAGAATTCCGCTGGAATATGCGTTCCCATTGCCTTTATTTTATCCAAGGTGAAAACTTACAAAGACGTGACTGCAAGCACGTAGACCTTATTTCAAAAAAACTCTGACTGTGTGGAAGGGTTGTCAATAAGGCCTCATCCCCCATGACGAATAGAAGGTGTACTTGTCCTAGAAAACAGAGAGCACTTCTATGACATCGAACCAAATGAAAAGAACAATATTGTTTACACTGTATCTGTAATCAATTGTTCAACCTGTGCTACACTGTGCCTGTCACCAGTTTTACCCTTTTCTCTCTTTTTCCCCTGCCCCATTAGCCATGGTTTTTTTTTTTTGAATATATTTTTTTATAAAAAACACTTTTTAGGCGAATAATTCGTACTGAGGTGAGCAGTTCACTGAAGGATGACCTAACCACAAAAAGGGTATTTTAAAGCTCTAGAATGAACTTTTATTTATTAGGAATATTCTTACATACCAATTCAAGTGATAATAATTGATCTCACGTTATGGAATTTGAAGTACATGTATTATGCCAGTGGGTTATAATCATGCCAAGAAGGTACCCCCCCCCCCCCCCCCCCCCTCCCCCTCCTCCATGAGTAGATCATGTGAAATCTACATAACATTGAACATTTCAATTACCATAGACCATTAAAGATGATAAGAAGTGTGGCCTTTTTGCTTAGGGCATACGTGTGGCTCGAAAATAAATCATTTGCTCGATCTGTAACCGAGAATACTAATTCTTCACAGTTTCGCGAATTTCAAATTCAGTACTGAAATATTGTGTCGTTTCAAACTTGTCGAAAACCTGTCTGTTTGGAATGGGTTGCAATACAAATGGCCAGTTAGTATGGCCAGTTAATACCTGTGAATATAAATCACGGGTTTAACATTTTTCTATCTATCGCTGTCTATTCAAAATCTCCCTATTTTAATATGTTAAGCCTGGATAATACATGTACATATTTTGAGTGTTTTGGAGTAATGTATCAATCGCATTTTTTTTTCTGTTTTAAGGGTAAAGTTTGAAAAAAACATAATGAAAATCAAATCGAATAAAACCTCACACACATGTATAAATATATATATATATATCGCTTCGCAAAGATTGCGTCACTTTTCTAACGTCTTTTACGATCAACAGAGGCGCCGCTAAAGGAAGTCTGGTGTGTAGCAAACCCCTTTGATTTCTTTTGTCAACCAATTTTTGCATTTTAACCTTGTCTGTAAAGTCCATCAGTCGTTAAAGTATCGTTTATGTTCTCTTTTATTTGATATACTTTTGTGTTTGATTTGTTAAAATGTTTTTGCCGTAAATATGAATTGTTCTCAAGGTGCCTCTGATGATAATGAAAGGTAATGACATACTCGTAAAATATTAAATATGATCCCCAGAAGGGTAACAATATCTATCAAGACTGACTTTAAAAAAACATACTTTCTGGAATATAAAACCATAATACTTTACCATGTCCATGTAATCATCCAAACATCGACCATGGTTTTCTCAGATTTTCGCTAGCGCTGAGAAAAAACTTCAGGGTCGTCGTTAAATGACTTTTTATAATTCAGCATTTTACACTCGTTGATTATAAAAAGCATGAATCCAATTGTTCACTGTTAATTGATTTCGCGCTTTGCACATTCAATTTGTATGGCCCTATAGAACTAACGAAATCTAGTGTAATACATTTTGGAATGATCTGGACCATGACATTAATGATTGATGGCTTGTATCCATTTTGTATATAAAATATCAACTGTATGCTGTATCTTGACTGCTTATCTTTGAAGAGCATGCTCTCGTGAATTTAATACACATTGCGTGCATTCGAACCCACTATCTAAACGCAATAGTTTGAGTAATCCCCAGGGAACATGCACTATTGTTATTTTTTAAATGTGTGCGTAAGTGTGAATTAAAACCTTTGAGTGGTTGCAGAACACTGACCTGTTAAAGACCGTCAATACTACTGGGCCAGAAGGGACTAGACCACACAGCGTGGTCACTGACAGGTGGCTATCTCATTAACTCAGCTCTCAACTAACATAAGAAAAAGAGGATCATGGGGGACCAACAGGCACCGATTGGGGAAGTTTTCTATATAGAAGGAGCAAGTAGCTACAAGTAGGACAGTGGGGCTTTAAACACCCTATTCCACAAGAATATAGAACACATATAGGACACATATATGCATACAATTGTTTAACCAGCATTGTATAAAGAGTTTACACAAAGCATGGTTTCAGGTTGTCTACGAAAATAAAGGACACATATGCATCCGATTGTTTATTCAGCAGTGTATACAGAATTTACACAAAGAATGGTTTTTGACCTTCGTCAAAAAGAAAAATATCTTTCCGCAGGTTTTTTTTCTTTCTGGAAAGATCCATTAAAGGCCCATAAAATGTATGTAAATCTGGCGGCAGTATCTGGCGACTGTATTGCAGAATACATGTTTATATCATGCCATGCGTTCGTGGACCAGTTTCATTTAAATAATATGAAATTCTAAATGGAAAGAAACCGAACTTTGAATTTATCACGAAAACACTAAAATGGCGAATCTGAAGAATATTCACCCTCGTATGCGAGATTGACATACATTAAGCCAATTATATCTCCTTGGTTAAATACCCACATGAGAAAGATTGTAATACTATTACTTTTACAACTACTACTACACTTGTTCTATCAATAATATTTCTACTACTACTACTACTACTACTACTACTACTACTACTACTACTGCTATTACTACTTATTACTGTATGGCCTTATGTCATTGTAAAGACATCAATTTCGCTATTCCTATATCACAAAGTTTGTTCTCTCATTAATTGTTTTCATAACCGGTTTGTAAATACGAGTAATTCATATTTAAGAAAAAACATTTTCTATTGAATTTAATCTAGGAATAATGGACTATTTTGGCCAAATGTGACAAATTTTCCCTGCATGATGCATCAGTCATGTAAACGGGCAATGCCAATGACCGTTTATCCCCATTAAATTCAATGAATATGCTTGAGTTGTATAGCACGTAATTTTCATATTCGATATTTAAATTGCATAAGGTTGATTTCTGAAAATTATGCGGTCGAGTAAAATGTAAATAATAGAGAAGGATATACAAAATAATTGGTTGGCATTTCATTTGTTTCTTCTCTACATCTAATAGGACGTGAGTGATGTCAAGCCTATCGTCGGTGACATCGAGCTACAGGACATCCATGACCCTGACAATAGCTTGAAGGTTTTCAGTCAGCCCGACGATGGAGATACAAGCACCATCGGAGAGGGAATGTTCCACCCTGAAGCTGAAAAGAAAAGTACGAGGGCTAAAACCTTGCTTAAGGTCTTTATTGCGGTAACAGTCGTCGCAGTCATCTTGATCGCGATCATCTGCCTCGTCATCTTTGCTGGTAAGTCATGCTCTGCAGTCCACAGTCCTCACAAAGTGTTGTAACGTAGCGATATAACGAGGAATCTTTAGTTTTGCTTTAATCTTCTGCACCATCTCGACTGAATTTAAAGCCCCACTGTGCTACTTGTAGCCACTTGCTCCCTCTATATAGAAAGCAATGCCTAATGACCATTGTTCCCCCATCATCTCGTTTTATTATGTTAATTGAGAGCTGAGTTGATGAGATAGCCACCTGTCAGTGCCCACCCTGGGTGGTCTAATCCCTTATAGCCAAACTAGTACAGGCGGCCTTTAAGAATTATTTTTTAGTTCACTCTATTCCAAATCCTGGTGAGTCACAAACCCCGCGTGGCGGTTTTGAAGGCCCTTTAATCATATCGTTATCTGGCCTTAGCTGAATTGCCATGATCGTGATTATTTCTTAAGCATTCAAGTAATATTTACCGACCGGGTACCCATTTACTTCACCTGGTGGACAGTTCTACACGACTGTATGATCTTTCTAAAGGGTAATAGCGGGTGTGGCATGCAGAGATTCGAACTCCGGACCATGAGCTTCATAGTCTGGTGCCCTAGACCACAACACCTCGGGCTCTTGTTGACAATTTTCTTTCATGTTTTCACTGTGTCCTCAACATGATTACAGGTCCAAAAATAACAGGAACGACAACAAAGGCACCCACAACCGCGACGCCACCAGGTAAATAATGTATTCTATAACAGAACAGAGTTGATGAGATAGCCACCTGTCAGTGACCACCCTGGGTGGTCTAATCCCTTATAGCCAAACTAGTACAGGCGGCCTTTAAGAATTATTTTTTAGTTCACTCTATTCCAAATCCTGGTGAGTCACAACCCCCGCGTGGCGGTTTTGAAGGCCCTTTAATCATATCGTTATCTGGCCTTAGCTGAATTGCCATGATCGTGATTATTTCTTAAGCATTCAAGTAATATTTACCGACCGGGTACCCATTTACTTCACCTGGTGGACAGTTCTACACGACTGTATGATCTTTATAAAGGGTAATAGCGGGTGTGGCATGCAGAGATTCGAACTCCGGACCATGAGCTTCAAAGTCTGGTGCCCTAGACCACAACACCTCGGGCTCTTGTTGACAATTTTTTTTCATGTTTTCACTGTGTCCTCAACATGATTACAGGTCCAAAAATAACAGGAACGACAACAAAGGCACCAACAACGGCGACGCCACCAGGTAAATATTGTATTCTATAACAGAACAAATAAATGTATATGTGAACAATTATTTGCAGTGGTGGCATAAAGACACCCCCTCCCCCTCCCTTACACACACATACACACGCACACACGCATACCTCCTCCCTTCCATCGAACTCATGTATTACAATCTAAGGAAATAATGTATATTGTTCGTTTTTATAATCGAGAAAACTAATCATTACCCATTTTTGCTACCACATCCCCCCTCTCCCTTTCCCGTTCACCACTCACACAGACAGAATGACTAATTTTTCTCTTCTAAATCGGGGAAAATGAGCCCAAATTGATTAATGCCCCTGTTTGCAGCCTCTTCAAACGAAATATTAAATGCTGTCATTGATTATTAAGGACAATCATTCTCAGCAAATTTACGCTTCCTCGTTCAACTTTTATTATACTAGTTAGCTAACCGTTGCAAAAGACGTGAAATGTCATTGAACTCTCCGTATAAATAGTTCTTGAGGAGAATATAACGAATTGTGGAGACTGTTTTAAAATGAAAAAAAAACTCGGACACTCGACAGTTTTAATTTCAAAATCAAGCGCTAAAGTACATCGTAAAATTATGCTGCTCAATAATTTCTATCCACTAAATAGATTGTATTAATTTGTATTATTTGTCTATTCCTTCCTATAGTTCCAACTGTCATTCCTGGAGTAGTCGTCGGTAAGTTCATGCCATATTTCCAGCTTAAAGCCCCACTGTCCTACTTGTATCTACTTGCTCCCTATATATAGAAAACTTCCCCAATCGGTGCCTGTTGGTCCCCCATGATCCTCTTTTTCTTATGTTAGTTGATAGCTGAGTTAATGAGATAGCCACCTGTCAGTGACCTCGCTGTGTGGTCTAATCCATTCTGGCCCAGTAGTATTGACGGTCTTTAAAGTGTACCAATCACCTAAATCTACAGCTATAATGTACAAGGATCAACCTCGAATAATCTTAAGCCGGCATTCTATGGGCTAATGGATGAGGAGTATGACGAAAATAAAGAATAACATAATACTGCTCTTACAGAGCCCACTCTAATCCGGGGGCGTCGAGCAGTCTACCCTTAAGTCACTTTTATGTTGATGGGAGTGTCTTCAAACTTGCAAAATCTCTTGAAAGGAGTAATTTTTGAATCTCACTCTATTGATGTACATCAATATTCTGTTTATAAGCATAATATGCAACATATCAATATTCTGTTTGGAAATATATATATCATATAAATCAATTTACAATACAGTGTTTATAGCAAAACAGAAGGAAAATTATATCCAGCATGTTTTAAATATAATACATGGAACTACTTGAATATGGAAGAAGATATTTTCTTTGGGATAATTTTATTCTTGAATAAAAACACATGGATACAAAAGGGGTAAAATAATCAGCTACTTCAAATTGGCAATGTTCTTTTTCTGAGTTATCGATATTTTCCAAAAGAATCAGATGAACAGAGATTGAGAAGTAGTAACCCCAAAAGGCAACTTTGTATCGGAAACCATGATTCTGAATAAGTCAGTTATGATACTATTTTTTTGTGTGCTTCCATTACAACTTTCTGACGTAGATTCAATACATATTGTTCTCCATTTTCCATGTAATCTGGTTTGGCTAATTATCTTTTAACAAAGCAGCAACAAATAGCATACTTTTAGTTTTTACGTACTTAATACTTCAATAAACGTTTTATCTTATTTCTATCATTAACATATAGTATACATCTATGCATTTCAACTGATAACAAGCAGGGCAGTATTAGCTTATAATAAAATTTTCACATAACACTTTCATGTTTTACATTTTCAATTCTGCAGGTGATGTGGATATTGAATTGTCTGCTACGCTGAACGGAGTTACATTTATTCCCGCGTACAATGACCAGTCATCGCCAGAATACATGGCTTTTGCTAGCAACGCAGAAACTCAGGTAAAGATATTTAACGAAATTGGAGTTAAAAGACTAAGAATACGGTCCATAAAATGTTATCATCAATAACAATTCTGTGATATGTAACAAAATTGTCAAAAGCAATACTTGTATGACATCAACATACGATTCCACTTTTATTTTCCTTTTACCATCTTTTATGTTGACAGTCACCTTGGCATACTTTTTGATAATATATTTATTCTTGTCTTCAAAAGGGTACAGTATTTTTCCATCAGCAATAACAGGCATTATACAACACCTACGTGGATCCTTGTCATTTGATTGGACGGTTGTTGATCACATGATATTCAATAGATGGTATATTGCACGGTCGTGCATTTTGGTTATATGCGCCGTGCATTTTTGGTTATATGCAGACTGCGTACCTCTCTGCTGCATGTGCGCGTATCCCTGCGTGTATCTGACGCGAAGGCAATCTGCATGTAATCGAGAAGGCTTGACTCGAACTTTAATTTATCTTTATAAGGAGTAAAGCATAATTTGTTGATTAACGTTCTATTAGGTCTTCTTCGATGTTGTATAAAACAAATAATGAATGTTTTTCATTCGTTTAATAGTGCAAATATGTTCATTCGTTGAAAGATTAACGTTAATTCTATTCAACTCGGCTGACGCCTCGTTGAATAGAATGTTAATCTTTCAACTCATGAACATATTCGCACTATTGAACTCATAACCATTCATTATTTGTATAATATATAGTATGAAATAAAAAGAAACAATGTTCAAACAACCAATATCAAACAAAAAGCAAAAAACAATAGGGATTCTATTCAAAGATTCTTTTACGAAAGGGATCGTTATTTTTCGTGATCAATGTCTTTTGAATATCATTTTTGGAATAATGATACTTCGAATTCATGTACCTTGGAATAAATGAAACGTCATTCATCACCTTAATATACTGTAAATATGCTCACTGAACCACGTAGCAGCAGATATAGTTATTAACAGAGCGTGACGTAGTGATGAGATGTGAATTAATCAAGGAAATGGGGAAAATGTGAAAAATGGGGAGAGGGGGGGGGGGAAGAGATTTCTTTTTGGAGCGCATTCTTAGGATCTTGCTTTTTTTTTTGTCAAGCGATTCAGTGTTTTGACTGGTGTTTTATACTATTTTTTGTTCTCGGACTATACTTTCTTAACATTTTCCTGCTATGATTTCATGATGCATGCATTGATAATTTCATTCTCCATACATATATATGTGCGTGTGTATACACGAATATTCTATAAATTAACCTTGATGGGGGGGGGGGGGGTTCTGTAGACAAGATTAGATTTACAAATAATAATTCAAAATCACAATTTAATGATTTCTTTCTTTTTCAGATGATGAACGGGTTACAGAATGATGATCAGCTCGGTGGATTTGTGACAAATGTAACTGTGACTGGATTGAGGTATTTCTATTCTTCTTGCATTTATTATTCATGTCTCTTAGGAATAAGTATATGTAAATTTAAAGACAAATGCTATTGGTTTACTATCTTATTTACAATATCTAGTGTAATAATTGTGCTTAATTAAACCCGGATTGCAGAGATCGAGATTGCAAGGTTTGCGGTCGGCTCAAGATAGTGACCGCAGCCAGTGCCATGAAAGCTTTATGATATCATTATCACCTAGAGGTGTCGTGGACAAGTGGATATGTCACTGGACTGTGGATCACAAGGTCCGCGGTTCAAGTCCCACCGCGGCACTAATGTTCTTTGGCAAGACATTGATCTACATTTGCCACTCTCCACCAAGTTGTTCAATGGGTACCCGGTAGGATGCGAAAGCTGAATGTGCTTAGATTAGCAAGTCTGCTCTTGTAAAAATGACGCCTGGCTGGAATGTTCCCCAGGGAGTGAAGAATGTGCATACATGTGTGCGGGAAGCCTAAATCTGATTACCGGGTAATAAATATATATCTGTAAACCGCTTAAAGAGGGCCTTCGGTCCTGAAAAGTGTTATATAAGAACTAGCTATTATTAGTAGTAGTAAACACACCGTTTGGTAAATTTTCAGAGACCTCTTCATAGTTTACAAAACATGGTACAAAAACCCTGCATATCCACAGATCGTTGAAACACGGAGATAATTGTGTTAATCAGTATTCATTCGCATAATCAATATTATCATAGATCTTCTTTTGGAACAGTTTTATGTTTAGTTACAGCAGTAGCAGTTACAAATAATGGGAATGTGATCATAGTCATCTAAAAACATTTCGTTATTTGTGCAATACTTTTATTTTTGCGGATAAGCATTTATGCTTTGAAAAAGTCGTTTTACTTCTTCTATTTAAATCTTCTTTTCCTCCTCCTCTTCTCCATATTATTTCTATTTCTTATTCATATTCATTAATTGATATGATTCTTTCTTCTTGTTGTTGTTCTTCTTCTTTTTTTTCCTTCTTCTTTTTCTCCTTCTTGTTTTCATTATTATTGTTATTATTATTATTAGTAGTAGTAGTAGTAGTATTGGAAGTGGTATTATTACTACTACCACTACTACTACTACTACTACTATTTCTACTACTCCTACTACTATTACTACTACTACTACTACTACTACTACTACTACAACTACTACTATTACTACTATTACTACTACTACTACTACTACTACTACTACTACTACTATTACTACTTCTACTAATACTACTATTACTACTACTACTACTATTACTGCTAATATTACTACTCATACTACTAATACTACCTTCACTATTAGTATTATAATCAAAAGTGCTATGTTAGTATTATTATCATTATTATTCATATTATTATACAAGTAGTAGTAGTGGAGGTTGTACTACTACTACCTTCAATATAAGTATCATTATCATTATTCTACTTCTAGTCCAGGGAGTGTCGTTGTAGATGCAATGATCATGGTCTCAGGTGATATTGCAACGTCTTTATTTACGGATACTGATCCAGACAACACATCAGCTACAGACCTTCAACTGTTATTAGCTAATCAGGTGTCTGATGCCACCAACGAAGCTGTCATGACATCTCTTTCCAATAATGATGTACTTGGGTCCTCAGATGTAACCGTTGAAGTAAACAAGGGTAATATTTGTTTTCTTCTAATCATTTCTATTTTAGTTTACAGGTACTATCTCCCATTTGCCGGCCAAAAATCAAAAGGTTAAATTCCAACAGTGTAAACTTGTTTATTTGTAAATTTGTTAATTTGTAAATTAGCGAATTGGTAAATTTCATTACTTAGGCTGCACTGTAAAAAAGAATTTGTTCATTAGTAATTTGTACGTATTTTTTCCATGTAGAATTTACTTTACTAAATCGTGCAATATGTAATCCTATCATAGCTTTTTTTTAATTATCTAAAATGATTACAACACTTAAATTATTTACGTTAATGTAACTCGATTTAACTGAGTAAAAATTTATTCTGCAAAATAAGTAAATTCTACTTAAGATGCCGTAGGTAATATTTACTTAATAAAAATAAGGCAATTCTTTTCCTCAATTTTATTGAGTTATTTCGACTATTATTTTTTTACAGTGTGTTCATAATACTGGCTGTTATTTGTTTTTTTTTATCACTGTTAATAATTATGATCCTCGTATAAGTTCGATAAATTACCACGTTCCGCCCTAAATAAATGTAATACATGTACATCAATGACAACCAGATTGTAGGTATTTTTTTCGCTCATGATTTTACATAAATGCAATCACAGACCTCTGTTTGGAGGGAGCAGCAAAAAAATGGAGCCATTCCAAGAAAAAAACATTGAATTATAAAAAAAGCTATCTCTTTTTTCTGTTTACAGTGGGTGTTCCGATAAACGTCAATGGCGTGGATCTACCAGATACTGTAACGCCAGGTATGTATCATACCGTGTTCTATGTTTGTAAATCTGTCTGCCTTTAAAACGTCTTTAATGTGATTTTTGTTTGTAATTGACAAATTACGTTAATTATGCCAATGTTACAGGGCGAATAGGTTGGGCTAATTTTGTCCTATGATTGGGTTATTTTAGTCCCAATTATTTACTTTATGAGGTTACCTAATGAACTAGGTTGGGTAGGTATTACTTGGCACATCGATGTTGAGCAAATGTTGTCTAACAATTGGATTATTTTCTACCAACCATGTACTGTAGTTACCGCTGAAATAATTTGCCCAACTAGTATCTACACATAATGATGAGAATTAAGTGAATTTCTTATTGGGTAAGTTTGTTGTTTGTTAAAAGTTGGGTTACTTGGGTATTTTCATTTTATCCACCACTGGTGAAATCATGCAAAATCTTTAATTTATAATGACCCAATATATAGTTGGTTGGACACATAATTGCCCTCATATGTTTGGTAAAAATTTGGCATTTTTTTGCCCAACATTTTTTTAGAGTGTGCAATGCCTCTGTGCGTGCGCGTGCGTGTGCATGTGTGTGTGTGTTTATGTGTATGTGTGTGGGGGTGTTTGGGTACACGGTAGGGTACCGAGGACACACACAATTAAGAACTGTACCTTCACTTTGACAACCACTCGCAAAATGAGGACGTACGTCCTCGGTTCTATGACCATATAAACTGATTAAAAAGGTGTGGGGGTATCCGGGTATGGATTGTGTGCGTGTGTATGTGATACTGCACAGGCTGTTCATGACTCCATCAAACAAATCACCATACACCTGCGACGTCTATATACTAAAAATCTTTGATAATATCAATCTGCAATCTCAACTATACCTTTACGTTTGAAAATTCATGAATCCAGACTAGGTTTAGCTAGCTAAGGTCAAATCTAATCAGCAACTCCAATCATATCATATCTTTAAAATTGCTGGCAAAATCAAATTACTAGTAGAATAAAAATGAGTGTGGTCCCAGTGATAGAGTCAACTATCCTGTAGCCCCGCCCCTTTTTGAAATCATATCGGGGAATCCCCTGTAATTTGCTGCGCCCTAGCTCGTACACGTGCGCTATGCGATCTGTGGTGGGGTGGCGCACCGTTACGTTGCGTACTACGATAAATCGCGAGCTCTAGACTAGGGTGTGTACTCTTTCAATTCTCATTCTCAGCTGCATTTGATGACGGCCTTGTGAGTAAAATAAATAATTGTTATGTGGTTTCACATGCCTTTTTGTCGTATATTATATGAGTGTATGTGTGGATTGCCGGGGGGGGGGGGGGGGGGTTTGCTTTCTATCGTTTTCTTGTCAGTTTACGTGTAATTCAAATTGACATGCTACCCATCAACCACTCCAGCAAAGCATAGAGAGTCCACCAACCTAACTCCAGGGAGCTCCAACGGGGCTCCGACGCCGTCGCCTTTCGTCGGCTTTCGTCGGCTTTCGTCGGCGTCGGAGCTCGATCCCTGGAGTTACCATCAACCACTCCTTCAATGCATGAACTTGAAGTCTTACCATGCTGCATGCTAACCGTAAACAAATAACAGCGCTAGTTCAGAAGCCTATCCAAAATTTGACCCGTAACTCCAGTGTGGATCATATACCCCACTAAAACATACCCAATTCCAAAATGAAGTAAATATTCATGAAATGTTTAAATAAAGATCATGAGTTAAAAGTCGTTAATTTTATTACCTATTTCGTGTCAATTTTCTTGTTATTTTTTTAGTATATTTGGAAAAACGTTGATATTAATATACACTTTTTCACAGGTTTCACGGCAAAGAGCTGCACATTATAAGGGCATACCGATGGTGGGTTTCGGGCGAGCGCGCGCCTGTCATAATGAATATGACGGACAAAGAAAGAGGACAAAATATACAGTTCCTCAGGTAGACAAAGGAACATCCCTTCACTGCTACTATGTAAAATGTGTAGAACAGGTGAATATGCATGTGACACCTGTTCTACACATTTTTACATAATAGCTAGTGAAGGGATGTTCTTTGTCTACCTGAGGAACTGTATATTTTGTCCTCTTTCTTTGTTCGTCATGTTCAAAGTGTGTGTGAAGTTATCTACCGTAATGAGGATCTGAGACATTACGGTAGATAACTTCATACAGGCGCCTAGCTTTACACCTTATTTTTCGACAAACTCATGTCGTCTTCCAAAAATCTTTGATAATATCAATCTACATCTAGCATCTCCAAACATCAATAGCATCAATTTTATATATAATGTTTCATTTTTTTCCCATCAGGAGATCCTTGTGAGGAAGGATTGTTTCGCTGCAATGACGGTACATGCATCGATGAAGCAGATAGGTGTGATTACATCGATCACTGTGACATGGGAGAGGATGAGCTCAACTGTGGTAAGCCACAACCGGCCCTTAACAACAACATCAAAAATAAAACACACCAATGTGGCATCCATTAAGTATACAAAAGTCCCCCCCCCCCCCCCCACTAACTCCTTCAATTTTCCGTCTATAAAGGCACTATCCGACATCTATTGCTTCCTTCTTTCATGTTTTTCATGTTTTTCAGATTAATTTAGGATATACGAAATAGGCGTGAACCTCTATTTCTCGAGTATGAGGACCCCCTCCCCCCTCTCTTTTTCATAAATAAAATCCTCTGCCCATTATTACGTTGTAGTAGAACGCTTCCTTTAGAATCATCAAATCTATCATGACTTGATACTCTTAATTATGTTTAATGGGAAAGTAAATTAGATAGAAATGGTTGCTTGTCTTCCCTCTAGACTCTATGCAAATGTTGAAGAAATGTCTCAATCGGTAATCGAACATGTATCCCTAGCTTTGAACTCCTGTGCATTGAGGCCACGGAGATGTGTAGTGTCGTGATTGTGTGACACCAGATTCAATTGATGGATTAAAAAATCTTTGACCTTTCTTAATTAATTCCTTTGTCATGCGCAGGTGAGTTATTAAAAAATGGCAGGCCGCTTGCCTCAGCTGGATCCTCATGAATGCTGCATGCATGCATAAGTTAGAGAAGTTATAATCTATGGCCCAAATTCACAAAGCAGGTTTGTCGACAAACCTAGGTTTATGTGCGTCATATGACGCGTTTCAAACCAAGGTTTGTACCAGTTTGTCACCAAACCTAGGTTTATGTGCATCATATGGCGCATTTCAACGCGTTTCAAACCAAGGTTTGTACCAGTTTGTCGCCAAACTTATAGGTTAATGTGCGTCATATGACGCGTTTTGTCGCGTTACAAACCAAGGTTTGTGTGAATTCGGGCCAATGAGTTAGAATGATTAAAAACAACTGTGAGGACATGAAAAAAAACAATGTCTATACCTCCTGTCAAATATGTAGACATAGGTACATATATATATATATATATATATATGCTTTCATACATAAACTATGTGCCCATTTATTGTATGTTTTCGCTTCGCAGGTGCCTGTACGAGTAGACAGTTCATGTGCGGGAACGGCAAATGTATACCAGACTACTTTGTATGTAACTTCTACTTTGATTGTCCAGACATGGATGATGAGGTCGGCTGTGGAAAAGAAGAGATAGGTAAGATTTCACAAACTACAGTTAACTACTAAATTACTCATACCCCTTTCAAATTTGATGGTTTTTGAGTGTTTTTTGTGACTCAAGAAAGAAAGGTTGAATTAGGGCCTTTGTTGAATAATTTTAGATGTAAGCTTTTTTGACATGCTCAAAAAAAGGAAAAGGGTAAGGGTATGAATAATTTAATTGTTAACTGTATACCCACAATCTCACATGGTCCTCAAAGTTTAAAAAATGTGCAAGTCAATGTTACATTTACACCACCCATAACAAATTTGTTCACACCAAAATTCTTTATTACTGAACTTTCGAAGAACCCTTGTGTGTCACCCATTAATAATAATAATAATTGAGGTATAGACATTTCTATAGAGTGGTGAAGTGTGACGTCATCAAAAATCTATTTTTAGAATATCTCAATTTTTTCTTCATTCTCCGAAAGATTGCCTATGGGAACTCAGTGTTATATGCTCTGGCTCCTAATGGTTAGGAGCCACAGCATATAACATTGAGTTCCTATAGGAAATATATTCATTCAGATGGTCATATATATCAGCCAATACTTAACATATTCAATTGGTTTTCAACATTTGGACATTATTTTTGATGCTCTTTCGGAAAATGAAGAAAAAATTGAGAAATTCCAAAAATAGATTTTTATGACGTCACAGCTGACAGCTTCGGTACTCTATAGCGCCGTCTATCTAGAAATTCTATTCCGAGGTGCATTAATTATTACCCTGACTTTAGCCTAGCTGCTATTACAGCGCTCTAGCATTTCAAGGAATTAATTCCTGCCAGTTACCCATTTACATCACCTGGGCTGAGTGTGGCAAAGGAAGATTAATGCCTGACTAAAGGTCATTGTATGTGCGAACATGGCAATGACGTATTACGTAACCCGAACATGATATATACGAGACACATTTAAAATGCCCTTGAGCTGACTTTCCGAAAGATAGCATTTCAAAATAAATCTTTTTATCATCTCTTTCATGTAATAATGCTATAATATTGTTCTTCCCATTCTTAAATAATTATTCCGAAATATAAAATGAGACAAATCATTTACAAGTTTTTTTGATGCAGATTTGATGCAGGATGTCCTCAAAAAATACATCAAACAGTTGCGTTTAATCAATAACTTTGATATTAATGTAATAACTTTCTTATCTTTCATCGGATGATCGTTAAACGTCCATTGATGAACCACTCTCGTCTCTCGGTTTATGCTTTTGTTATCCAACAGAGCTTTCCTTTCAAATATGTCTGATGGTGCATATATATTGATAATTCCAAAATCAAAGATTTGTACCAATGAACTGAAAGTATCACTGGCTGTTAAGCAATTATGCAAAGCTACATTTTCCAGTGGAAAAGATGTAGATTTTAAAAAAAAGCATGATGTTTGAATATGAAGAAATAATGACAATCTGTTGGGGTCTTTAGTTTTATCATGATCATCTCGTAATCAAATTTAATATTTTCAGAAATATTCTAAAAGCGGACAAAATCAGTCAAAATCTAGCTCATTTGAATTAAGCCTTCACTCGATGTATAATTCAATGGCAGCCATGGTAAAGCCGCGGCGTTATAAAAATGGATCTTCAGGTGTGGCAATTGTCCAGACATGACCTCTATTAAAAACACCACTATTATCATTATTATCATTACTGTTATTATCATTATCATACCATAATCATTATCATTATTTATTTTTAATCCTTTTTGCGTTTCTACCTGACAGAAAACATTGTCCTCGTTGAAGGAACGTCAACGTTGGTTAGCACTCCAACATATCCTAACCCATACCCTGCACATGTCAACAGTTACTGGGCTGTCACCACGGAAAACCCAAACCATATTATCCAACTCAACTTTCTTGATTTCGACCTGAGCCTCGACTCATGGCTGAACTTCGCAAATGGAACTGATCACGGCCTGCCAATAATCGATCTTGCGTTTTATTACTACCGCTTTGATGTTAGTACAATGCACGCAATTCAAACCAACGCGGCGTTGATGTTTTTCTTTGCCGGAATTTATCCCGGAGGCCGTGGCTTTCAAGTCGAGTTGAATGCTGTAGAGCCATCTTGTAAGTCAGAGACTACTTTTATAACAGTAGTATGTTATTTGGGGGGGGGGGGGGGGTGATCCAACCCCAAGTTCTCCTCCCGTCCCCTCCCTCATCCACAAAATTGCGAGGCTCGTATTCCTACATGTTGGGATTGTAATCATTAAAACAGAATGCGAATATTTTCTCTACCATTTCTTTTGTAATGCTTTATATTATAATGTTTTTTTCGCTTGTTCAAATGTTTTTAAAAAAGATGAGAATATACTTGCGATTCAAGAAAAATGATGAAAAGATTGCAAAGGGAGAGTTCAAAATGGGGAAAGGGAACCAGTAAAACAAAAATAGGATCCTTTCTAAATTATAGAGAATAGTATAAAAAAAAGAGTTCCATATGCTCAGAATACTTTGTTTTGAAAAGCTTTCTACAGTATCACAATGACTGTAACTCTGGTGATTTTGGAAAAATATTGTTGCATACTCTTTTAACGAAATTAGGAATTACTGACTTTAGACTGAAAATCTCAATTTCAAATGTAACCGTTGTAGTATAATCAGCCAATTTGATGCATCTGTTGTAGGCTGTGTTCAGATATGACGCGGCAAAACCCCAGCAGTTTTTTTTTAAATAGTTTTTTTTTTTTTACTGATGTTGTAAATTGTAATATGCGTCAGATACTCACATTACTGTATATCTTATAGCACAGAGCTTAGTGAATACGCCCTGGACCTTAATTCTCAGTTAGCATTTATTTACACATTTTACAAAAACCGCGGCGGCTTTCTTGTGGTGATATACTTAATTCTTCATATCTGAACAAGTCTTTATTAAAGATAAACTCCAGTTCTGGTAAAAAAAAAAAAACTAATTCTCACAGAATCAAACGAAACTTACACTGAATGTTCAACATTACATATAAATGACATGTGCCAAACAATTTTGGAAGAAAATGTATACTGGCTGAGTAATGAGCATAGAAAGACAAGGACATCAAGGCAGTACTAGCCCCGACACCATGTGTGTTGTCCCATATATAGCTTCCTGTGTACAGTGCTTGTTACTTTACCAAGACTCGGCCAAATTTATTATGATTTTGATGACTTCAGAACCTTGCAGTGCACACCAATAATTACATGCTACATGATCAACTGTTTCTAATCCATTCCACACCTTTTCTTTCACAATGCAATCATATTACCCAAACTAGAGTTTATCTTTTATGCCTGATTCTTTCAATAGCACACATGCCGCTTCCCTGTGCTCTAGGGCAATACCAATGCCCCAGCGATGGGCAATGTATCCCCAGCTACTGGACATGTGATGGTATCTATGAGGATTGTGTGGATGGTGCAGACGAGGACGAAGGCTTTTGTGCAAGTCAACCTCCTCCAGGTATGTACAAATTAATTTATTTTAACTCAATTTAATTCAGTTTTGGTTTTATTCATTTTAACTCAATTCACTTTCGATGTTATTCTTTAAGCTCCACCGTACTTGTAGCTACTTGATGTCTCCATATAGAAAACAATGCCTAAGCGGTGCCCATTGGTCCCCCATGATCCCCTTTTTCTCATGTTAATTGAGAGCTGATTCGATGAGATAACCAGTGGCGTACACAGGATTTTGTTAAAGGGGGGGGGGGGGGGGGGGGTTTAACATTTTTAAATCGGCCAAAAATTTCGCAACGCCTCTTTGGTCCCAAAAATTTTGCAACGACTCAGCCAGCCGCTGAATAACCAGGGGGGGGGGGGTCACCCTTTGGTTAAAAAAAAAAAAATATATATATATATATATATATATATTTTTTTTTTTATTTTTAAATTTTTTTTTTTTCTTTAATTAAAAAAGAAATGGGGGGGGGGGGCCGTTTCATCAAAAATCACATACATAAAAAAATTGAGGGGGGGGGGGTCAACACTCAAATCCCTCCCCCTCCCACTGCATACGCGCCTGGAGATAATCACCTGTCAGTGTCCTTGCAGGGAGGTCTTTACCCCCCCCCCCCCCTGGCCAAACTAGTGCAGATGGGCTTTAAAAAAAAGGGGGGGGGGGGGGCAAAAGTCCGAAGCCTATTATTGTCATATGAACAGTAAAATACAAGAACACATGAAATAAGGTTATAAAATGTATATTGACAGTGATAACTAAAACGAAGAACATGTCTTCATGCATTAAAAATATAATGGTAAACAGCACTTACTATATTGAATTCAGTTTTTACCAAATAAATGGTACAGTGGATGCCAAGAAAGAAACGAATGGCACTGAGGCCGTCAGATCTGGAAATGTTGGTGTTCCAAAAAATTAGAATCCATTGTGAAGAGGTACTTCACGTCATACTGTACTGTCGGACTGTCCATTTACATTTTACTTCTTAAATCATATACAGTGAAACCTGCTTAGGGACCACCTCTATTCAATTCAATTCCATCCAATTAAATTAAATCGCGGTCTATTAAAAGAAGACTCAAAGTCACAGACCGAATTAGTACATGTTTTTAAAGTACAATTAAAATGCAATATCTATACCGATTGAAAAAATAAGAAAACATCTAAAATAGAATGAAAAAGTAACATAAACAGATGACTTCTGTACATTGGTAACAATTGTAACAGAAGATAACATTGATAAAAATTTTAAAAAACATAACATACCGCTGTTAAAACAGTGAGGTGAGATTATAGTCTCACCTCCCTGGTTAAAAGCAGCATCATAGTATACACTTACCACACAGCTCTCAATAAAAAAAAAGTATTGCACGATGATAAAAAAGGTTAATGGGCCGAGGAAAAATGAGAGACAGATGAAGAAAGAGACTGATGAATTTTATCTGAAACAGATGAGAAAAGTACACCGTACACAATAGAGAGAAAAGAAGAGTTTTTGGAGTATTACTAGTCTGTAAATGCCACCTTTTCTATTTCCCTTCAAAATTCTTTCTCAATATTGGATAGTGTACGTGTCTCAATGAAAATAAATGTGTACTAAAAGATCAAAATTAATCTGGGTGGTAAGAACATACGTCTCATATCTAAACTTTTCTGGGAGCAGACAGCTGTCATCAAACTTAACAATGAAATAACAAGTTACACACAAATCAAAAGAGGAGTACATCAGGGATGCGTAATGTCCCCATCTCTGTTCAACTTGTGCACAGAGTTGGTATTCAGGGAAATTTCAGGAAAAGCCTATTAAAGGATGTATTGTAGGGAAGAGTGGAAGGAACTAGACTGAGAGGAAGACCCAGAATCAACTGGGAAGAGAACTGGAGTGGACTAAAACTGCAAGAGTGCACCAGAATGGCAGAAGATAGAGTGAAATGGAGAGATGTTGCAATCAACCTCCAAACGTGGAGAAGATACTTAGATGGATAAATAGAAAAGAACCTGAGCACAGATACCACCTTTCTATAAAGCATCTATATATAAAGATTGCTTTTCATGTCCCTCTTGAGAGCTTTGAGCAGTCCTAATATACAAGTTTCGCTGTATTGCATTAAATCAATAAAATATTTAGATAGTAAATGTTAGATATGATTTCTTTCACCTTACAGGAGAGTGCGTAGAAGGCAACCATCAGTATATGTGCCAAGATGGCTCATGCATCCACGGTGCATTCAAATGTGACCACATCCAAGATTGTCCTGACTCTGATGACGAACTTGACTGTGAGTTTTATTCAATCACATTTGGGCCCTGTTTCAATAAAACTTCTTGTGAATAAAAAATGCTAAATTATTTGACAAATCTGCTGTCAGCCAATCACATGCATTGATTTCAGTAGCTTATAACAGTTACCATTTTTACCTTGTTAATGATTACATGTGTTATGAAATAGGGCCAAGATGAATTTACAATACCATCCAAACTTGGTGATATTATGCTTGAAGTTCATATGTCATGGCAGCTTTCATGGTAAATTGCGATCAGCAGCAAACCAGTTTGATTGACCTATGTGTGACTTTTTTAACATCTATCTGTTGATACACTTTAACTGGATATTGTTTGCAATTGCAAAATATGTGTACAGTCAAACCTGCTTTAGTGACCACCTGCCTATAAAGACCAATTTTCTTGTCTCCAATGGGTTGTCCTGCGTGGTCTTTATAAACAGGTTTCACTGTACCAACACATATATCGTGCTGATTTGTCGAAACTATCTTCCCCTTTTAGGTCCATGCGACGCGGAGAATGCATTTGATTGTGGACCCGGTGACAAGTGCATTCCCGATTACTTCGTTTGTAATTGGTTCTATGACTGTTTTAATAGGAAGGACGAAACAGCGTGCGGGTCAGCAGAAACCACAGGTATGAGAAATGGTGATGCATGTTTCAGAAACCGCTTTTAAAATTTACACAGGGGTAATTATGTATTCAACTAATTTCAGGCATTTTCCTTTCAACCCAACATGTATGATTTCACCCATTTTGAAGTAATTCATCTTTATTTTGACCATAATTGGACATTGTAGTTGCCAAGGTTTGGTCTAAAATGTATTGACAAAAATTGGCCAGACATTGTTTAACCTCGCGCTGGGCAAATGTTTATCCAATAGTTTTTAAAGCATTTTAAAACCAGAGATTATCATCTGAAAACGTAGTGACAGTGATAATTATCAGAATTTTTTTATTTCCTCGTCAAAATACCCAAACTTAATAATAGTAAAAGCCATATTGAGAGCGATGACGATGAAGATGGTAGTGATAATAAAGAATGCGCCCTCATTGCTTGCGAATCTCGTTGTTTTAAAGGTAAAGACCATTGGAAATGCCCCAATTTCAAAAAATGAAATGGAAGCTCTTATTACCAATCATGTGAAAGAATATGTTTTGACTAATACATGATGAAAACAATTTTGCCGGGAAACCTACTAATTGATATATTTGGTAAATTAGTTTAATTATTGGTATGTGAGAGATAAACGCACGTGTCGTGCACGTGTGCGTAGTCCCATATACATCTTTCTGTGTACAGTGCTTGTAACTTTAACAAGACTGGGCCAAATTTCTTATAATTTTGATGATTCCAGAACCTTGCAGTACACACCAATACTTATATGCTAGATGATCAACCTTTTCTGATCGATTCCACAACGTTTCTTTCACAATGCAATCGCATGACCATAACTGGTCTTTATCTTTAACATGTCTTGCATCATCGAAATAAATCTTTCATTTAAGACCTACCATATTGTCCCGATGTTACTGATTCAAATAATAGTATAATCATGTTAATTATCATATATTTAATTCAATTAAAATGTGATTTGGTGTTGACGTTTCTTTCTTCATTCAGACTCCAGAGTTTTAAGCCCAGGAGCGTCGATGAATTTTTCAACCCCCAACTATCCAAATGATTTCGGCCGCAATGTGTACTATCTTTTCACCTTCGAAACAAACGTTGGATATCGAATTCAGGTATAACGATATAGTGGTTGAATTGGATTGAAAAAAATGAAATTCAGATGATTTCCTTCTCATTTTCATTAAGATGTGGTACACATACAAATCAGTAGCAGTAAGTAATTCAAAAAATACAAGGAGGCGAAGGAAATGCTTGTGTTGAGAACGCGCATAATTACACACAACTTACCATCAGAATTATTATACATTTCTTGCATCTGAAGAAGACAAAAATTATAAGTCATGAAAGTACAGAAGTTGAAAAAAAAGTCAGGGCAGGGGTGGATTCAGATGTTCTTTAAATTTTCGAAAAAATTCACATGGGTTAATTCTGCTGAGGCTTCTGCTGTCGATATCGCTTCTGTTTTTGTGTACTTATAGTATGCCCGTATGCCCTGCTGTCTGAAATAAATATAAATATAAATGCCAAGGGGTTGCACCCTTTTTGCAACCCACGGATACGCCACCGATTGATAAGAATTCAAACTGACTATCTTTCAACTGATTTCATTCATGCATCCAGATCGATGTCTATGACTTTTCCACCGAACTTGGAGGGTTTGTAACCATAGGTGACGGACTCGATCCAACCAATCACAACTCTGGTCTCGTGGCCTATCATCACTTCAGCTCACCAATATCAGCGACGTCATCATCACGATCAGTCTGGATTGAGATTCACGGAGGCCCGTATGGATTTGGTGTATTCTATGCGTCAGCAACCTCAATACCGCTAAGTAAATTAAATCGTTCCGAGTTATACTCGGCTCTCTCAATTAACCTTATATTAACAGATTTACATTCAAATTTAGTGGCAATATATCAAAAATGCAAGCTAGAGAAAAACTGGAATTAAATAAAAATTGAACTTGAAAGAATGTAGGTGTTAGACCGTACAATCGATGACATATTTGCGAAGTAAACTCTGTCCAAATTGAATTTATCAAAAGCTCAATATGGGGGAGGGGGCATTTAAAAAGTAAGCTTTATAAAGGCCCATGTAATGAGATAGCCCCCTAGTCGATCCTTGAGTTGATGTAAATTGCAATCTCAACTATACCTTTACGTTTGAAATTTCATGAATCCAGACTAGGTCAAATCAGCAACCCTCATCATATCATATCTTTAAAATTGCTGGGAAAATCAATTACTTGTAGTATAGAAAATGAGTGCGGTCCCGGTGATGCACTCTTATCCTGAATTCCCGCCTCTTCTTGAAATCATATCGGGGAATCCCCTGTAATTTGCTGCGCCCCTCGTACATGTGCGCTACATGTGATCTGTGGTGGCGCACCGGTACGTTACGGTACGTACGAATACTACAATATATCGCGAGCTCTATACTCTTTCAGTTCGCATTCTCAGCTGCATATGATGACGGCCTTGTAAGTAAAATAATTAATTGTTTGTATATCATATGAGTGCATGTGTGGATTGCCGGTGGGGTTGCTTTCTATCGTGTTTCTTGTCAGTTTATGTCTAGGGCCTACTTTAAATTGGCATGCTACCCATCAATTAACTCCAGAGACGCCTTTGGCATCGGCGTAGGAGCTCCCTGGAGTTACCCATCAACCTTACTCTAGGGAGCTCCGACGCCGACACTACGCCTGGGTAAATTATGCGTCGGCGTCGGAGCTAGCTACCTTGAGTTACCATCAACCAAGTGCTCCTACAATGCATGAACTTGAAGTCTACGGGATTGCCATAAACCAAAGGGGAACAAATAACTGAGGCCTTTGAGGTTAAGGGTTAACCATATGTAACATTACATAACACACTGACATGTCATGCTTTAAACAGGTGATGCACTTCACACATAACTGACAACGCACAATTGGCATAGGTACACACATAAAATAACAAACATTTCAGTACAACTTTCCAGTTTGTACCTTAATTATGGCGAAAAATGAGAATATTCAAACTTAAGTAAGACTTAAACTGAAGTGATATACTTAACCTTTTAAGGATGCTGAAAAAAAATCATAACAAATCGATGGTTTACTTTGACTAGAATATCATTATTTTGGTATCAGATCAACCGAGAAATTGCAACCTTTCTGCTCGCACCAATATCTTATACCCCCTTATAACATATTGAGCAAATGGCAGCCAGCTATTGGCCAATCAGAAGGGCCCTTGTAGGCGCCGATTTAGGAAAATGTGGCTGAGACTGGATCAATGTAATGCGCATGTGCTAGATGTAAACTAAATTTCTACATGCATAGACCAAAAAAAATCCATCTATTTCATTCAGTCCGGGATATGTCTTACTTCACTGAATTCCTATCCTACAGTCAGAGCATGAAAAGAGGAAATGTGTTTTAAAATTCCACCAAGCACTGAAGCAGGCAGATTTTTGTAAGGTTTAGCTTTAGGCCAAATGTTACTGCTGCATATTGAACCTAGCTGTTGAAGGCACATATATATTCACAAAATGAAAAAACAAACTGTAAAAATTATTTATCATGATCTTTCAAATCTTTTGTTACACAAATTTAATGCCATTCCATTAACATTCCAACATTTCCATGCTAGCTAATATCATGTATCAGTGCAAATTTAAGCCAACTTCTCTGATTCTTAGTCACAAATAAGCCCAATAGGCATTGTCATTGCGCTCTTTGTTAAGTGAGCCCTCTCTCACTTAAATTTGAAACCGCTCGAGCGGCTCAGCCAATCTTATTGGCTGAGAGAGCGTAACCTAAGTGCACAGCGCTAAATGCAAAAGTTCTACATATGGTGTACCTGACCGAATTAATTTTGTTTCTCTATCTTATTTTTATCTTGTACATGTAGCTTGTGAAGACGATGAATATGCCTGTCCAGAGATCTGTATCCCTATAGGTTTCCAATGTGATTTCTGGCATGACTGTCGGTATGGAGAAGATGAATTTGGGTGTGGCCACGAGGAGAAAGTTGATGGTAAGTTAAGGGTGTTTTTGTAAGTCTTATTCATATATGCCTAAGTAAATCACAGCGTTTAAAAAAATATGATTATTAGTATGTGTGTGTGTATATTATTAAAGGGAAAGTCCACCCCCAAAATAAGTTTGTTTCGATAGAGGCAGAATAATAAGAAAATCAGGTGAGTGAAAGTTTGAGCAAATTCTGAATGAAAATAAGAAAGTTATGAATTGTTGAAGTTGTGATCAATCAAATACAAATTGGCAACTCTGTGACTTATTATACGAGCTCTCCTTCATTTGCTTTGTGCATAATATTCCATAAAATCATGTTTTCTTCGTTATTGATGACGGAATATATATTTGTTCCTTGCAGGGGGAGTATAGAAACATATTTGCAATTATTATATTTAGGGTGCATGTATGGTTGAAATTTTTCTTGAGGGAAAATGAAAATTTTAGATTTTTTTAGTACTGAGCAAATGGAAGTTGAGCTCGCATGATACGTCATAGAGTTGCCAATTTGTGTTTGATTGATCACAACTTCAAAAATCCTAACTTCCTTATTTTTAATCGGAATTTGCTCAAACTTTCACTGACTTGTTTCTCTCATTTTTCTACTCCTATTAAAATTAACTTAATTTCAGGGTGGACTTCCCCTTTAATTGAATGCGTGACGGCCAGTATATTAGAAGGATGATATAGCTGTTGATCTTCTATGGCAGTAAGGGCCTGTGGGCAGCCAACGAATAGCAAGTAGGGATTAAAAGAGTGTGCAACAATGGTCCTACACATGTACATGTATCTGTGTGTTCTAAGATACACAAATGTGTTTAACACTAAAGTAACTATAAAAAAAAAACGGATTACAGCAGGATATTTGTGCAAGCTTTAAGTCCGGCATATATGTCACTCTTTATATGAGCTGTATAATGAGGGGTTGTGTGTCAGGTCGCTTAACAAAGTAAAGCCATTTCTTTTGCCTACATGTATATAGTTCATGAAATGTACACATTAAATAGCACTAACCAGAATAGATATTTATCCTCTCTAATATTGTCTAACATTAGTTGAAACAGATTTGTGAAAATTGCATTTAGAGTTCTACAATTTTAAATCAACTCTCGGGTACACAACTTATCTGGATGCACAACGTCTGGGTACACAATATGACTATGCCACAATTCCAAAGTATCATTTTTTTGGAGAAAATAAGTAAATTCGTCTCATAATACAAAAAATAAAGAATAGTGTCAAAGTCAGTATAGAAATGGCCTTTAATTGTTTTGAGAAAAAAAGCTTATTCCTCTCATGATACGCAATTAGTCCTTTTACCCAAACAATTTCCAATTCAGAGTAAATTTGGGGGTCTTTCTTTCACGGTTTTCCCAGATAGCTAGCACCAAAAAAATGATCTCTTATTTTCTCTGCTTCTTTTCCAAAACTGACAGAGTACATCCTTGACGCAAACAGAGTACAGCAATTCACATCACCTTTCTATCCTACCCCCTATGGGGGCGACAGAGCATTTCACTTCTGGTCATTTGATGCATCCGGCGTGGAAGGTGATTATGTTGTCAAGTTTACGTTCAACCCATACGACATCAGCAGTTCATCGTACATCGCATTTGGCAGCGGCTTGGACTTCACAAATCAGACCTCTGCATATGCTGTGTACGAAGGACAACGCGTTGATCTTGAGCTCTATAACCACTACTCGACCGAGAAGCAGGTCTGGGTAGAGTTCTATACAGGGATGGATAATGCTTCCTTTCCTGGATTTTCTGCTTCTGCTGAACTCATTCTACGCTCAGGTAATTTCCATTGAATTGTGGGTATGTATTCATAAAAGTGGCCTATAATGTTAAAGGGACTATTTAACAATGTTAAATCTGAGATGCATGGTGCCCTACGTGTTATCAGTGTCTGTAATATGGTGTTATATTGAAGCCCTAACAAAATTGTGCTTCAAAATGATTAAGAAGTGCCTCAAGAAAGTAAAAACCTTTGAGTGACCGGTTTTACCATTCTCTTTTTCCCCAATAGACTGTATAGTGTTATGAAAACCGTTTGGTAAACGGTTTTCAAAATTTGTAATTCGAATCATAAATATCTTGATAATCAGACAGGTGATCGGCTTGTAAAAGTCTTGGAGTTCCTGACTGACCTAAAGGTTTATAATTATCCTTGCAGCATGAGCTAAATCCAGGATTTTGTTTCAGAATCTGAAACAAATTAAGTTACCGGATCCCTTTAAGCCTGCATGGCTTAGAGTTGAGTGTAGACGTGTCAGAGTCACCACTCGCTTTTAAATGCAAAGGTAGTGGGTTCGACACAGCACTTTTGGCAAGGCATTAATCTACATTTGCCACTTCATATCCAGGAGGGAAATGGGGACCTGGTAGGATGACGAAAGCATTTGTGTTACTGTTAGTAATTGCCATATGTCCTTACGGTGACCATAATGGTAGGAAACTGGTGCACATTGTGCATAAATGAGTGAGTCAGATGACCGGGGTAATTATATCTGTAAAGCGCTTAGAGACAGTATTTCATATTAAGTACTATATCATTACAGATTATTATTATTATTCATCTGTTGACTCCTGAATCCTCTCACCCTCATAGGCTTAATAAAGAGACCACCTGGTCCCCATAAGCAATGGATTAACTACATGTGCAGTCCACTGATCAATACAGTGCAGTGCAAACACCTTTTTAGTTGTGTATAAATTCGTTTAAATGTTTAAGAACATTCATTTTGTTGTAAACTGAAGAGAATTTCCCAGTGACATGTATTTGTACTAGAGCAGGATATGATATTTCCACATTTCCACATATTTTCATTAAAAAAATTCATAATTTAAAATGCATTAATGTACATTGATTACTTTTATTGATGCTTTTAAAGATCATTGTTTATAAGGATTGTTTTGTTGGAAATGAAAATAAAACTGAAACTGAAAGTAAAAGGTGAATATTATTCTGATTGTCATTCATCTTCTATTTTCCCCTACAGATATTCCTCTGATTCAATGCTTGCGTAATGAGTATGCCTGCAGTAATGGAATAGATTGTATTCCTGGACACTGGGAGTGTGATGGCATTCATGACTGTCCTGACAGTGAGGATGAAATGAACTGCGGTAAATAATTGATTGTAGACAATTAGTAGTGGCTTACTTCGAATCATCTGATCAGCACATTGGGTCAGGTGGTCGCATTACCTGATCTTTTTTTTGTTAATGCTTGTTTATTCACGAAATATAGTCGGGGCTAATAATGTGAAATAAATTCCTCTAATCTACAAATGCTTTGGTCTAATATGTCCCCTACACTTTGTCAAAACCCTAAGGCAGATTAATGAAAGTTCGCCTCCTTAATGTGCATCTTCACATGATATTCCGCTTTCGTTTCACGAAAGGTCGTGTAATGCGACCAGACTCGATGACCCGATGATTTGAAGTAAGCCAGTAGTAGTGGGAGTTGAAGTAGCAGTGGTGTTGGTAGTGTTGGTAGTGGTGATGGTAATAGTGTTAGCCATGTTAGTCCACAGTAGTATTTGTAGAAGAAGGAGGAGGAGGAGGGGGAGGAGGCCGCCGCTCCCATTGATATCAAACAACTTCCTCATGATGGGGGTCTCCTGCCTTCATTTCATTCTATCATTTGTAAAATGTTAATTTCCCATATGTGTATTATCTAAAGCTATTGTATAAAATTAATTTGTGATTATCTAAAAATGTCTTAATACATTGAAATCTTTCTGTAATATTTAATTATTTTATATCACGTTATTCAAATTCAAATAAACAAGGACAGGGATGAAGAAGCCATTATTCATCCACAAGCAGGATTAAGAAAGATCCACTTTAGGGTTGCAAGTTTTTTCAGGTGCAATGTCTTTATTCAAATTTATTTTGTAATATCTTTTTCCTCGCATTGTGCCACAAAATGGAAGCAAAAATACTAAGCCTTAAAGGCATCGTTTAGCAATGTTAAATCTGAGATGCACAGCCCTAGTTGTTATCAGTGTCTGTAATATGGTATAATATTGAAGCCCTAAAAAAAAAATCACTCTTCAAAATGATCAAGAAGTGCCTCAAAAAAAGTAAAATCTTTTACTGACCGGTTTTACCATACTCATTTCCAATTATAAATATCTTGATAATGAAGCCCTAAAAAATCACTCTTCAAAATGATCAAGAAGTGCCTCCAAAAAAAAAAATGTTTACTGACCGGTTTTACCATACTCATTTCCAATTATAAATATCTTGATACGGTAATCAGACAGAACGATGGGCTCATAAAAGTGATGGGGTTCCTGACTGACCTAAAGGTTTATAATTATCATTGCAGCATGAGCTAAATCCAAGATTTTGTTTCAGAATCTGAGACAAAGTTGCCGGATCCCTTTAATATGATTTTTCTTTTCTTTCAATATTTAGCTGAATGCACCGCATACCAGTTTCAATGTCCAGAGAAGTGCATACCTTTGTCCTACGAATGTGATTTCTTTCCCGATTGTGAGAATTATGTCGATGAAATCGATTGTGGTCATCCTCCTGTTGGTAAGTAAATTTTTTACCACAAAACTGCCATGCAATCACCATGAATAATCACCATGAATATTTCAGGACCCCTCAATCCTCCCTCTCTCTCTACTGTATACCATGAATATTGTTTTTAAAGTTCAAGTCTGGTTCTAAAAGATGAGATTTTCAGCTTTAAACAAATGTATTATCCTGAAGTCACCACAACTGGATATTCCTAACATGAAAAAAGAGAAGAATGTCCAGTCCCAAAAGAACAAAAAGATGTAAAGTCTGTAGTCTATTTAAAGGGAAAGTCCTCCCTGATATAATGTTGGTTTTGATAGAAGCAGACAGATTACAGGATAAGGTCAGTGAAAGTTTAAGCAATTTTTTTTTAAATTTTTGAAGATGCGATCAATTAAAACCAAAATTTGCAACTTTGACGTATCTTGCAACCTCCCATCCCATTTGCTCTGTATTATAAATTCAGAAATTTCAATTTTCTGCCGTGAAGAAGATTTCCAGTCATACATGCACCCTAAATATAACTGTGGCAGATACGTGTTTATACAACCCCTGTATGAAACAAATTTATTCCGGCATCAATAACTAGAAAAATGAAAGTTTTATGAAACTTTCTGTACTGAGCAATCGGGAAGGGAGCTTGGAATGCCACACATTTGCCAATTTGTGACCGATTGGTCACAACTTCAAAAATTCAAAACTTAAAAAAAAAAAAATTATCAGATCATTCTCAAACTTTCACTGACCTGTTTCTCAAATTTTTTGCTTCTATTAAACCTACCTTGACTGGGTTAATAACACTGTATAAGCGCAGTAGTCTGTTACACTGTATTCAGTAAAGTGCTTATAATAAATTGTTATTACCGGTATTATTATTGTCATTAATATATTTATCCTGTATTCTAAATTGTATTGAACTTTTCTTTTATCATTTATATCCGTTTTTAGTTCACCACGATATTATAGTGGGTGATACTCCTGTTGAGTTCACCTCTCCAGGCTACCCTGAAAACTATCCTGGCAACAACACCTTCTTCCCATACACCTTCTCGACCTCTGACCCCAGCAAGCACATCCAGTTTGAATTCTCCGTCTTCCAGCTAGGCATAATAGCTAGTCTTTCGTTCGGCACCGGGCACGATTATTTTAACTCATCATCATTCTTGGATGTGTTCACCGCAAGGGTGCCTCCTACCACTTTTTACGCACCATCGGACAGAGTATGGGCGGATTTCTATACAGGTCTCGTGGCTGATGAAGGATTCTCGGCGACTGTCTCTACTTATCCTGCTGGCCGTGAGTATTTTCTAAGTCCCACTTATTGTTGTGGTGATATACATGTCCCTGCAGCTATTATGCATACAGTACATACATACACATTTAGAGCAGACAATAAGTCAGGAAGATAGTTTCACATGTTCAAGTATGTGTGCATAAAGTAATTACTTTTATTCCACAAAAAATCCTTGATAGGCCTTGATAAAATCTGTTTCTGATGCAGATGTCAATACAAAGTTGTAATTATGATTATATAATTTTGTTTTTGTTATAATTATTTTAATTATTTTAAATTAATATATTTATCATTGTTTGTAGTATCATTATTGTTATTATTATTTTTATCATCATTAATACTATTACAGTCAAACTTGTCTATAGCGACCGCCCAAGGGAAACACAAAAAGTGGCATTTGTAGACAAGTGGTCTTTGTAGACAGGTACATGATTCAATGAGAAACCATTTTCAAGGGAAACAACAAATGTGGCTTTTGTAGACAGGTGGTCTTTGTAGACAGGTGGTCACTAAAGCAGGTTTGACTATATTATTATTATTATTATTATTATTATTATTATCATTACTGTTATTATTATTCACTCTCTCTCTCTGTTTCTGTCGTGATCTCTCACTCCCTTCTACCCCATCCCCCTCTCTCTCTGTTTCCCTATCTCCCTTTATCTCTGTCTATCTCACCCTCTCTCCCTCTCTCCCTCTTTCTCTCTCTCTCTCTCTCTTTCTACCTTCTAGTCATTCCTCCCATGGTGACGTGTGATTCCAACCAGTGGGCGTGTCAGGATGGATTGACGTGTATCCCAGCAACCTACCGGTGTGATGGACACCATGACTGCCCGGCTAATGGAGAAGACGAGCATGGATGTCGTAAGTAGCCCTTCTTCCCCATCCTATAGACATGTCTGTAAAGCGCTTAGAGACATCGTAGATATATTAAGCGCTATATAAAACCGGAATATCATATTATTATGTGGTTCCATATTGTCATCTATTGGTGTTTTGGGGTATAAAGTCCTTAAGACATGTGCAGATTAGCAACTGAATCTAATTACCGGGGTGATAATTAATGCAAAGCGCTTAGAAATGTAGCATTGATGCAGTATGGCCATATTGTAGAATGAGTTCGTACGTTAAAGAAAGAGCATATTGCCCTCAGTCTCTGTTCATGAAAATTGCATGCTCAGTGCATATATGTACAACCTCCTTTGTCCATTTGGTGAACTTGACACTCTGTGGTGAGAGTATGCTGAATCTTATTCCATTTTCTGGAGTGATTGATGTAGCAAAACTAGCAACACGTGCCAGCTTTAGCTACAACATAGCTTTGTATGGCAACTGAAAGCTTTAAACCAAAACAGGTTATTTTTTGTTGAGGTATATAGTTTTTTCTAGGGATGAAGTTAAGAATTAAGTGAATGCAGGACAAACGACCACAGATACATTACTGCCGGAGCATGTCGTTAATTGTACCTTTGTGTGTATTTATGTAGTTGTATGTGTACTTGTATGTATTCACACCATTTACATGCATGTAAACTTTATCAAAACTAAACTTGTAAGTGATAGCAAAAAGTAAATAGCTATACATGTATAGAACAGTTGAGAAAACATTGTCCTATACTCATAGGAGAGTGATTTCCATCTCTACATTGTACATGCAAACACATACATGTCTCACTAATTTTGTCTCCTTCTCTCTCTCACCTTCTCTCTATCTCTCTCACCTTCTCTCTGTTTATCTCTCTGTCTCTCTCTTTCTGTCTACCTGTCTCTCTCATCTGCTTTATACCTGTATACCTATAGCTTCAGCCTGCAGGGAGTACCAGTTTGAATGTAAGAATGGTGAATGTCTACCCATACATTGGCAATGCAACGGCATTGAGCAGTGCTCTGAGGGAGAAGATGAGGTTGGCTGCGGATCTGAGGGTAAGTTGGCGATAGTTGACCTTTGAACTTTAATATACATGTCGAGGGGTCTGTGACACAAAGACGTAACTCCATTTTGGCCATTTTGAGAAAAAGTGGTTTAAAGATATAGAGTTTCCCTTGGGCCTTAAAGGATTTAAGTCTATGTTTCACTAGCCATTGACTTCAACGGGGTGTTGGGTGGAGTTAAGTCTTTGTGTTTCTTGGAAAGCCCACATTTTTCTGAACATTTTGATATCATATACTCATTTTGGCAAAATATGGAGTTACGTCTTTGTGTCACTGAACCCTTAGTGATGTATGAACTTGATTTCCATGTGCCATTATGCATGCATGCGACCAATGTCAAGCAATGTCAAACAATGTCAAACGGACATACATATATTAAAGCCACATAGTAATCAGTGTCCATGTGTATTGCATCATAATTCGCTGGTGCCAGTTTTGGTTGAATTACCAATTAATGTGTGCACACGTCTCTCAGGCAGCAGCAAACCTGGGACCCATTTTACAAAGCCTTTTTCAATGTCAAATGACAAAAATCAGTGACAAATTTTTGTGAAACGCCCCCTTGGTAGTTCTGGGCTCCATTTCACAAAACTTGTCATCCGTGACAAATGACAGTTTCTGTTATAAGCTAGTGAAATCCTTGTTTCTGATTGGTTATCAGCAGATTTGTCACTGATTTTTGCCATTTGTCATTAAAAAAAGGCTTTGTGAAACAGGTCTCTGAAGCTCTCAAGACCTAAATTACTCTCTGGTTCTGTATATATTTTTCCACTGGTTTGCTACTAAGGTGAGATTTTCTAATATTTGTTGGTTGATTTATTTGATAATAGGAGAGTGCGGTGATCAGCAGTTTAGGTGTAATGATGGGGCATGTATCCTGGCGCATCAGAAATGTAATTACTTCCTTGACTGCCCAGACGGATCAGATGAGCTGCAGGCGGAGTGTGGCAAGTTTCTCTCTTAAATTAAATTAAATTAAATTAAATTCCCCAGGGAGTGGAGAATGTGCATACATTGTGTGCTGGTAAGCCTGAATCCGATGACCGGGGTAATAATATTTATATCTGTAAAGCGCTTTGAGAGGGCCTTCGGTCCTGAAAAGTGCTATCTAAGAACTAGCTATTATTATTATTTAATTCAATTCAATTCAATAATGGTTTTTAATTAAAAAAACAATGCCTCGCAGCCAAAATGCTGAATTGTGCATGTTTACATATACATGAGCTCCATTACATAATATTACATTTGCCACACTACTCATGTGTAGCTATTTAAAATCAATCACTATATATTATTTACATTTCATTAAAATTCACAATAGTAATAACAATAATTTATTTAAAGTACAATACATAATATATGAATCAGTCAAAAAGCTAATACTGAAATTGAAATGTTTGCACCTGTGTCCTTAACAATTAATATTACTCTGTCTCTCTCAGATGCAGATTCAAATTTATTTATATTCTATTCTTAAAGAGGAGTGTATGTCATGCATGTAAATAAAATGACAAAATACATTTCTGATAAGAACAAAGTTTATTTAACATCCCAGTAAATAATGATTGAACATTAATAACGGAAACATTTATGATTAACATGTTAGAACTTCATGATAATTGATTTTTGTTCGTCTTTCAAATAATAGTCTTGCCCTCTGTCTGTTTTTATTTTGTAGGAGTATGCAACGAGTTTGACGAATACACTTGTGACTTTGGTAACTGTATCCCAAATTACTGGCGATGTGATTTCTACTATGACTGTGATGGCGGAGATGACGAGATGGAATGTCATATCCTCAACGAAGGAAGTAAGATGACCTTTCATCCATTCAGCATTCATTCTTTCATTTTGAATTGAATTGTACCAATCACATACCCAAGATATATTTGGTCTGTATGTAAGGGGCATGGTTCTATATGGCTATATGAGCTTCTAATAGATACAGGGGGTGTTTCACTCAGATCCTAAGTTGAACTTGTCTCTAAGTTGGACTTAACAATTATGGAAAGCCGTTAGCATCTATGCAAATATTTGTAAACGTTATTTTAAAAGGCATAAAATGTTGATTCAAATCCTTCATGTTTTCTATTATCAAGGAGATTTCATGTTCTTGATGTGGAATTTATAAAAAGTCTAAAATACTTGAATTTTTGCTTTTGAATATTCTTTATTTAAGGCTACAAATGGCTATCCATAATTTTTAATTCCAACTTAGAGTTAAGTTCGACTTAGGATCGTTGTGAAACACCCCCCTGGACATACCCTCAATGAACACGAAAGTGACTTGTGAGCAGACTACTTGTTGCATCTTTCCATGTTCACATAGTAAGAGCCCGCACAGAACCCAAGTCTGACTTGAGTTCGGTATGTGAAATTTAAAGAGAAGGTTGAGTTTTGGGGAGAGGTGAAAACAAATTTGTGAAAAATGTTCCCTAAAAAGATGGCTCTTCAAATGACTTCATATTCTAAATATGACAAGTAACAGCTTAAAATGAGGCCCGACTTTTATGCCACTGGGCCAAATTTCTAATCACTTTGATGATTCCAGAACCTTGCAGTGCACACCAATACTTATATGCCTAACTATTTCTTTCACAATGCAATCGCATGACCAGAACTCAATTTTATCTTTAATGTTATTTCTCATTTTCCACTGAACGCTGAACGAAGTTTCAGCGGCTGATTTTATACATGCAAGCTGTACATACAAATTATATTTCAGTTCATTGGGTACATACTAAAGTCTCTTTGCTTCAATTTTCCTATAATTTGGAATGCCATACCAAACAATGCATCCAATTGCAATATTCAAGAGATCACTGAAAGAAGAAAAAGTTATCCCAATATTCTACTCTATCCCTCAGTGACATATTTGTATTGTTATGTTTTTCCCTTGCGTTGCACATTTTCTGTGTTATAATTTTACTTAAAATAATGACAGGCATTTATCCTGCAAAATGTGTATTTGATGTACCAAATGTGAAACTGCATTATAGCGTATATAGCTTTATCATGTTGGTCTTCATATGTACCTTATCTACATGTATGTAGAGTATTGCACTTAAAAAGAAAATATGTTGCCTATGCCTTTCTTACATTGTAACTACATGTACATTGTAGATTGGACAAGTGTTGAAATGAATAAATGAAATATGCATATATATACATGTATATTCAAGTATATATTTCTTCATTTTCATGTTTCTAAAAATATTTTTCATGTATCTAAACAAACACTGTTGCAGCCAACATTACATTGGAGTTAATGCAGCAGGTCAACATTACGTCACAGAACTGGCCTGATTCGGCAGACGCTGCTATCTACCAACTCTGGCATATCACCGCCCCAGAGGGGGCCCTAATCCACTTTGACTTTGTTGACTTTGACCTGGGTGTCCAATCCTTCATGGTCTTCTCCGATGGTCACACGGTGGCCGATCATTCCAACGAGTGGGCCATCTACATTTACCGATTCAATCCCGAACTCTTGCTCTCGCACAACAACACCATCTCGGTCCAGTTTTACAGCGGGGCCTACGTGGGAACCAGGGGATTCTTCCTATCAATGAGGGCAGTGCACGGAGGTTCGTTCCAAGACTTGAATTCGGCTTTGTTTATTTACTTTTGTTTGACTTCATTTCAAATAAGTGTAATATGCTTCATATATCTGAAAGGATCAAATAGATTTACTACTATACAGTGCGTCCCCGAAAAAACGAAACCGAGAATTATTGATGTTTTATTATAACTTAATCACAATTATAATAAATAAATGACACATATTTGGAAAGCTTAGATCCTCCTCTTTCATTTGATGCAACTTATATGATTCATTTCTCACGCATGAGTAAATAAAAGCAATTTGAAGAAAGGAAACCAAAAAGTCATTTGGCGGGCGGTATCTGCGGAAAATCACATTTCTAGAAAGTTCAAAAGACAAAAGACTTAACTCTGTTTCGTTGAAGATCAGCCATGCATCAGGTCTTTTGTCTTCTTTGTGCGTGGCTGATCGTCAACGAAACGGAGTTAAGTCGTTTGTCAACTCTGTTAGTTGCTACGGCAGGCAGCCAGTGAAAACGAACTTGTTTGATCAAATTATGGAAATGCAAGCATTACTTTAAACAAACAGAACTTTGTTATTCCTGGCTCATTTTTCCTGATTGAGGTGTCGTATGAAAGGGTAGAAATTGAACTTTCTAGAAATGTGATTTTCTCCTTGAAATTCAGATACCGTCCGCAAAATGACTTTTTGGTTTCCTCTCTTCAAATTGCTTTTAATCATATGAGTTGCATCAAATGAAAGAAGAGACTCTAAGCTTTCCAAATATGTGTCATTTATTAATCATAATTGTGATTAAGTTATGATAAAACATTGATAGTTCTCGGTTTTGTTTTTTCTGGGACGCACTGTATATATCTTTCCCATTACCCATTCAATGTTTGTATACTATTCCTCTTGGTTCATGTCCATGCACTGTGTAGGGCCGTATCATATGCTCATATCCCTTGTGACAATAACATGTGGTGATAGTTATTTTACCTGACTGCTAAGAAAGCAAAAATGCTTGTTAGTAAGCAACCAGAGGACCGACGGCTTTAGGTCCTCTCCGAGAGACCAGGGTCCAAGGCACAAAACTTACCATTGATGGTAACTTTGCCATTAATGGTAACTACCATGGAAACCTTTATTTTGATTGGCTGTGGAGCCCTTTGGTAATGAGAAGTAATGCCTTTAATACCAAAGGGCACTATCACACCGCCTTGGTTTCGAACCCGGGTCGCCGAATTGGGAGACCACTGCTCTACAAACTGATCTATCGCGCCTCCACATTATCAATAATAACTTGCCCTATCTTACTTGTAACCTTTCAAAGTCTGTATACTATTCTTCCTGGGTCATATGTCCACCCTCCATGTAAAGCCACAGCTTACCAATGCCCAAAGGATCAAATATTTTTACTGGGTGTAAGCCACAAATATGTTTAAATAAAGGATCAAATAGTTTTACTTTCTTACTCATAACCATTCAATATTTGAAGAGTTTAATTACAAAAGGAGCTAAATCCATTTGTGTAACTTCAGAGAATTTTTTTTTTTTTTTACCAGATTTTGTACGGGCGTCTATGGAAAAGTGATATTAAAAGGTGCATTTTTTCATAATTGCTCCCAAAATTTAGAAAACAATGTTCTGATATATAACTCAATTTTTATCAAAAGTGGATTTAACTCCTTTTGGAATTAAGCTCTTACATTTTGTATACTATTCCATCTCAGGTCATGTCCATCCACCGTGTGCAGACACAGCTTACCAATGTGCAGGGGATCAAGAGTGTATCCCTGCATACTGGCAATGTGATAACTTTGAAGACTGCATTCTGGGTGACGATGAGGCCAACTGCACAGATACCACACCAGGTCAGTGCTCGTCTCACAGACTCTTTTTTGAAATAATAATAATAATATCAAAAATAATATCGCTAGTGATATTTGTTTGTCTCACAATGTATGGTCAACAAGGGATGTACGGACAAACAAGGGATCTAAAAGATCACAACGTTTTAACAAGGGATCTAAAAGATCACGACGTTTTGTGCGCCGCTGCAACACTTCGTCAGGTGATAACATCTAATGTAAGCAAGCATGTTTGTTTTTCTCTACGGGCGGATCTAACGGTCAATTAATTCAATCAATGATGATGATGATGATGATGATCATAATAACAATAATAATGATATTACTATTAACATTAGTGGGTTCTTGTACAGTATAGGGCTTATGTTTGTGAGACTCAACACTCACAGGGCTCAACACTGGAGCTCCACAAGTAGATTAGATCTAAATTTATTTCTGTGCTGTTATACATGTTTATATATGTAACGGCATTGCTTGACAATATATTTACATGAATATGGACAATCAGTGACAAAGCTAAAGAAGGGAAGAGATGCACATGCCCCCCCCCCCCCCCAACTTTACAACAGGCTGGAAAAAGGGAAAAGAAGTAGAGCTGAAAAGACAGCATTAGGAAAGAGAGGAAAATGGTAAAAAGAGAAGAAAAGAGGACAATCAGAGCCCCTCCTACAGTCTCCCCTAAATCAGAAGATTTGTTAATTTGCAAATCATTTTTCGATTGAAAGTAAGGCCCCTTCAAGGTTTAGACTCCCTCTATACCACTGTAGACAATATACCATACATGTATGCATTGATAGATGTTAAAGGCCCACTGCACTACTTGTAGCTACTTGCGCCCTCTATATAACAAACAATGACTAATCGGTGACCATTGGTCCCCCATGATTTTCTTATGTTAACTGAGAGCTGAGTTGATGAGATAACCACCTGTCCAGTGATCTTGCAGGGCAGTATAATCCCTCCTGTAAACTACGGCAGATAAGCTTTAAAGGCAATGCAAAGTTTTGGGAAAGTTTAAATTTGGATGGATAGTAATTCTTTAAAATGTTGATATATTTGGATGCCCCTGTGGAGGTATTATAAGCTCTTGAAAGTGTAGCCCCTAAAACACTTCTTCTTTCGAGAAATTGAATAATCAAAAATTTACCAGTGCTCTCGATAAATTTCAAATATTTCAAATAGTGCCTAAGACCATTTCATGGTAGTTGCGACCATGAAAATCTCAGAATATGCGGTTCTGATATATAGTTTCCAAACGGGAATAACAAAGTGGTCGATTGTAGTCAAGAAACATTGTTTTGAAATAAAGTAATATCAGTCTTGAGAGGGCGCTATACAACTTAAAGAGTTTAATAGTTACAATTTCATCACTTTAGACTCGCTTTCAACCGCGACAACGATGATTGAATATTGTAAGACTGCATATGCTTCAAATACGTTCATTTGAACCAAATTCATTTTGGAATGGGCCCTTACCAAAACTTTGTATTACTTTTAACATGTAGCTTGAGTGAATCCCAGTGTAAAGAGATGATGGTATAAAAGAAATGTATAGCCTATAAAAAGCCATGGCCATGCAAGAAACATGTAGTAATGATAATTTCACATGTAGCGGTTTGCATTCTAAAACGTTTGTTGCACTTTGTTTTGTTCTTCTTTAGGAGAATGTGGTGTTCACGCAAATGAATACAAATGTCAGGACACAGAGATATGTTTCCATGCTGACTACAGATGTGACTACGGATCGGACTGTCCTAATCACGATGATGAGTTCAACTGTTAGTAGTAGACACGGCGACGGTGATGATGATAGTGTTGGTGGTGATGGTGATGGTGGTGATGGTTATGGTGATTGGTGGTGATGATGATGATGATGATGATGATAGTGTTGGTGGTGATGGTGATGGTGGTGATGGTGATGATGACGGTGCATGGTGATGACAATGATGATAATGGTGACGATGATGGTGATAAAGATGATGGTGATGGTGGTGATGGTTATGGTGATTGGTGGTGATGGTGATGGTGGTGATGGTGGTGGTGGTGATGGTGGTGATGGTGGTGATGGTGGTGATGAGGATGGTTATGGTGATTGGTGGTGATGATGATGATAGTGTTGGTGGTGATGGTGATGGTGATGATGGTGGTGATGGTGATGGGGGTGATGGTGGTGATGGTGATGGTGGTGATGGTGGTGATGGTGGTGATGGTGGTGATGGTGATGGTGGTGATGGTGGTGATGGTGGTGATGGTGATGGTGATGGTGATGGTGATGGTGATGGTGATGGTGATGGGGGTGATGGTGGTGATGGTGATGGTGGTGAGGGTGATGGTGATGGTGATGGTGATGGTGATGGTGGTGATGGTGGTGATGAGGATGGTGGTGATGGTGATGATGACGGTGCATGGTGATGACAATGATGATAATGGTGACGACGATGGTGATAATGATGATGGTGATGATGATGACGGTATTCATGATGGTGATGGCGGTGATGGTTATGGTGATAGGTGGTGATGGTAATGGTGGTGATGGTGGTGATGGTGGTGATGGTGGTGATGGTGGTGATGAGGATGGTTATGGTGATTGCTGGTGATGATGGTGATGATAGTGTTGGTGGTGATGGTGATGGTGGTGATAACGGTGCATGGTAATGACAATGATGATAATGCTTACGATGATGGTGATAATGATGATGGTGATGATGATAATGACGGTATTCATGATGGTGATGGTGGTGATGGTTATGGTGATTGGTGGTGATGGTAATGGTGGTGATGGTGGTGATGGTGGTGATGGTGGTGATGGTGGTGATGAGGATGGTTATGGTGATTGGTGGTGATGATGATGATAGTGTTGGTGGTGATGGTGATGATGAGGATGGTTATGGTGATTGGTGGTGATGATGATGATAGTGTTGGTGGTGATGGTGATGGTGATGATGGTGGTGATGGTGATGGGGGTGATGGTGGTGATGGTGATGGTGGTGATGGTGGTGATGGTGGTGATGGTGGTGATGGTGATGGTGGTGATGGTGGTGATGGTGGTGATGGTGATGGTGATGGTGATGGTGATGGTGATGGTGATGGGGGTGATGGTGGTGATGGTGATGGTGGTGATGGTGATGGTGATGGTGATGGTGATGGTGATGGTGATGGTGGTGATGGTGGTGATGGTGGTGATGAGGATGGTGGTGATGGTGATGATGACGGTGCATGGTGATGACAATGATGATAATGGTGACGACGATGGTGATAATGATGATGGTGATGATGATGACGGTATTCATGATGGTGATGGCGGTGATGGTTATGGTGATAGGTGGTGATGGTAATGGTGGTGATGGTGGTGATGGTGGTGATGGTGGTGATGGTGGTGATGAGGATGGTTATGGTGATTGCTGGTGATGATGGTGATGATAGTGTTGGTGGTGATGGTGATGGTGGTGATAACGGTGCATGGTAATGACAATGATGATAATGCTTACGATGATGGTGATAATGATGATGGTGATGATGATAATGACGGTATTCATGATGGTGATGGTGGTGATGGTTATGGTGATTGGTGGTGATGGTAATGGTGGTGATGGTGGTGATGGTGGTGATGGTGGTGATGGTGGTGATGAGGATGGTTATGGTGATTGGTGGTGATGATGATGATAGTGTTGGTGGTGATGGTGATGATGAGGATGGTTATGGTGATTGGTGGTGATGATGATGATAGTGTTGGTGGTGATGGTGATGGTGATGATGGTGGTGATGGTGATGGGGGTGATGGTGGTGATGGTGATGGTGGTGATGGTGGTGATGGTGGTGATGGTGGTGATGGTGATGGTGGTGATGGTGGTGATGGTGGTGATGGTGATGGTGATGGTGATGGTGATGGTGATGGTGATGGGGGTGATGGTGGTGATGGTGATGGTGGTGATGGTGATGGTGATGGTGATGGTGATGGTGATGGTGATGGTGGTGATGGTGGTGATGGTGGTGATGAGGATGGTGGTGATGGTGATGATGACGGTGCATGGTGATGACAATGATGATAATGGTGACGACGATGGTGATAATGATGATGGTGATGATGATGACGGTATTCATGATGGTGATGGCGGTGATGGTTATGGTGATAGGTGGTGATGGTAATGGTGGTGATGGTGGTGATGGTGGTGATGGTGGTGATGGTGGTGATGAGGATGGTTATGGTGATTGCTGGTGATGATGGTGATGATAGTGTTGGTGGTGATGGTGATGGTGGTGATAACGGTGCATGGTAATGACAATGATGATAATGCTTACGATGATGGTGATAATGATGATGGTGATGATGATAATGACGGTATTCATGATGGTGATGGTGGTGATGGTTATGGTGATTGGTGGTGATGGTAATGGTGGTGATGGTGGTGATGGTGGTGATGGTGGTGATGGTGGTGATGAGGATGGTTATGGTGATTGGTGGTGATGATGATGATAGTGTTGGTGGTGATGGTGATGATGAGGATGGTTATGGTGATTGGTGGTGATGATGATGATAGTGTTGGTGGTGATGGTGATGGTGATGATGGTGGTGATGGTGATGGGGGTGATGGTGGTGATGGTGATGGTGGTGATGGTGGTGATGGTGGTGATGGTGATGGTGGTGATGGTGGTGGTGATGGTGATGGTGATGGTGATGGTGATGGTGATGGTGGTGATGGTGATGGGGGTGATGATGGTGATGGTGGTGATGGTGGTGATGGTGGTGATGGTGGTGATGGTGGTGATGAGGATGGTTATGGTGATGGTGGTGATGGTGATGATGACGGTGCATGGTGATGACAATGATGATAATGGTGATGACGATGGTGATAATGATGATGGTGATGATGATGACGGTATTCATGATGGTGATGGCGGCGATGGTTATGGTGATAGGTGGTGATGGTAATGGTGGTGATGGTGGTGATGGTGGTGATGGTGGTGATGGTGGTGATGAGGATGCTTATGGTGATTGCTGGTGATGATGGTGATGATAGTGTTGGTGGTGATGGTGATGGTGGTGATCACGGTGCATGGTAATGACAATGATGATAATGCTTACGATGATGGTGATAATGATGATGGTGATGATGATAATGACGGTATTCATGATGGTGATGGTGGTGATGGTTATGGTGATTGGTGGTGATGGTGATGGTGGTGATGAGGATGGTTACGGTAGTGTTGGTGATGATGTCGATGGTGGTCATTGCTGGCGATGATGATAATGACGGTGGTGATGACAATGATGATAATGGGGATGATGATGATGGTGATAATGATAATGGTGACAGTGATGATGACGGTATTCATGGCGGTGATGGTGATAGTGATGTTGATTGTGACTACCCTTTATACTGTCCTAATCACGTCATTAATTCAAACTATATAAGTGGTAGATACTTATAATGATAATGATTGGATTTACCGGTAGTCAATCAAAAAATTAAGAAGAACTGTTGAGGTATTTTTTCAGACGTTTTGTGAAGTAGTCATGTGAAACACTCTGATTTGAAGCCATCCTGCTTTCTGGATTTGGAAATGATGATGGTAGCGAAGGAGCAGATGTAGATAAAAATGAACATAATGTTCTCTGCTGTTGAAAGAGTAAGGAGGTGTATTTAGGAAGAGTGGTTGACATAGATTTAACAGTTTTTATATACAAGTATCTAGTATGAAATTCTTTGTAATTTTCATTCACTTTGTTCCATTTTTATCTGTATTAACTATGAAAGAGTGGAAAATTCATTTAGACCTTTAAGCTTATCTGTACTATTTTATAGGAGGGATTAGACCACACTGCAAGGTCACTGGACAGGTGCTTATCTCATCAACTCAGCTCTCAATTAACATAAGAAAAAGAGGATCATGGGGGACCAATGGTCACTGATTAGGCATTGTTTTATATAGAGGGAGCAAGTAGCTACAAGTAGGACAGTGTGACTTTAAGAAAACTCAGAACTGTAATTATTCTTCCCTCCACCATTCCTGTATGAAGGTACTTGCAAAGAGGGTGACTTCAAGTGTCCTGGAACAGGACAGTGCCTACCAGCTCACTATGTGTGTGATTTCTACTACGACTGCATAGGAGGCGTGGAAGATGAAACGGAAGGATGCGGAACACCTTCCTCAATATGTGAGTTATTAGGCCTGGGGGGTATTTCACAAAGATCTTAAGTTGTACTTACATGTATCTCTAAGTTGGACTTAAAAGTTATGGAGAGCCATTTGTAGCCTTAAAATAAAATATATTCAAAATCGAAAATTCAAGTATTTTAAACTTTTCATAAATTCCACATCGAGAACATGAAATCTCCCATGATAGTAGAAAATATGAATGATATGAATCAACATTTTATGCCTTTTAAAATAACTTTTACAAAATATTTTTAAAGATGCTAACGGCTTTCCATAATTTTTAAGTCCAACTTAGAGATAAGTTCAACTTAGGATATTTGTGAAACACCCCCCAGTTTCATAAAGCTGCACGTAACGTTACACACGACTTTTTGAACGACTTGTATACGAAGTGCCAGATAGGATGCCCAAAGTTTTTCCTGATGTTTTAACAAAGTGTGACTATATTTCCAATAACCTCAATTAAATTATGGCCAAAAAAAATACTTTGTCATAAAAATGTTTGTTATAATATTAAGAGTGATAATCTACATCTGCACAGTTCAACTTTAGTTGATGCAGTTAATAATGATTACGAGCAGCTTTATGTAACACCCCGTATTGGTCATTTTAGGTGTTTTTAGTAGAGGTGTTGGGGTCTAGTGGATAAGTCACTCAACTGCAGATCACAAGGTACGAGGTTCAAATCCCAGTCCGGCACTAATGCCCTTTGCCAAGACGTTAATCTACATTTGCCACTCTCTACCCAGGTGTTAATGGATACCCGGTAGGATGGGAATTTAATGTACATGTAGATTGCTCAGCATTGTGAGCATCTGTAAAATGATGCCTGCATGGCTGGAATGCTCCCCAGGGAGTGGATACATTTTAAATCCAGACGAAGCAGGGAGAGTTATCCTATTGCTTCATGGAGCACCTAGTGTTGATCCTGTCTGTGTTCTCATAGCGACACAAAATTATTAATGAATTGAGTAGAATAGCTTTATAATCTTTCACCTCATGTAAAAAATTTCACCATCTCACTCATAAATGTCATATGTATGTGGACCATTTCTTTTTACTGCATTCTTATGCCCAAAGGAAATTAATTAATGAAATTAAATGATTCAATCAATGCAGTGCAACAATTTTACCATCTCACTCATGAATGTCAGATGTATCTTTACCATTTCTTTTCACTGCATTTTTATAAACAAAGGAAATGAACTAATGAAATAAAATGATTTAATCAATGCAGTGCAACAGACCCTTGAAGTAGAAACGATCTTCAAGATTCAATCGACCAACTACCCCGACTTCTACCCACCAAGGGACTATCTGGTTTACATCATCACAGCTCCTCAGGACCATGTTGTCCGTGTGATTTACAAAGACTTTTCTATCGACTGGAAGGGTTTCTTGGTGTTTGGCCATGGCTCGGACTACACTGACCACGACCAGGTGTTCGCAGTTTACAACCATCACGACGACCCAACGGATTTGTACACACCGACCGATAATTTCTATATCATCTTCCATGGAGGGACCTATGGGCAATCCAAAGGGTTCGATATCGATATGATCCCTATTGAAAAATCAGGTAAGTACAAGCAATCCCATGCAGACACCGAAATCAGTACATTTCATTTCATGTCATTTATTTTCACAATAACAGCAATTCAATTTACAAAGCTTTTCATTTGACAAAGTCATTCCAATTAAAATATTAACGTGTAATGCAGTAAAATTATTGAATTGCTTGCTGTATTGCGAAGGAAATCTAGGAAAGCGTAGCTTGTAATTTACGTTCCCTAGCATAACATTCATCTTGTGACATTATCTGTAAATCATTAGTGAGCTAAAGATGACATAATTAGTGAAAACAAATATTGGGGTCATCCACAAATAATATAATGATAAAACATAGATGAATTCTGAAAATCATTAATATACAACATTAACAAAAGAGGCCCAAGAAGTGAGCCCTGAGGCACTCAACATGCCATGTCATTATATTCTGAGCTTGAGCCATTTATGGAGACGAACTGCTTTCTACCTGTAAGATAACTGCAGAACCACTCCGAGGCCCTTCCCCTTATTTCATAATGTGACAATTTATGTACAGTAATAGAATGTCATGGTCGATGGTATCAAGGGCCTTGCAGAGGTCTAGAAAGATACCAAGTGTGTGAAGGTGGTCATCTATAGCAGTTGCTATATGATTAATAAAGTATAAATACGTTTTAGTTGAGGATGTGAAAATTAAACTCTGTCCTCTGCTCTGCTTGTCTGCTAGCTACTCCAACAGTGATTCCACAAGGCACCTGTGAGCCAGGAGAGTTTGCTTGTTTTGACGGTGATTGTTTGCCTGGTTACTATGAGTGTGATGGTCAGCATGATTGTACAGGTGATGAAGACGAGGCCAGGTGTTACGCAAGTGGAGGTGAGATCAACCAATGCAATTTCCTTATAATCCCTAAGCTGCAAGGTCTGGTGACCTGACATATGCTCTTGTCAAATGTTTAGGGTTTGGGTTAGGGCTGCAATTGTTTAGGGTTAGGGCTATGGCTGCAATTGGTTATGTGTTAGGTTTAGGTTTAGGGTTAGGGCTCCACTTTGGTTATGTATTAGATTTTTCTTTCCTCTACAAATCCATCCACAACTTAATTACCGTTGATACTGACCACTACCAAAACGGGTCATCTGGAGTAGGGGTATCTACAAGAATACGCTCTTCAGTATCATTCACGAAGTTATCCGCTGTAAAGGACTGTTATAAACACTCTCTATATCCCAGGACATTCCCTGAATGGAACTTTCTCCCGGCCCATGTTAGAAATACCTCCACCCTTGGAGCCTTTAAAGCTAACTTACAAAAGCTCAACATGGGTGAAATAATTGCTAGAGCCCACTTCAGAAATTAAGTATAAGATACTATGCTCAGTCGACTGCGCCTGCATGTTACATCCCGGCTGAGGAGTTTATGCAGTAGCCCACCAGAACCAGAACCAGAACCAGATTTAGGGTTAGGACAAGAGCTGCAATTGGTTATGTGTTGGGTTTAGGGTTAGGGCTGCAATTGGTTATGTGTTAGGTTTAGGGTTAGGGCTAGGGCTGCAATTGGTTATGTGTTGGGTTTAGGGTTAGGGCTGCAATTGGGTATGTATTAGATTTAGGGTTAGGATTAGAGCTGCAATTGGTTATGTGTTGGGTTTAGGGTTAGGGCTGCAATTGGTTATGCGTTAGGTTTAGAGTTAGGGCTAGGGCTGCAATTGGGTATGTGTTGGGTTTAGGGTTAGGGCTGCAATTGGTTATGTGTTAGGTTTAAGGTTAGGACTAGGGCTGCAATTGGGTATGTGTTGGGTTTAGGGTTAGGGCTGCAATTGGTTATGTATTAGATTTAAGGTTAGGACTAGAGCTGCAATTGGTTATGTGTTGGGTTTAGGGTTAGGGTTGCAATTGGGTATGTGTTAGGTTTAGGGTTTGGGCTAGGGCTGCAATTGGTTATGTGTTGGGTTTAGGGTTAGGGCTGCAATTGGGTATGTGTTAGGTTTAAGGTTAGGACTAGGGCTGCAATTGGGTATGTGTTGGGTTTAGGGTTAGGGCTGCAATTGGGTATGTGTTAGGTTTAGGGTTAGGGCTAGAGCTGCAATTGGTTATGTGTTGGGTTTAGGGTTAGGGCTGCAATTGGGTATGTGTTAGGTTTAAGGTTAGGACTAGGGCTGCAATTGGGTATGTGTTGGGTTTAGGATTAGAGCTGCAATTGGTTATGTGTTGGGTTTAGGGTTAGGGCTAGGGCTGCAATTGGTTATGTGTTGGGTTTAGGGTTAGGGCTGCAATTGGGTATGTGTTAGGTTTAAGGTTAGGACTAGGGCTGCAATTGGGTATGTGTTGGGTTTAGGGTTAGGGCTGCAATTGGGTATGTGTTAGGTTTAGGGTTAGGGCTAGAGCTGCAATTGGTTATGTGTTGGGTTTAGGGTTAGGGCTGCAATTGGGTATGTGTTAGGTTTAAGGTTAGGACTAGGGCTGCAATTGGGTATGTGTTGGGTTTAGGATTAGAGCTGCAATTGGTTATGTGTTGGGTTTAGGGTTAGGGCTGCAATTGGGTATGTGTTAGGTTTAGGGTTAGGGCTAGAGCTGCAATTGGTTATGTGTTGGGTTTAGGGTTAGGGCTGCAATTGGGTATGTGTTAGGTTTAAGGTTAGGACTAGGGCTGCAATTGGGTATGTGTTGGGTTTAGGGTTAGGGCTGCAATTGGTTATGTGTTAGGTTTAGGGTTAGGGCTAGGCCTGCAATTGGTTATGTGTTGGGTTTAGGGTTTGGTCTGCAATTGGTTATGTATTAGATTTAGGGTTAGGGCTAGGGCTGCAATTGGTTATGTGTTGGGTTTAGGGTTAGGGCTGCAATTGGTTATGTATTAGATTTAAGGTTAGGACTAGAGCTGCAATTGGTTATGTGTTGGGTTTAGGGTTAGGGCTGCAATTGGGTATGTATTAGATTTAGGGTTAGGGCTAGGGCTGCAATTGGTTATGTGTTGGGTTTAGGGTTAGGGCTAGGGCTGCAATTGGTTATGTGTTGGGTTTAGGGTTAGGGCTGCAATTGGTTATGTATTAGATTTAAGGATAGGACTAGAGCTGCAATTGGTTATGTGTTGGGTTTAGGGTTAGGGCTGCAATTGGGTATGTATTAGATTTAGGGTTAGGGCTAGGGCTGCAATTGGTTATGTGTTGGGTTTAGGGTTAATAGGGCTGCAATTGGTTATGTATTAGATTTAAGGTTAGGACTAGGGCTGCAATTGGTTATGTGTTGGGTTTAGGGTTAGGGCTGCAATTGGTTATGTATTAGATTTAAGGTTAGGACTAGAGCTGCAATTGGTTATGTGTTGGGTTTAGGGTTAGGGCTGCAATTGGGTATGTATTAGGTTTAGAGTTAGGGCTAGGGCTGCAATTGGTTATGTGTTGGGTTTAGGGTTAGGGCTGCAATTGGTTATGTATTAGATTTAAGGTTAATAATAATAATAATAATTAATAATAATTGTAAATTTATAATGCGCAGTTTCTATATGTATATACTCAACTGCGCATGACATAATCATAGTAAAAGGAACAATACAAATAAACATTTAAAAGTTAAAATCGATGCTAAGGGGGAACCTGTGTATGCTTTACAATGAAAATGTCTATGTAAAACTTTCCTGAAACAGATAGGTTTTCAGGTTATTTTTAAACACATTGATTGATGATGCATGTCTAATTGTGGCAGGGAGACTATTCCAGAGTTTGGGTGCAGCGCTAACAAAGGCGCGGTCACCTAGAGTAACCTTTGTTTTACAAGGTGGAAGACTCAGGAGCATGGTATCATGGGAACTACGGAGCCTGTAGGACTGGGTGGGTGATTTTAACGTCAGGAGTTCACTGAGATAAATGGGGGCCAAGCCATGGAGTGCCTTATAAGTAAGGAGGAGTATTTTGAATTTGATTCTCTGGCGAACTAGAAGCCAGTGCAGATCATGAAGTAGTGGGGTTACATGAGAGAATTTGGGGGAATTGCAGATGAGTTTGGCACATGCATTTTGTACACGTTGTAATTTACATATCTGAGATTCTGGTAAGCCAAACAGTAGTCCATTACAGTAGTCCAATTTGCTTGTTATAAAGGCATGGACTAATGTAATGATACATGTGCGAGTTAGGTATTTCCGAATGTGACGTAGGTTGTACAGATGATAGAAGGCTGCTTTGCATGTTTTGGATATATGGGTCTCCATGTTCAACTGAGAGTCAAACCAGACACCAAGGTTTTTTGCAACCATAGACTGCTCGACTACAGTATTTCCGACTGTTATACAATTTATATTAAGTTTTGACACTTGCCTAGGTGTTCCAATAATAAGAAATTCAGTTTTGCTGTCGTTGAGTTTCAACTTACAGCTTAACATCCACCTACGAAGATCCCTTAGACAGTGTTCAAGAGCTGAAACACAGGACTGTTCTTGTTCCCTGACTGGGCTACATGAAATGTATAACTGGGTATCATCTGCATAGCAGTGACAAGATATGTGCTGAGAGTACTCAGGACTCAGGTTAGGACTAGGGCTGCAATTGGTTATGTGTTGGGTTTAGGGTTAGGGCTGCAATTGGTTATGTATTAGATTTAGGGTTAGGACTAGGGCTGCAATTGGTTATGTATTAGATTTAAGGTTAGGACTAGGGCTGCAATTGGTTATGTTTTGGGTTTAGGGTTAGGGCTGCAATTGGTTATGTATTAGATTTAAGGTTAGGACTAGGGCTGCAATTGGTTATGTGTTGGGTTTAGGGTTAGGGCTGCAATTGGTTATGTATTAGATTTAGGGTTAGGACTAGGGCTGCAATTGGTTATGTATTAGATTTAAGGTTAGGACTAGGGCTGCAATTGGTTATGTGTTGGGTTTAGGGTTAGGGCTGCAATTGGTTATGTGTTAGGTTTAGAGTTAGGGCTAGGGCTGCAATTGGGTATGTGTTAGGTTAAGGTTTAGGGTTAGGGCTGCAATTGGGTATGTATTAGATTTAGGGTTAGGACTAGAGCTGCAATTGGTTATGTGTTGGGTTTAGGGTTAGGGCTGCAATTGGGTATGTATTAGATTTAGGGTTAGGATTAGAGCTGCAATTGGTTATGTGTTGGGTTTAGGGTTAGGGCTGCAATTGGTTATGTGTTAGGTTTAGGGTTAGGGCTAGGGCTGCAATTGGTTATGTGTTGGGTTTAGGGTTTGGTCTGCAATTGGTTATGTATTAGATTTAGGGTTAGGACTAGAGCTGCAATTGGTTATGTGTTGGGTTTAGGGTTAGGGCTGCAATTGGTTATGTATTAGATTTAAGGTTAGGACTAGGGCTGCAATTGGTTATGTGTTGGGTTTAGGGTTAGGGCTGCAATTGGTTATGTGTTAGTTTTAGAGTTAGGGCTAGAGCTGCAATTGGTTATGTGTTGGGTTTAGGGTTTGGTCTGCAATTGGTTATGTATTAGATTTAAGGTTAGGACTAGGGCTGCAATTGGTTATGTGTTGGGTTTAGGGTTAGGGCTGCAATTGGTTATGTATTAGATTTAAGGTTAGGACTAGGGCTGCAATTGGTTATGTGTTGGGTTTAGGGTTAGGGCTGCAATTGGTTATGTATTAGGTTTAGAGTTAGGGCTAGGGCTGCAATTGGTTATGTGTTGGGTTTAGGGTTAGGGCTGCAATTGGTTATGTATTAGATTTAAGGTTAGGACTAGGGCTGCAATTGGTTATGTGTTGGGTTTAGGGTTAGGGCTGCAATTGGTTATGTATTAGATTTAGGGTTAGGACTAGGGCTGCAATTGGTTATGTATTAGATTTAAGGTTAGGACTAGGGCTGCAATTGGTTATGTGTTGGGTTTAGGGTTAGGGCTGTAATTGGTTATGTATTAGATTTAAGGTTAGGACTAGGGCTGCAATTGGTTATGTATTAGATTTAAGATAAGGACTAGGGCTGCAATTGGTTATGTGTTGGGTTTAGGGTTAGGGCTGCAATTGGTTATGTGTTAGGTTTAGAGTTAGGGCTAGGGCTGCAATTGGGTATATGTTAGGTTAAGGTTTAGGGTTAGGGCTGCAATTGGGTATGTATTAGATTTAGGGTTAGGACTAGAGCTGCAATTGGTTATGTGTTGGGTTTAGGGTTAGGGCTGCAATTGGGTATGTATTAGATTGAGGGTTAGGATTAGAGCTGCAATTGGTTATGTGTTGGGTTTAGGGTTAGGGCTGCAATTGGTTATGTGTTTGGTTTAGGGTTAGGGCTAGGGCTGCAATTTGTTATGTGTAAGGTTTAGGGTTAGGGCTGCAACTGTGTTTTGATGAGGATTAGGGTTGGGGTTAGGTTAGATTTTGGGTTAGGGTTTAGGGTTAGCATAGGTTTGGGTTACGTAATGGGTTAGAGTTACGTTATGGTTACTCTTGGTTATGGGTTAGGGTTAGGGTTGCTCTTGGTTATGGTTTAAGGTTAGGGTTGCAATTGGGTTTTGATTGAGTTTAATGTTAGGGCTAGGGTAGGTCTATGTTTTGGTTTAGGGTTAGGGTAGCTAATCATTATAGGTTAGGTTTAGGGTTAGGGTAGCTACTGGTTAGGGGTTAGGCTAAGGATGAGGGTTAGCATAGGTATGAGTGAGGTTTAGAGTTGGAGTTAGGGTAGCTATTGGTTAGGATTAGGGTTTTAATTGGGTTTTGATGAGTTTAATGTTAGGGCTAGGGTAGGTATTTGTTATATGTTAGGTTTAGGGATAGGGTCGCGGTTAGGGTAGCTATTGGTTATGGGTTAGAGTTTAGGTTAGGACAGCTATCCATTATGGATTAGAGTTGCTTTTGGATTTTGATTAGGATGAGCGTTAGGGTTGGTATTGGTTATGGGTTAGGGTAGGTATTTAGAATATAGATTAGCTATTGGATAAGGGTTAAGTTTAGGGTTTTGTATAGTGTTGGGGGTCAGGGTTGAAGCCAGGAATTCAGTTAGTGTAGGATATAGACATGGACCAATCGTAGCGGGAGCAAGTATCGTACAACCGGCAGGTCCCTGCAAAGTGTTTCATGTAGAAATGATGTAGCTATGTTACATGCGTTTCGGTAATACAGGAACTTAATCATATTATTTGTCTGAATTATTATCTTTTAAATCATATCAATTGGCACAAAACATACAGCTAAATTCTCAAGCTACCTCGTCCTAAGACAAAAGTAACTCTTGGAGATTGCGCTTTCAGTTGTGTCTTTCCAAAGGTTTGGAAAAACCAACCACTAGACATAACAGAAGCCTTCAAAACCGTCTTCAAAATGTTGTTGAAGATGCATTTTTGTTTTCAGGAGCTTTTGAATAATTTTTGGTTGTGTGTCAGTAAACTAGCACTGTTTAGAGCATTTTTGTTTCATCACAGCACAGTAGAATATATTTATATAGTAGCTGCATTATATAAATTGATTTAATTATAATTATTCTATTCGGTTGTTTTCCAGGTACGTGCCAGTCCCATCAATTCACTTGTGATGATGGTACTTGCATCCATGAGTCATGGAGGTGCGATGCATACGTTGACTGCAGCAATGGGGAAGATCAACAGAACTGTGGTAAGTCAGTTATATAAACCTCTCATGTAATGCACTGTCCTGCCATTATCTTTACTTTTGATGTACTTTTACTACCTCCACTTCTGCCACTTCTTCTTCTTTTTCTTTTTTTTCTCTTTTTGTTCTTCTTCTTCTTCATTTTAATAATAATAATAATATTTCATTTTTATATAGCGCTTAATACAAATGTCTCTAAGCGCTTTACAAATATACTATTACCCTGGTCATTGGATTCAGTGCTTGCCCGCACACAATGTGTGCACAATCTCCACTCCCTGGGGAGCATTCCAGCCAGGCATTACAGGACGTTCAAAAACTGTTTGACCAACAATGACGGTCGCATCCTACCGGGTACCCATTTTAACACCTTGGTGGAGAGTAGCAAGTGCAGGTTAATATCTTGCCAAAGGATATTAGTGCCGTGTCGGGATTCGAACCCTCAAACTTCTTCTTCTTCTTCTTCTTCCTCTTCTTCTTTCCCTTCTTCTTCATCTTCCTCTTCTTTCCTCTCTGTACTCGGAAGTTTGTTTTTCTTTTAAATTTTTAAAATTGAATACTACTACTATACCAATTCACCTCTTACTTAATAATCAGACTTGATGATACTACTCTCCCTTCACCAAAGCCTGATCTTGAACAAGCTTTGCTTTTTAATTAGGCTCCTGACATTTTACATTGTTTTTCATATTGTCTGTCTTAGCTACACATCTCTCAAAACACCTTGCTATTTACTGTACATTATACTTCATTTAGGTTATCTACCTGTTATGCTTTGTAACTCTATAGTTTGTTTGAATCTGAATTATTTTAATATATAAACGTGAACAAAATTAACTTTAACTTCAATTAAGTCATTGCTCAAAACCCTAACCCTAATATGAACCTTCCCCCCACACCATATTCCTAACCACGCCTGGGTAGAGAATGGCAAATGTCAATTAGAATTTTACCACTGGACATTCAGAATTGTTTTAATAAAAGACAAATAAACCTATTCAATCGATCAATCAAGTTTCTTATGAACGCTTCTTTGAAACAAGTCTCATTCACCCCCTTGTGTTCTGTTTGTCCCGGCAGCATGTGACCCAGACACACAGTTCACATGTGAGTCAAACGGAGCTTGTATACCAGCTCAATGGCAGTGCAACTACTTTACTAATTGCCCAGAAGGAGAGGACGAATCATCATGCGGTAAGCTTCAGCAAAAACAAGAGGAGCGATGAGCGATATTGCTCTCAAAAGCTCCAAAAGTAAATTTGTGTAAACATACGTGAACAAACCAAATCCAGATCAGATGGTAGCTAATCGGTTCGGATCTGAATTAGTTGTAAAGAAGAGATATAAAAGAAATAAACCAAGCATCTAGTTCGAAAGTATTAGTGAAATTAGATATCTTCGGGGGGACTGGCAATATACTTTAAATATACCTTGAAGGCCACACCTCGCCATCGTGGTGATGAAGATCCAATAGATAGTGTGGTGTGGCAGGGACCCATTTAAAAACCCAGGTTGGATAGTTGCCGTTTGAAGCTGAGGAGTGTGGGAGCATCAATGGCAGTTTGTGGCAGTAATACTATGCCAGTCCCTCCTCAGATAAATAATTTCTGCTTTACTTTCTCACAGCATGATATATAAATATCTCTCTCTTATTTTATAATTTTTAATATTTCACAATCCAGCCAGTGGTTGCAACATAATAGTAAACCCTTTGATTGCATTCCATACAGGTTTATGTGAAGATGATCAATTCACCTGTGGTGATGGCGCCTGTATACCTACTTACTATGTATGTGATGGCTACGATGACTGCTTTACGTCGGATGATGAAATGGACTGTGGAACAGTGGAGAACACAGGTTAGTGGGAGAGTCTGTTGTTGTATTAAGCTTATTTAAAGCCTGTCTGTACTAGTTTGGCCAGGAGGGATTAGACCACCAAGCGTGGTCACTGGCAGGTGGCTATCTCATCAACTCAGCTCTCAATTAACATGAGAAAAAAAAGGATCATGGGGGACCAGCGGGCACAGCTTAGGCATTGTTTTCTACATAGAGGGAGCAAGTAGTGCAGAGGGGCTTTAATAGTAAGAAGAAGTTGATGATGATGGTGACAAGGATGATGATAATACTAATGATAGCAAAAGTAATAATGATAATAAAACATATGATCGCAAGCAATCTTCCTAAACTTCTGAAGAAGATTAGGGTCACCACAAAGATAGAACTCCTGCAGAAAGCAGCTCTGCTAGGTGCTGCAAGACTCTTACAAAAATGACTTGAGACCTAAGGCGACGGTTCGTAGCTAGCCCTTCAGTCTGCCAATGAGATCAAAACCAGCATAATACTGATGATAATAACAATGAATTAATAATGGTATTGATAATACATGTATATCTTGTTTACCTAGGATATTCATAATGTTCTCCCTTGAGGCCCTACAATCATACTGTTATCAAGCTATCCCCATAAGGTACTACACAATTCAAGGAATTTCGTCTGACTGGGTACCCACGTATGTACCCATGTACTTCACTCTGGTGGAGAATGGCAGATGTATGTAGATTACCGTCATGCCAAAGGACGTAAGTGCTATGGCAGGGTTCTACATGAAGTACTGTTTAACTTTATAGAGTATGATTTGATAACTTATTGAGTGTCGCATAAAAACTTCTCGGCCAATAATAATAATATAATATTCCGCTTTGTTATAGCACTTAATACAAATGTCTCTAAGCGCTTTACAGATATACTATTACCCCGGTCATTGGATTCAGTGCTTGCACACACACACTGTGTGCACAATCTCCACTCCCTGGGGAGCATTCCAGCCAGGCCTTACTTGACGCTCAAAAACTGTTTGACCAACAATGGTGGTCTCATCCTACCGGGTACCCATTTAACATCTGGGTGGCGAGTAGCAAGTGCAGGTTAATATCTTGCCAAAGGATATTAGTGCCGTGTCGTGATTCAAACCCTCGGCCTTCGCATCTTCGGTCAAGCGCCTTAACTAATCGGCCACGACACTCTTTAACTTGCTCTTTAACAAATAAAATATTTTGTCTAACCTATTGCTCCATAAACAGAGCACCTCACATTAATTACGGGTGAAGAGCGTCAGATCCAATCCCCAGGTTACCCTTCACCACACGACACCCTCTGCTACTACCTCTGGGTCATCACGGTGCCAGAAGGACTCTACGTCCACGTTATCTTCAACGACTTCTCTGTCAGCCTCTGGACGTATCTCTCCCTCGGGACAGGCCCCGACCCAGACAACAGCACCTCGCTCTATGCCGTCTACTACCATCGTACCACTCCTAACGAGGCTGTCATCCCCAGCAATGTTGCCTGGTTGGACTATCACTGCGGTCACTACGCAAATGGCAGAGGGTTTGACCTGACTGTCACTACGACAGACATTAGCAGTAAGTTTCTAGTGCTGGTACAACTTTTGACATTATACATCTTTGATGTAGCAGCATGCATACACCATTTGACTTCATACTTCACGTAAAAGGGAAGGCCACCCTAATATTAAGTTGTTTTCAATAAAAAAAATGAGAGAAGCATATTACCGGTACTGGAATTTTTAAGAAAATATGATGATTTAGCAAAGCTGCCAACCACTCCTATTTTAGAAGAATAATTTCTATTTTCTAGCCCTGAAACCAAAATTATGAACACTACGGTAGTTTCCTCTTTTTCTTTCTTACACATTCTGTGTGGAAGGAAATGACTATTACTAACCGCCGCTGAAAAAAATGCAGCATTTCTTCTGCATTGTAATATGAATAGCAACTGCGCACAACAAATAACTTGTGGGTATTCACTGAGCTCTGTCATATGAGATTCAGAAATGTCACACGTATTACACTTCACATCATCATGAAAAAAACGCAGCTGTTTTTGCTGTGTCATATCTGAGCGAGCAATAAGACAGGTTATGACTGTATTTTGCTACCCACTACCAATGATTGGCCAGTTCACATATAGTGTCCTATTTTATCCTTTCTCAGCTCATGTGTTTCCAGACTGTTCAGAAGGGCAAGTGCAGTGTTACGATGGGCATTGTATTGAAAGCCACTGGTTGTGCGACACAGAAAAAGACTGCTCAATGGGAGAAGACGAAGGAGACGGAAGACTTGCTAACTGTACTGCCTACGATCGCAGTAAGTTTTGAAAATGCCATTTGGATAGAGAAATTGATAGAGAGGAGATACTGAAATTGGGAGAGAGCTAGAGGGAGAGAAAATATTCATAGAGAGAGAAAGAGAGATTGTTTTAATAATGGGAGAGGACGAAGGAGAGGGAAGGCTTGCGAACTGTACTGCCTACGATCGCAGTAAGTTTTGAAAAGATGTGTATGAGCGAAATTGGAAGAGAGAGGATACACAATCTTTGAGAGAGCTAGAAGGAGAAGAAAATATTCATAGAGAGAGAAAGAGAGATTGTTTTAATAATAGGAGAGGAAGAAAGAGATGGAGGGCTTGCTTACTGTACCGCCTATGATCTTAGTAAGTTTTTTAAATGCCATATGAATAGAGAAATTGAAGAGAGAAGATATGGAAATTAAGAGAAAGTAAAATGTAGAGTGAAAAGAAAATGTACATAGAGGAGAGAGAGAATCATTGCTTTAGGATGAAGCAACATAATAGAGGGCTTGATAATTGTACCATGTACAGTTGCAGTAAGTTTAGACAAATCTGTATGAACATATATATTTAAAGGGGGTATACGTGAGAGAGAGAAAGAGGAGAGAGGGTTACTCGGTGCTAGAGACTAGTACTAGGTGTCCGGGTGGGGGTGGATTCTGCAAGCCCCTGCCCTGTTATGGTTAAAGAGAGAGGGGAATAATAATAATAATAATAATAATAATAATAATAATAATAAATTTATATAGCGCAGCTTTTATACAAAATATATACAGAGAGAAAGAGAGTATGAACAAGATTTTGTTATCTTGAAGAGTAAGAGTGACAGACAGAGAGAAAGAGAGAGTGATCAAGAGAGAGACAGAAAAAGGTGGGTGTTGCTCATTGCGAGAGGATGAAGCTGTACTGCATATGGTAAAATCCTGTTTAGATCTATGAAAAAAGTGAGGTTAACTCCGGAGGTTAATACCTTGTGTCATACTTTGTCCACTAGATATAAACGCTCGTGGCACAACGGACAAAGCGCAAACACGAGGTAAAATTCACGTAAGACGGACTAGCACGGCATGGCACAACCTCCGGAGGCATCCGGCATGATCCGTTGTTTGGGCATAGATCTAAACGCTTGCGGGGTAGAAACAAGAAGTCTTATCACTCTAAAGCGCGTGCCCTTGCTCCACCGACGTGATCGGCTGTGAAGATGGATGTAAACAATGAGATCAATCTGCTGAACATGTATTGACAATAACAGTGTGTGTTACCTATATTTTGCTATAACATTGATATAAAAATATATCGCATGAAAACTTGATTTTCAATTTGTCTGATGAATATATATTTTTTTAAATTAAAAATATATTCCATGTAGACATCATCAATGAGCAACGCTGCCTTGCGAAGTTTTCTTTTTTTAAGTTTAATTTTTGCGCAGCTGTAGTAATAGCACGCGCTGTTTCACTGTGGACGTGTTGTCATGACAACGTACCTCATGATTACCGTAGACGTGTAACCCCGCGCTCATTACCTCGTGTTTGAGAAGGATTGTCATCCGTGAATACCTCAGACAGTCGTCTGGTGTGATATCGAGTGACATAGATCTAAGCAGGGTATAAGTTAAAAGTTGCGTGAACAGAGAGACTAAAATGTTGATACAGAGAGGACAAAAGTGAGAAATATACTTCTTCTAAAGACTAGTATATTGGTATAACAGTCATCATTATCATCATCATAATCATCATCTTCATTTTTATGATACTCATTACAGGAGCATGTGGTAACCATGACAGCGAGTTTGAGTGTGACGATGGGACAGGATGCATTCATGCAAGCTTTGTTTGTGACAGTGTCTATGACTGTCCATTCACTGGTAGTGATGAACTCAACTGTCCAAGTAAGTTCCCTTATCATATGCAGATGTAATTTATCCAATCCCATCCAGAAGGTATTTGATATACTGGTAGTTATTTTTTCTCTGGCAGTTACAAAGCGCTGCACATATTGTTCCACGTTTTAGGGCAATTAATCCCACCCTTGTATTAACAAGTTCATTGGTATGAAAGCAGAAAATAAGGGAAACAGTAAAGCAACAGGTTCAAATGAATCAGACGTAATAATATTAAAGGGAGTTTGAAATACGAGATAACTAAATCTAGATGTGACTCTCAAACTGGCAATTTGTTCAGTAGATTGTGACGTAGTCATGGACAACTTCCCTCTTTAATTGCCATGTACCAAATATCATAATTTTGTTATTCTTTCCTTAGTGCCTTCTCCATTTGGGCACTACTCAAATTAAAGTATGGATAGCATATCATTATAGGTCCTCTATAGAAAAGAAAAAAAACCTTCCTGAGTCATGCATTTTGAAAAGTGGAAACTTTGATTACTTTGTGTGTTGAAACAAGTTGTACGGCACTACGTCACAATGACTTTACCTATTCAGTCAATTTGCAGTGCCCATATATAAAGTAAATACATGTTTAGTGATTACTGCTTTGAAAAATTAATGAAAATAATGATAAGTATAATGATGATTATAATAATAACAGTAATGATAATGGTAAAAACTAATATTTATAGTAATAATAATATAAACAATTAAAAGTATATAGTAGTAGTAGTAGTTTCAGTAGAAGTAATATTAATAGTAGTAGTAATAGAGGTAGAAGTAGGAGTAGAAGTAGTAGTAGTACATGTACATGTAGTAACAGTAGTGGTAGAAGTATTAGTAAGAGTAGTGGTATTGTTGTTATTGTTATTCATGTTTTTATTATTATTATCATTATAATTATTGTTGTTATTATTATCTTAATATTGCTATTGTTGTTGTTATTATGATTATAATTGTTATCATCCATGCTGTTGTTGTTAATCACATTGAATATGTTTGGCTTGCAGGGGATTGTACTGTTCATGAGTTTGAGTGTCCTGGTCGTCAGTGCATCCCAAAGACCTTAAGATGTAACTTCTTTACTGATTGTTTGCTTGGTCAAGACGACGAGCTCAACTGTGGAACGCCACAAAATACAGGTATGCTGAAGAGCCCTATGTCTAAATTGACCAGGATGTTCTCTTATATTCCTCTAATGCTTCGTCTGATGATTTGATTCAATTCAATTCAATGTATTGATTTCATAAAATACAAAGAGATAATATATCGTCGGTGAGGTGACAAAACCTAGTATCTCAATTTTTTGAGATTTTGATTTTTTTGCATAATTTTGTACCTAATGGTCTACGACACCACCTGATAAATCCATGAAACGCCTCCTCAGTTTTTTCACAAATTCCACACACACACACCCTTAAACTAAACCTTGTAACTTAAACCCCCTTCAAATCCTCGTAAATCATTCAGAGTTGAAAGTAAGAACTCGTATCTCAATTTGTATCCAAACTAAAAACTCTTATCTCAATGTAGATAAACGCAAAAAACCTTGTAACTCACTTTCAAATATAAAAACAATTATTTTACTGTATTTCAACAAAGACATTAAAAATTGTATAAATATTCCAGTTTTAAAAAGAAAGGACGGTGTCACAGCACTAAATTTGTTGAGACAGGAAAGTTTTTTCGCTCTCCTGAAAATTCATGATTTTTGAGATACAAGGTTTTGTCAGCCCACCGACGATATTTTAAAATTGTGCCTGGGAAATCGGAATAAAAAACCAGTGGCTTGCAAAAAAACACAGCCATTCCCGTTAAATACAGGGTTACCTGCTTTCTCTAATATTACTTTCATGCTTCATCTGGTATTATCCCTTTCATTCTAAAGAATGAATAAATGTGCTACAGTTCTCATCAAAAATCGAGCAAGAACAAACTACGTCATTTCACAAAAAATGGCCTTGTCATTTTTACCTTGCAAAAAAACTGTTCTAGCTTGTGCCTGCACACTCATTTATTTTATATGCTGTTCAGGAACAGACTAGGTGATATTTATGATCTAAAATTAATGTTGAAAACATAAATACTTGAATAGATAAATAAACAAAATGAATAAGAGAGAGAGGGAAAGGCAAATTCAATTCCGAATCTTAATTCATAGTTTTATGGAAAGAAGGAGAAATCACCTAATATTTGATATATATCTTTCCTATCAACCCAGAATATATCTTCTTGGATGGAAACACCACAATGCTGAAGTCAATGAATTTCCCTGATGACTATCCAAAGAACGAGTACACAGTGACCCATGTTTCCACGGTTCCAGGAAAGGTGATTAACGTGACGTTCAACACACTTGAGCTCAGCCTCTTGTCCTACCTCGTCTTTGGCAATGGCACAGATACTCATGACTTTAGTCAGATCTTTGAGGTCTACACGCACAAGACTTCATTCCCACCTAGTACCCTTTCAATCGGTCATGAGCTCTTCATCGAGTTCTTTTCAAACATCTACGGGGGCTCACAAGGATATGATATTACCCTTGAGGCAGTCGACGCCCCACCTGGTGAGCTTTTCTCTTTCAAATGGGACTGGGTGTAGACTTAATTCTTGATTGTTTTCTAAAGATTTGTGATACATCAGATTTTGTTTTGTTTTGTTCATTTTTTGTTGGTGTAATTTTGGTTGTAATGTTGTATATACAGTCAAACCTGTCTACAGCAGTCGCCCAAGGGAAACACAAAAAACGGTCTTTATAGAAAGGTAGTCTTTGTAGACAGGTTGCTTTAGTACATGTTTCAAAGAGAAACCATTTTCAAGGGAAACAAAAAATGTGCTTGCTGTAGACAGGTGGTCACTAAAGCAGGTTTGACTGTATATATATATATATATATATATTGTGCAATCGCAAACAATAATCAGATCAGGTATCAACTGATGATTTATGACAGCTGGTCCCTGTAAGGAGAGTCTCTTTTGGGCCAATCAAATTTGTTCGCTGCTGCTCAGATGGTGTTATGGGTAACAAATCTAGGGTGATCGTTGAATTCCACGTGTGTTTCGCTGTCTGCCCTTTGTCCGCACACAGACCAGCACCCGGCACTCAGGCGCAATTGCTCTGTGCTATGGATTCATAGAACCCCAATTTCAATGGCCTGTTATCCCTCCTTATCAAGTTATTCTTCAGATGCCTGGGACAATCTAAGGGGCATTTTGGGCGGTGAATTGAGTGCAATTCTCTGTACCTGGCAGGAATTCATTCCTCGAAATGCTGGAGCGCTATATAAACGGCGGCTAGGCTAAAGCCGGGGTAATAATAAATGCACCTCAGAATAGAATTATCTAGATAGACGGCGCTATAGAAATGCCTATTATTATTATTATTATTATTATTATGAAAATAAAGCATAGATTACATTAACTCATATCCTGCAATAAGGCTGCATGCACGCTACCGTTAAAGTGCTTTGTACAAACGAGCGCGCTATCGATTGGCTGCTTAATTCACGCAAGCGAGCTACTGCTTCGCTGCCTCATGCATGTTTGCTCGCATTCGTAATAGCAGTTATTGTTCATGCCAATTGTTCTTCTCTGTGTTGTTTTTCACTCATCTGCTCCTCTTTATTCTCCTCCATTTCTCACCTTTCTCTTCTTCTTTTTCTCCTTCTGCTTGTCCTTCTTGTTGTTCTTTTCCTTCTTCTTCTCCTCCGCCTTTTTCTTAGCGAATTTGTATTGCTTTTTTGCACAGATTTACCGCGTGCCAGTTACTCTGCCGCTGCATGTGCGAACGCCTGTTAAGGGTACATATTTCTTATTTTCGAAGACATACCGTGCTAAAAAGTCTTAATTCTCATTTTCAAATGTTGGCAGGTGTGATGTACATGTCACATCAAGACATTCCAAAACAAATATCCAACAATGTATGTGATCGTTTTTATACATTCTTTTATACAATAGGATACAAACTGTACATGCAGTACTTCATGCCAAAATCAAGAACAGGTGAAAAACAACCTTTTATTTTATTTTGTTATACTTATTTTCAGATGTGCCATTCCCTCCGTGCGCTGATGATCAGTTCCAATGTGAGGGTGATGGGGAATGCATACCATTAAGCTTTCTTTGTGATCAGGACCAAGATTGCGGAGATAACAGCGATGAAGTGAACTGTGAAGGTAGTGTATGAACTCTTTAATTTCCGTAGAGACAAAGGGGCCCTTTAGGTTCAAGGGAAACACCTACTGCAGTTACCGCAGGGTTTCTGGCTCTTAGAAAAACATAGTGTCACTTTTTTGTGGATGTTAACAATGGTGATACAGAAAGTGATGATGAATATGGTGATGTTAGTGATGAAGGTGTTGATGATGGTGATGATGAAAAATGTGATGATGATGATGATGTTGATGGTAGTATTTGTTGACAAAGATGACGATGATAGTATTGGTGACAATCATGATGTCAAGATGTAGATGATGATGATGATGATGATACAGTTAATGATCACTGATGATCATGATGATGATTTAAAATGATGATGGTGATGGTAAATGTGCTCCTTTAAATAGTTTTTGTTTTCAGGATTAATACAATAAATGCATCTGTTTGGATTTGATTTTTTTTTTTCTACAGATCTATCATGTGGGCCTGATCAATTTGAGTGTTATTGGACTGGCCAGTGTATACGTCAGGATTCGGTATGCGACGGTCTTTCTGACTGTTTTTATGGAGAAGATGAAGAGGACTGTGGTACGTATTAATAGCAGATTATTATCTTCTTTTTAAACTTTATTGTGTGTTTGTGTGATGTGTTTTGCAATAATACAACAAAAGCTACATGTATGTGTACTTCATGTATCAACAATACTGATTTGTGGATTTAGTCTACATGCCAGACTGTAATTTGACACTTCAAAACAATGCCATAAAGTCTTGAGCAGTTCCTCACTCTGTCAGTCTCTGGGTGTCCCATGAAGAGCTTAGTCTGCAAGCACAGACCCTAATTTGACACTTTATTGAAAAATCATTATGCCTTGAGAGAAGTCTAGCCCAGCTAGCTACTGGTGTGTCAGGAGCAGCTACAGTACATGGCCTATGGTAGTCTTATAGTGCACACTCACTTTTACGACTGACCAGGGTTTGTGCTTGCAGACTATGAAGAGCTACAGTCCAGGGGCCGTATTCTGAACCCTGTGTTATCTCTAATATTGTTGTATCTTTGGAGATAAGATAAAGTTGGTATTCCGAACATAGTTGTAACTTTTGTTTTATCTTTTGTTGTATCTTTCTCTCTTCTCTTTGGCCGCGCCTGTGCTTAAACTCTTGTGCGTTTGTAATAGTGTGTATTATTACAAAAATGGCGCTTAATCCTCATTTGCATATGCGCACGGGAGATAATATGACAAGATAATTGGTATTCTGAAAATTGTTGTATCTTATCTTATCTTATCTTGCATGGTATTTACAACAATATTTACAACAGGTAGGGGGTTGTTGTATCTTTTGTGGTGATATAATGGCGGCAATCTTCCTTAACCAGAACCAACTTCGTGCCAATAGCTAGTTAGAAGAAGATTGTGTGTTGACCGGAAACATCACAGATGAGAATTTTAAAGAAATTACATGCTTGGATATGACAATTTTAATGCTCTCATCTTAACCATTTAAGTGAAAGTGTGACTTGTCTTCATGATCCACATGCCACAGCGCATATGATGACGCGCATAATAAGCGCTCAATTAACTAATTACGCCCTAGATTAGTATGCGCTAGGCGCATCTTCAAATATGGCATAAAGTATTCCTATTGGCTGACCTACTTATCATGCTTATATAAAATAGATTTTGATTGGTAGGGTCCATAAAAACTGGCATGTCATCAGTGGTCAAAGTATGATTTTCAGAATACCAACTTACAACAATATTAGCACTGTGTAATCTCTGGAAGATACAACAAAAGATAATACAAAACTGACAACAATCATGTTCAGAATACCGCCCCAGGGGGGTAGGGATGGAGTGGGATACGTATCTATAAGCCTCATACCTCAAAGCCTCTGTTATGCATTGTGGCTGACAAGCTAGGTTTTGTAACAATTAAAGGTAAAGACCAGTTTTGGAAATGCCCCATTCTCAAAAAAATGAAATGGAAGCTCTTATAACCAATCATGTGAAAGAATATGTTTTGACTAATACGTGATGATACAAATTTTGCTGAGAAACCGCCTACTAATTGATATATTTGGAAACTTATTATATCTATTTGGACCTGATAGATATCGCGCACATGTCGCATAGTCCCATATACATCTTTCTGTGTACAGTGATTGTAACTTTACCAAGACTGGGCCAAATTTCTTATAATTTTGATGATTCCAGAACCTTGCAGTACACACCAATACTTACATTTATATGCTAGATGATCAACCTTTTCTGATTGATTCCACAACGTTTCTTTCACAATGCAAACGCATGTCCAGAACTGGTCTTTATCTTTAAACTACAGCTCATGAGTGACATAACTTGAAAATTCTTTCTTTCTTCACAATCAGTAGATAAATTAGTAAAAATTAAACTGTAACTAGAAAGAACCCATTTTCAAATCACATTATCAACAGATTATACTCGCTGTAGCTAGTAGGTCTGAAATGCCTGCATGTAGCCTTATAGTCTTGGACATAATATCAAGCCACTACCAGAACTGTTGACAAACTTCATGTGTACGGCGGCACAGGTGGTAAACGTAGTATGCATGCGAAATGTATGTACGTGTCCGAAGGCTATTTCTAGGTTCCTCAATTTTTTATGGCAGCAACGAAAAAACAAGAGAAAGATACTCTAAATCATCCCGATGACCAGTTTGTAAAAATGGAAGGCTCTTTTCAAAACGTTGAGAAAATGACGGACTTAACTTTAAAATACCCCACCAAAAGGTAGTATGTCTGTTGGTCATCAAATGAGCCAACAGACCCTTTATTGTAGTCCAGTCCTTTTGTATTTATTCTAGACAAGTGTTCGCACCTGCTAACTAACACAACCAAAGAAAGTTGATGTTACTATTTCTATGCATCCAGACATTACTCTGGCCCATCACACAACCAACTATCTCAGTTTTAGTATGTCAACAATATTTGTGTGCGTTTTTCATTTTGAGCCACTTTTGATACCGCTTAAAAATCATGATAAATAACAGTGATTCTCGCCAGAAAATAAAGTACACACACACACACACACAATCAACACCGGCATGCACAGCGCAGCCAAGTGAAATAGACCGGAATAACTTGGCCACCAAACTCTCCTGGAGTGCAATTGAAAATAACATAAACAGGGATTTTTAATATATTGGCAATAGTGAGAATTGTTGACAGCTAGTTGTGCTAGCAGACCCTGTACAGCGTGTCCCAGGAAAAATGAAAAAGTCAAAAATTCTACTGCAATTTGGTATCCCACTAACCTTAATCATCATATAAATCAACTCCTATGCACTGTAACATCCAATATTATTTATTGCTTGCATTTATTTTTGTATTTTTTTTATATATTTGGATTTGGATTTTGTATTTTATTTTATTTGTCAAAAGTTCCATTTGTATACCAGCCTAGTTGTTGAATGGGATTTTACCATGTTTTGAATAAATGAATCGATCAATTAATCAAACCAGGTTTTCTTTCAAGTGTACAAATGTAAATATCTGTTTGTGGGTCTACCAAGTTTTACACACGATGTTGTAACATGAATATGTGTTTGCGGGTCTCCAGGTTTTACCTGCTATCCTTGGCAGTTCGCATGTGAGGATCGAACGTGTATACCAATAAATTGGGCTTGTGACTACTACCCTGACTGCCCCATTGGCGAAGATGAAAGATCTTGTGGTGGTAAGTATAATTAGCTCCAGGCTTTAATAATAATAATAATAATAATAATAATCTTTTAAAGTCCACTCCAAATTTGATTCAACCGAAAATGGAAATTCTTTTTGCCCAATTGATCATAATTCCGGCAGCCACTGAGCACTGCCAGATCGACGTTGCTCTATCCCTTATTGTTGAACGCCAAACAAGGTAGCAGCAACTCCAGTCTTTTAACGTCTTTTGGTATGACGAGGCCGGGGTTCGAACCCACGACCTCCTGGTTGTGAGGCGGACGCTCTACTGACTGAGCCAACACACCGGTATAGTGCTACAAACTTCTACATGTATGTTTAGGTTGAGGTGTATGGGGTTTTAGTTTAGGTGTAGGTTTACTACTATTTTGTTTAGTTCAGGGTTGAAGTTTTGAATTCAGCAAGTATAGAAGTTGACCACAGGGTTGCTGTCCATATGAGTGTCAGGATTTGAATACATGGTACATGCATGTACAGAGGAGATGGAATGGAGATGGTTATTTTCTGGCATGAATTAATTATGAGATGAAGATGGGCAATTCCAGCTTAATGGATAGTGAATTATTTAAGATAGTTTTAAGTAAAATCAATACATGATCAGACACATTTGACTATCAGGGAAATGCACAGCAAGTTTCACAGTATTTCACTGAATAGTTTAAGAGAAAATTGACTCTTAATTGTCACAGAAATGACAAATTATGCATAACAGACGTTTGTGTCCATTTTTATAAACCTCTAAAGCATTGCTTTGTAATGTTCATTGGGTCATGCAAACCTCTTATCAGTAATCTTTCTTCTATTCATCACAATGCACAATCAAAACATTCAGTTAAATAATATGAGACCCAAAGATAGGATGTTTGGACAAAAAATGTTGCACACATTTGCAATAGAAAAAAAAGGGGCGGTTAACGAAAATCAGATATGAATATACTATTTATATACCCATCGAATTAAAGAGCTTGTTAATTGTGCTCATTTGTTTTTATATTGAATTCATCATGGTACCGTAGCACAAACATTCTCAAAGTTATGGCCAATTTGATAATTTTGGGCAAGTGAACATTTCCTTAAAAATATCCAGCTGTTGACACTTGGTGCTTATTAAATCAGTGGACTTAATCTACCTAAGGAGGGTTAAAACCTCTTCTAAGTTAATACACTCGTATCAATTCAGCCGTTAAGTCGAGCATCACAGCAATATATCATCCAGGCTTCCATTCTGTTTATCTCTACATACAGCATGCGAAGAAGGGTTCTTTAACTGCACTGACGGGGCCTGCATTCCAGACTACTATGTTTGTGATGCATATAATGACTGCTTCACAGAGGTAGATGAGGATAGCTGTGGTAATCCAAGTAACACTGGTAAGAGTTATTGCATTATTTTACAACTAAGTTGACCAGCATTTTTTCTGTAAACTGGCAACTTCATTACACTGGTGGCAGCGGTGGGATGCATCATATTTTTTTAGAAAAAGAAGTAGAAATAAACATTTCCCTCACATCAACTCCCCGTTGACTTAAGCTCACCAGCTATTCTCCTGACGACGGATAGTCAACCTGTTCGAAACGTCGAGCCACTCCCGCCACCCATCCTCTCCAAGTGCTATAGTTCTCCTTAGAACTATAACCTAAGAATGATATCCAACAGTCTTTTTCAAGACTACACCAACAGTCCTTTTCAGGACTACACACCCTCAAGAAAGATCACCTTTTCAGGACTCCTCAATCCTCCCTCTCTCTCTCACATGGTGCATCTGCAAGCCTACTCTATATCTACATCACAGTGCAAGCTGATACTTATAAGCAGCATCTAAAGAAAAAATAACATTGACATTTCCTATAATGACAGCATTTTTGTGGTAAAAGGAGATTTATGTTAGAGGTTAATTTGGAGCTCTCTGATGTGGCTCTTCAGTTTGACAAAGTTTGCTTCTTATTTTTATATTATCGATGAGGTGTTTTACTGTAAAGGTACATTAGCGTTGATTTGAGAAGTGTTACACTGTGTATGTGATACAGAAGCTGATGAAGATAGCTATGATAATCCAAGTAATATCAATATGACATCACTTTTTGAAGGGCTAGATAGACCAGGATCTCTACTTCAAATTGACAACATTGTTAAAATAAAGGCAGCGGTGAGATGAAGAAGTTTAAATAAAATATTGAGAATAAAAGAAGGAAAAAAATCATTGTAATATAGTCTTATCAGTATCAGATGGCATAGATGCTCCTTTTCCATGTATGCTGATAGGCACAAAACAAAAGGCACAACTGAAAAGAAAGATTGCCTTTTCCTTCAGTCAAATACATGTCATTATTTTAATGTAATTTTAAGATCAATAAAAAAAGGTTAAGCCAAGTTTATCTCAGCCACCTACAAAAATGTGGACCATTATGATAAATGTTGATCGTTCGTTCTCTACAGAGCAAATCACCCTTGGTCTTGGAGAAGAACGATCCATCCAATCTCCCGGCTACCCCGAGGCTTCTCAACATGACTCACTATGCTATGTGGAATGGATTGTCACCGTTCCGGAAGGCTACGCCCTTCATCTCGTCTTCAACGACTTCTCGGTACCCATCCACGCCTGGTTGCGAATCGGGACCGGTGCGGACGCTGACGATGATTCCAGTCGCTATGCTGTCTACTACACTCGTACAAACCCTAGAGAGGTAGTCGTTCCTGACAGCACCGCATGGATCTCGTATCACTGCGGATTGAACGGGATGGCCAGAGGTTTCGACATTACTCTAAGACCAACAAATCAAACAAGTAAGTATTATTATCCCCTTGCTGACGAAGTCGGAGGGGAAATAGAAATGCTGCCGTCTGTCCTACCTTCCGTGCGTGCTTCCATTCGTAACAAATTTGGTTTTCGATCGATAACTTCAGTAATGTTTGACGAATTATAATAAAATTTGATATGTAGGTACATGATATCAAAATACAGGCTAAGTTCAATTTCGGAGTATGTAAGTCAAAGGTCAAAGGTCATAGCTCATTAAATATGTGAAAAAATACCCATCTGGTTTCCGATCGATAACTTTAGTAAAGTTTGATGGAATTTAATGAAATTTGATATGAAGGTACATGGTATCAAAACACAGCCTAAGGTCAATTTCCAAGCAGTAGGTCAAAGGTCATAGCTCATTAAATATGCAAATCTGGTTTCCGATCTATAACTTTAGTATTATTTGACGGATTGTAATGAAATTTGATATGAAGGTTCATGGTATCAAAACACAGCCTAAATTCGATTTCAGAATATGTAGGTCAAAGGTCATAGCTCATTAAATATGCAAATCTGGTTTCCGATCTATAACTTTAGTATTATTTGACGGATTTCAATGAAATTTGATATGAAGGTACATGGTATCAAAACACAGCCTAAGTTTAATTTTTGAGTATGTAGGTCAGGTCATAGCTCATTAAATATGCGAAATCTGGTTTCTGATCCATAGTTTTAGTATTGTTTGACGGATTTTAATGAAATTTTGATATAAAGATAAACTGTATCAAAACACAGCCTAAGTTCAATTTCTGAGTATGTAGGTGAAAGGTCATAGCTCATTGAATATATGCGAATTTGGTTTCCATTAAATAACTTGAGTAATGTTTGACGAATTTTAATGAAATCTAATATGAAGGTACATGGTATCAAAATACATGTACAGCCTAAGTTCGATTTCTGAGTATGTAGGTCAAAGGAGAAAAGTCATAGCTCATTGAATATGCAAAAACAAATAATTATATATGTGAAAAGGTGGTTAACTTCCTCGTCTAGTAGGAGGTAACTTGTTCTGACGTATATAGGTCATTTGTACCCTGTGAGGGGATGCTACGCTTTGCGTTGACTTGTTATCATTATTATTATGTTCATTATTATTTTTATCATCATTAGTATTATTAGTAGTAGTAGTAGTAGTAAAAGTAGTATAATTATTATCATTATCAGCAGTATTTTTTATTTTATTATTATCATTACAATTATATTGCTACCCCCTTCTTCCCCCCCCCCCACTAATATTCAAAATAACATATAATTCATTCTATTATGAACTTTGATGCACTTTTCTTCAGCTCACAACTACACTACCTGCATAGCGGGAGAATTCCAGTGCAACGATGGCCACTGTATCCCGTCTCACTACCTGTGTGACACATACAAGGACTGTTCAATGGCTGAGGATGAGGAACATGCCCTGGGACGCGTCAACTGTTCAACCTTTGATCACGGTAAGTCAATTGTTTCTGTACCCCGGTACTGATATGTCCTTTGGCAAGACATAAATCTACATTTGCCACACTCTACCCAGGTGAGGTAAATGGATAGCTGGTAGGATTATTCCTCAAAATGCACTGTGTGCTGATATGAAGCTTTTTGGTCAATTAAAATCAAAGCTCACAAGTCAAGTCAGTAGATGTTCACATAGCTGATATTGGGAGGGGCCTACATGTGCATTTAAATCAGCTTTATCCGGATGGTGACTTCATATAAGTGGATACCACACACTCGCTACTCGGTAGAGTCTTAAGTGCATGTGGCCATATACATGTGGTTCATATGCTCCTGCAGCTCTTAACTCTTTGCCCGTCACGTACACAATCCCCCCTGTGCCACATTGTCTTTAGGGTGCCACCTTAGGAGGGGTTCTGCATGGACTATGCTTATTCAACTCGCAATAACTTTTGATTGGTGTACTGTAATGAAAAACTTTGTGTAGCAATATTGTATAGAAATTAATAGTCTTGCCAATGGTATCATTTTTGTAATGTATATTATCATAAATTTTGAGATTATCAACTATACATTTTGTATCCAAGTTTTCGTTTAGAAGGGTATTCTATACCTCTTATATCTAATACTTTGTTATGGAGGTTTATGTCCTGAGTTAGTTCATTGAAAAGATGTATTCATGAGCTTTCACTACATACCAAATTCATGTGTTGAAGGTCACAATGAGCCTGGTAATTTAGGATTGAATAAAGAGTAAGCCGACAATGAACTAATCTCCTATTGAAATTGACCCTGGGTACTTTTGAATAGACTTCCTGTCTCTTGATTGTACTTTGATGACCTTTATTGTGTCTGTAGGTAAGATGGTGTAACATTCTATTATTACTTGCAAGGTTGTGCAAGCTATTAGAATTGAAAGAAATGAATAGAAGAACTTATTGATTTTCTACACTAATAAGGCAAGCCATGAACATAATGTATGCTTGAAACATGTACTAAGTTATGAATTGTAGAAAGCTGATGTATAATAAATAAGAATAAAATATATTCGTCTACATATGTAGTCTCTTATAACAAGAGGAAGACAGAGAGAGGGAGAGAGAAAGAAAGAGAATAAGAACGAAGAGACAGGCAGATTGGGAAAGAAATAAGAAGAGACAGGGAGAGATAGAGAGAGAGAGAAAAAGAAAGAGATATAAGCAGATACAGAAAATGAGAGTGAGAAGATAGAGATAGAGGGGGAGGGGAAGAAGAAAGAGACAGGCAGATAGGGATATAAATAAGAAGAGACACGGAGAGAGAAAGACAGATAGGCAGACAGAGAAAGACAGAGGCAGGTTGAGATAATGAGAGTGAGAACAAGATAGAGAGAGGCAGAGAGAGGGGAGGAAGAAAGAGACAGGCAGATAGGGAGAGATAGAGAGAGAGAGAGAGAGAAAGAAATAGATAAGCAGATACAGAAAGTGAGAGTGAGAAGATAGAGATAGAGGGGGAGGGGAAGAAGAAAGAGATAGGCAGATAGGGATATAAATAAGAAGAGACACGGAGAGAGAAAGACAAATAGGCAGACAGAGAAAGAAAGGCAGAAAGAGAAAGTGAGGATGAGAAGATACAGAGGGGCAGAGAGAAATAAGAAACAAGGAGAGAGAGAGAGAGAGATAGCGGCAGATAGAGAAAGTGAGAGTGAAAAGAAGATATATAGGCAGGGAGAGGGGAAGAAGAAAGGTGTACGTGTGGGACCAGGCTCATCTTCCTCGTCAGAGTCAGTCTCGCTCTCCTCTGAATCAGAGTCGGCTGTTGGAACAGGGTCCATCACAAGTTCTCGTACCTGATCAGCAGTGAAGAAGTCCCGTCTCCTCCTAATAGGGGCCATCCTAGCTCATCAGAATATTTGCAAAAGCAGTTTCAAAAACTCAATTTTTCTCGGAAAATGTCAATGTAAACAATGTCTGCGAAAGCGGGGCAATGAAGTGTGATGTGTATACAATGCGAAGCACGCGTTACTATTGTGTGTGTGTGCGTGCAATAGAATTAAATGCGTTCCGTGTGTATTGTGAATGAAATGTGACTTGAGTCGAAGATGGCAGCCCGCTGTATGTTCCGCTAGCCGAACGAAGCGGGCAAAGAGTTAAAAGATACTTAAAGCATGGGTTCTCATGGGGAATAATCACCATTCAGGAATTCACCCGATAATGGATGTTATCAATCAATAGGATTGGCCTTCATTTTTTACGACTGACAGGTGTTATGTAATGCTTTACACTACCCACCAACAACCTCTTGAGGAAGGTCATCAGGATACATTTCCCTCACCCAAAGACTCTCTGAGAGATAGTACTTGATGAGGTAATCCCTGAAGCAGCTTTTCCAAGCTATACTGGGATGGGATGTGTGGTGACAGCAGGTGAAGGTGCAGACAACAAAAGGGTGTACAATTTCTTTATACAGTAAAACAGTGACGTGCAAGTAAAAAATCATGCTGCTAAATGGTTTACAGCATTCTGGAACCTACAGGAGGTTCCAACCCTCTGATGACGGGGAGGGCGATCATCTGGAAAGCAGCAACTTTTGGGGCAGTAACTGCAGTGGCTGGTAGTTGATTCCAGATGCGAATGGTGCGGGGGTAAAATGAGTACTTGTAGGAGTCTATTGTTGCCACAGAAACAGAGAGCTTGAGTGTGTGGTCTCTTCTGCTGATGTATGTAGCTTTAGTTATGAGGTGAGGAAGACAAATGTTGACTAGCTGGTGGTGTATTTTAAAGAGCATGGTGCTTTGTGCTAGAAGACGACGTGTGTGCAGTTTATCCCATCCCAGCTGGGAAACAAGCCCTGTAGCTGACGTGGATCTTCGGTAGTCGCATCCTTCACATCCTTGGTGCATGGTGACAGGGTTCTCCGCAGCAACCCAAGGGTTTTGTTGGCCTTGTTCAGTAGGAGTTGGCAGTGTGTATTCCATCGAAGGTCCTTGGTTAGAGTTACCCCGAGATACTTGTATTTGTCTATCCTGGGTATTATCTCGTTGGAAATCAGGTAGTCATGCTGTATTGGTGTTCTTTTCCTCGTGATGGTAAGGGAGGCGCACTTTTTGACATTGAAAGCCATGAACCATTTCGCTGACCAGTCAGACAAGATTTGAAGGTCTTGCTGAAGGATGGAGGTGTCATTCTCAGTGTGAATTTCTCTGTAAATCACACTATCGTCAGCAAAAAGGTGATAGTGATAGTGATAATGGTGGTTATTTTACCTGACAGCTAAGAAAGTAATAAATGCTTGTTAGTAAGCAACCAGAAGACCAAGGCTTTAGGTCCTCTCAGAGGGACCTGGTAATGAGGATTAATGCCTTACCAAAGGGCACGAGCGCATGGCCTTGGTTTCAAACCAGGGTCACCAGATTTTGAGACCCCTGCTCTACCGACTGAGCTATTGCGCCCCCCGGCTATGGAGGTGGGATCAGGTGATTACTACGTGTGAGATTCGTACAAACATTAATGGCATAATTTCCGCCAAGTCTGGAGTCAGTGAACTTTGACATTCATGTATATGTACTTCGCATGAAGACTGTTGAGGTGAGGTCTTTAAAGCCCCTTTCAAGTGTTGGGAGCCCCACAAATTTGAATCACAATGTGAAAGAGAATGTCATTTAAGACACATTTCTGCAAGGATTTTGAAAACTAATGTGTTTTAAGTCGAATATTGATAAAAGAATACAAAATTAGTTTTGTTTGCATATAACAGAAAACCCAAATTATATTTTCTGTTATCAATATTTGTCTTCAAACATATTGGGGGGGGGGGGATTTGCAGAAGTGTCTCTTTAAATAAATGACACCCTCTTTCACATTATGATACAATTTAAGTGAAATTTTGCCATCAAATTTTTGGTAAATTTGGGGCTCCAAATTTTTAGAGGAGCTTCAAATTACGGTATATCTATTCTGTTCAACACTTTGGAGACGACAGGCTTCTACAGAAGCCAAGATATATCCCTAATATGTTGACAAAGTTTTCCAGCTTATTATTAGCTATTATGTGCTAAAGTTCTTTGAAGTATTATTTAGATATATTCATTCATCTCATCTACTAAAAAAATAATAAAGTTACGTAGAAAAAAATCGAGAAAAAGTGATATCATTTCAACTTTAGTGTTCGGATCGAAAAAAGGCCCGAAATACCTGTACAGCTGGAGACAGACGCGTACGCGCGCGTCCGTTCTATATTTTTGCCACGTTTCTTGCTTGACTCTACTTCCAAGTTCCATGCACCCTTCCGCATTTCACGTATTTGTATTACAGGTCATATTATCAGTTTGATATTCAGTTTTGATAAGTTTCAAATAGCGCCTACGGCCGTACGATGGTAGCTGCGACCATGACTATCTCAGAATATGTAGTTGTGATATATAATTTCCAAACGGTAATAGCTAATCGGTTGATATTAGTCGAGAAACATGGTTTTATAACTTAATTAATATCTTGACCTTGAGAGGGAGCAAAACAACATGAAGAGTGTATTACCGGTATTTACAATTGCATAACTTCAGACTCAATTTCAACCGTGTCAACGATCACTGAATATTGTAGCATCGCATATGCTTCAAATTTGTTCATTTAAACCAAATTCATGACCCCATACCAAAACTTTGTATTACCTTTAACTCCTTATTAGCCACACCCTTTCAAAAAAAAAAAAAAAATACAACAACGCGATGCGGAAATAAAACAAACTGAAGCACAATTCCAATTTCACAAAATTCCTGACGTATTCAGAGAGGGAGGGGGGAAGGAGACAGAGAGAGAGAGACAGACAGACATAGACAGACATAGATAGATAGATAAATGGATAGAAAGAAAGAGAGAGAGATGATTGTGATGAATTATGATTTTGTTGTAATCTCTGTCATTGATTTAGCTCTTTCCATTACAAACAAAACAAATCAAATATGCGTACACAAATTCAATAAATATTTTATTGATACAGCAACCTCATATCAAAATAGGGTTCTAAGAGATGTATAGATAGAGAAAAACTAAACAAAATTAAGCGGGAGGCAAAAACTAAAACAAAATGAATATTTCAAATTGTAAGAAATGAGGTCGAAAGCATTCAAAGTAAATATTACTTTCGTTTTCGAGAATAAAACAATGTTCATCTCAAAATTCATTTCCCAAATAGTCCTATATTTGATTTACACATAAAAAAAAAGGGCATTTAGTGTAGATCATGGCATTACGTTGGTCAGAATATAGTTACAAAATGTGTCGAAAACCTATGGAAAAACGAAGGCTTAGGCCTATTATTTATGGCTCTGTTGATAATCGGCTGAGCATTAGCAGACGACGATCATTGACAATGGGGAAATGAATGGAGGTATCGACCGATCTGCGCGTGCGGCGGTGCTTACGCAATTTGTATTGTGAGTGTATTGAAAGGGAAAGACGTGAAGCTTCAGCAAAATAAGACGGCAATTCCCCTCAAAAATAACAGACCTTATTTTTCGTATTGATAAACAAAACTTACATTTTTAGAAAGGAAAAAGTCTGATCTTTCATTTTTACATTTACTAAAAATCACGAAAATTACTAAATGAGGCGCAGTGAGCTATGAAAGTAGAAAGCACCGCCAAATTTTCCATTACTGGCGATGTAACCGAAATCGCTCCGTCACAGGGGAAACAATCGCCGTGCGCGGGCTTGCTCTCAAAGGGTTAATAAGGGAGCATAATTACATGTACAGAGTTTAGTTATCTTACCATCAATCACTACCCATCCACTCTCTGTTTCTTATGTTGTGTAGATGCATGTGGAACTCACGAGGCAGAGTTTCGATGTCCTCTTGGTCCATGCATCCATGGAGATTTTAGATGCGATGGCATTTTTGACTGTCCAACAGCCGCGGACGAACTCCAGTGCCCAAGTAAGTCAAAGTTTTTATGATCGGGTCGGTAAAGTGTTTACCGATCAAATCAACAATTACAGGTTTTTATGTTTCATTATAATGATAGCAAAAAGGATAATAAAAACATTGTACATGTATACATTAGGCTTGCCGGTGCACCATGTGAGAGAGAGGGAGGATTGAGGGGTCCTGAAAAGGACTCTCTGTAATCTTTCTTGAGGGTGTGTAGTCCTGAAAGTCACCTCAATCCTCCCTCTCTCTCTCACGTGGTGCACCTGCAAGCCTACTGTATATCTACATCACCATGCAAGCTGATAAGTAGCAATATACATGTATTTGAGAATAGAAACGGTGTGGAAGCAATTGGAAAAGGTTGAACATGCAGTACATGAGAATTAACATAATAGTGTGAAGTTTTGCAATGATCATAATAAACAGAAACTTATTCGGCCTTTCCAAAACACAAATGTACTGCACATAGAAAATATTTTGAATATGAGGGAATTTGAAGAGCAATATTTTCAGGTTATATTTCTACTATGATATATTTCGAAACTGACATACAGAGGATGGGAAGCTCACATATTTTTTTTCATAATTACCAGAACTTTTGATAATGTAACACTATAGCAATTTAAGAGCACTGATTCACCCCACAATTAATCTTAGTGGAATTTAACTCAGTAAAAAATTGTTAATGTATATTTATGTACGTATGTACATGGATGTATGTATATTCATCTTACAGCGTCAGAAGTATCTATGTATCGAAAAAATTTGTCATTATGTAGACATGGTCATTAGCAGGGCAATTTCGTGCCCTTTTAACGATTGCACAAAAGATGTACTGCCCTCTACGTACATTTGCAGGCAGAGGAAACTTATAGGCCTTCCAAGAAACAATAGGTTTATTCAGTAGTCATTAGTTTAATTAGTTATATTGTTTTGAATTTAGGGTTAGGGTTATACAAGTATTTATGATGTCCGTTTAATGTACCATATATAGGGTTATGAATAGATGTCCTGTTAATACAACATATAAGGTTATATATATATATATATATACATTGTAATAATATATTGTCTTCTTACAGCTCCATGCGGAGAAACAATGTTTGAGTGCCCCAACCAACAATGCATCCATGGAACTAGAAGATGCAATTTCCTAGTGGATTGCTTGAGTGGTGACGATGACGAACGCAACTGTGGAACACCAGCGAAGACAAGTAAGACCCCTTGACTGTAGGGTAGGATAGCATTATCATTTCAGGGTTTTCTCAAGCTGTGAATAGATCAGCTTTTCCTCCTCAAAATAACACTAAGTATGAATGAACATCACAATGTACTGTATTAGAAATGGACTCAAAAGTCTGCCAGGTTTTCGCTCTTTCTGCCAATGTAAAATAATAAGGATAAGAGTGGCTACTTGTATAGCGCACAGGTCCACCTTTCAGTGCTCATGGTGCCTAGAGAAAAATACATGTAACAAACATGAGACCAAAAAAACCCCAAAAGAGTTATTATAGACCACTGTGAAAACAGTTGAGATGTCACATGGAAATAAATGATAAGATACGATTGAGAAGACCAAATGAGAAACTACATGTAGTTGATTTTATAGTTCATGACAAAGAAAAGGGAACAAATTTGGGATACATGCATGGACAAGGGATGTAATATTTCAATAAAAATGCATTTTAAGAGTTAACCTTTATTAAACTGCATCTTTTTTTCACATGTCAGTGAAAATCTGCAAAATTGTATGATAGGTTATTGCTTTTTCTCTATCCTGTTCTCCATCTTTCCTGCCAGTTCTGTGTATTTATAGTATGCCACTTGTATATAAGTTGATCTTATTTTGCATTCAATTTCTAATTATACTGGTGTTATTACTTAAAGATAAAGTTGAGTTCTGGTGATGCGATTGCATTGTAACAGAAGCAGTGTGGAATCGATCAGAAAAGGTTGACCATCTGGCATATAAGTATTGTATTTACTGGAAGGTTCTGGAATCATCAAAATAAAGAAATTTTGCTCAGTCTTGGTAAGTTACAAGCACTGTACACAGAAAGGTGTATATGGGATTACGATATGTGGCATAAAAATCTGTCTCGATTTGTATGCTGTACAATATGAAGGCATTTGAAGATCCATGCTTTTCAGGGGTCAAGTTTTATCTGGTGCTCTTCCACACTTGCATAATAACAATGATAACACTCACAAAATATTTTTCACCTCTTCCCAGAACTCAACCTTCTCTTTAACATATTACCAAAACATCAATTTTTTGGCTCACATAAAAAAATGTTTCACAAATTTGTCCTACCATTTCTTTACCTAGCAAATATCTATCTGAGTCAGAACTCCATGAACATAACCTCACCAAACTACCCTGATGACTACCCACAAAATGAGTACTACGAGATATTAATCAGAACCGATCCTGGCCGTGTGATCCGCATGAGCTTCTACGATGTGGATCTCAGCCTAAACACCTACCTGGCCTTTGGACACGGGAGCGACACCGAGGATTTTAGCGCTCTCTTTGAGGCGTATACCCATCGTTCGGCCGTGCCTGCGCTGCTCACTTCTCTCACCAACGAGATCTTTGTGAAGTTCCATACAGGGGTTTATGGAGGCTCTGGCGGATATTTCATCGGTTTAGAAGATGTTGATTCATCAGGTAAGTACAATGCAGTCAGTATTAAACAATTGCTCTGGGTCCCTATTCATTGTAATATTTCAGATACGTCTGTAATATGCTTTTCACTATGGCAAAATTTTCCTTTGCCAACTTTGTTTGCACACTTGGTTTAACCAAAGTGGGCTTTCACCACCGATAGTGCAGGGGGGTGTTTCACAAAGATCCTAAGTAGAACTTAACACTAAGTTGGACTTAAAAATTATGGACAGCCATTGGAGCCTTAAAATGAAATATATTCAAAAGCAGAAATTCAAGTATTTTAGACTTTTTTATAACTTCCACATCAAGAACATGAAATCTCCTTGATGATGAAAAATATGAATGATTTGAATCAACATTTTATGCCTTTCAAAATAACTTTTACAAAATATTTTCAAAGTTGCCAACAGCTTTCCATAATTTTTAAGTCCAACTTAGAGTTAAGTTCTACTTAGGATCTTTGTGAAACACCCCCCAGGATTACTTGGCTCTGGAAACAATGCAGCGTTAGCGCCACAATTGCGTTGCTTTCTCTTGAAATGCAGTGCAAAGAGCTCAAGTGAGAACGTAGGTCAAAATAGTCTGTGACTATTAAATGAAAAGCTGTGCTAACCAATGACGGCAGAAGTACTGCGTCCAATCAGGGATAGCATGAACGTGAAAATTCATTTCAGGGCCAGCAGTGATCGGTCAAAAGTTCACAGCGTTTGTAGTAGTTTCGTACTCATTCATTTCATTTGTACCTCATCCATGAGACATTATTTTATAAACTTGTTATTGAACTTGTCTTGACCGAGTGACCCTACATCAGGTACATGTGCGAGTGTGCACTCATGAATATTTTTAAGCTATGCAGATAGCTCAGGGTTAGCGATTTCGAGTGAGGACAGAGTGGATATTGTCAGAGCTGCCGGTAAGTACAGATTTCCTGTAATTGGTATGGAAATTAACGATCGTTATGGCAGTACGGAATGTCTAAAATTACGGATTTCAAAAACAAAAAAATTATTTGTCATCCAACAGTCACTGAGAAAGACTGAAAAGTATCAAGAATTCTATGAATAGAAGCCAATTTTTCAGGGAAAACTGATATGTTGTGATGACCTGAAAATCAATATTTAGCAACTTTGTGTGAGTAAAATCACCCCAAAATTTCATATAATTATGCACCTTGACATTGTCTTACTACTCTCTCTTTCAGTATTTGGACATGATCTTTCAATCTTGACATATTACCGATACTCTCTCTTTCCTTATTCAGACATGACTTTTAAACCTTAATTTTTACTCTATCCTTATCCACACATGACCTTTAAACCTTGGCATTGTCTTACCATACTCTCTCTTTCCTTATTCTGACATGACCTTTAAACCTTAACATTGTCTAATACTGTTCTCTCTTTCCTAATTCAGACATGACCTTTAACCCTTAATATTTTCTTAATTTTTGCTCTATCCTTATCCAGACATGACCTTTAAACCTTTACATTGTTACCATACTCTCTCTTTCCTTATTCAGACATGACCTTTAAACCTTGACATTATCTCACCATACTCTCTCTTTCCTCATACAGACATGACTTTTCCACCCTGTGATGAAGATGAGTTCCAGTGTCCCAGTGATGGGGTATGCATTCCTGCTACATATGAATGTGATCTCATCAATGATTGCGGATTCGGTGGCGATGAACTCAACTGCCAGGCGCAAGGAGGTTAGTCTTGCACTCTCATGAGTTGGGATCGATCCTTAGATCGCAATTCCTCTGATCAGTTGCATAATTACAGTCATTTATGCTTCACATGTACTTTGGCCCTGTTTCTTAAAACTTGTTATCAATAAGAAGTTACCATAACTGTTATAAGCCACTGATAATGGTGGCATTTGATCGGCTGAGAGCAAATTTGTCATAGATATTTAGCATATGTTATCGAATTGTGATGATATTTTAAAGTTGCATCAATCAGTTATTAGTATTTAGGATTACCTAGCCGTGCTTGGAAGGGGAAAGAAAACTGAATCACTCTAATCCTCGGGCCTCTCCTCCCGATATTACTGATTTGGAGATGCAGGGGGACCATTTCACCAATGTTTTTCCCTTCTCTTATTTGAATAGCCTAGGGGGCTCGCAATGTGCATAGTAGGTGACCCTCCTTTATGGGACCTTCATTTAACATCCTATCTGAGGATGGAGTTTTGCCACTTTTCCCCAGGCTTGATCTGGAACAGGGCCGGGCCACATTAACAGACCTTGAAGGCTACAAAGTAGTAGTACTAATTATTACTACCGTATTTGCCGGCGATAAGGCCGCAGCGCCGCATAGGCCTGACCCTCAACTTTGACATTTCAAAGAGGCAAAAAAATATATAAAAAACAAACAAACAAACAAACAGACAAAACAAAATAGTCGTAATTTTCTCGTAGAACATTATTTTTTTACAAACTGATACCAAATTCATCAATATTCTTATAAATTACCGGAAGTTTAGCTAAAAAATGATCGCAGGCAGATTTGGTATTCGATATATACCCCAACCACAATGTACGGTGTAATGCGAAATTGCATGAAATGGATACAAAGATCAGAAAATAGACCTGCTGCGACTTTGGCTGGATGCGTAATTGCGTTCGCGGCAGCTCCGTAACGCTCCCTTCTTTTACTTTTTAGCAATGCATTGGCTAGAACTTAGATCAAGATCTATCGGCAGATGTTGTTTTAGGAAGTTTATTTTCGTCTTCATGTCAACAATGCAAGATAAAATTGTCGGTAAGATATGTGGAAATGTCCTGTACCATAGTGGTATAGTTATTGTAGTCCCATATGTACAAATTTGTGCTGTTTTTTCATGGTTTTGACTTGCAATTTTTTAATTTTTTTTACTCTTATGCCGCAAAGGCCGCACCCAGACTTTTTTATATTTTCTCTTCCAAAAATACTGCGGCCTTTACGCCAACAAATACAGTATTCTAAGTATTATTATCAGTATTATTATTTTCATCATTATTATTGTAATTTTAGTAGTAGTAGTAGTACAGTCATAGTAGTAGTAGTAGTAGTAGTAATGTCATATCATATTAAACATTTATAATTATTACTATTTTCAGGTACTTGTCAGCCTCATCAGTTCACATGTGATGATGGCCAGTGCATCCATTGGTATTACCAATGTGACGCCTTTACTGACTGTTTAGATGGAAGCGATGAAGCACGCTGTCGTAAGTCCTCTGCATGCTCGGCAGTCTTACTATTATCCAATATTCAAATAAATTGTAGTGAAATTACATGATACAGAATTGTGTGAACATGTCCGATAGAAAGAACATAAGTGAGCTCAAGTCCCATTTACATCTTTCTGTGTACGGTCCTTGTAACTTTACCAAGACTGGGCCAAATTTCTTATCATTTTGATGATTGATTCCAGAACTTTGCAGTACACACAAATACTTATACCGTAAATGTCCGTGTATAAAGCGCACTTTTTTGCCGCCGAAAAAAATTGAAAGTCGGGGGTGCGTCTTATACACAGGTACAGATTTTTTTTCGATTTATGGCGCTATGCCTGGCAATGTCTCCCAGCTCAGTAATCAGTGTGTTGACCACCACTCAGAAACTACAACAACACTCAAATTTGTCTGTCATCTTGGTTCGAAAGTAATCTTTTTAATAGATCTCAATATGTAGTTTATAATAATAATTCCTCTTTTTTTTTTTCCTATAACAAATGGTGTATCACAAGGTTCTATCCTAGGTACTCCATTGTCAGAAATTTAGAGGATGCTATTCATATCATGCATGACTATTGATGTTTGGCATAGAACACAGTGCTTCTGCTAGGTGATGTGATGAGGCTGGTGTGGGACACTTGGTATCATGAAGCCTGACCAGAACTGATCTTTATCTTTAATTGTTGATATCAAATTGCCATTTGTTTTGTGTAAAACAGAATCAATCCCTCACTCCATGATACTCTTCTTGTCTTATTTTTCATAATCCCTTGTAGCTTTCCATTGCCCATATAGCTACCAATTTGCCTGTTACAACAGCTCACAGTGTATCTTCCAGCCTCAAGTTTGTAACCACATCGCTGACTGTGACATGGGCGAAGACGAGGCCGACTGCGGTAAGAATCTTGATGTTATAGACTTTCCATTTAAGAAAACAATTGAAGATGCATAGGAGTTGGCTCTCATTAGAGGCCTGCCTTCATCAGCTCGAGTTTGCCAAATAACCCGCTATTTTAACTATCCCGATCACAAATTAGCCAGTTAATTTGCGTCTTCATCAGCTTGCAGTTGTAATTAGTGGGATATTTGGTCAAGAAAATATCCCAAGAAATCTTGGTCTTGTTTCCAAAATATCCTGCTATTTGGGAAATGGCGGGATTAATTGCGCCTGTCCGAGCTAGTTTGGGATGAGCGTATCGGTCTTGTGAAGACGCAATTTTGAGCTTCGGGAATATCCCGAATATGAATATAGCGCGTTATTTGGCAAAGTCGAGCTGATGAGGACAGGCCTATGGGGGAATTTAACACTTTGGAGACGACGGGTTTCTACAGAAGCCGAGCGAGTTGTTAAGTCTGTGATGACGGGCTTCTACAGAAGCCGAGATATATCCCTAATATGTTGACAAAGTTTTCCAGCTTATTATTAGCTTTTATGTGCTAAAGTTCTTTGAAGTATTATTTAGATATTTTCATTCATTTCATCTACTAAAAAAATAATAATGTTATGTGGAAAAAAATCGAGAAAAAGGTGATATCATTTCAACTTTCCCCTAAGTTAGTGTCGGCTCGAAAAAAAAGGCCCTCAAAATACCTGTACAGCTGGAGACGGACGCGTACGCGCGCGTCCGTTCTATATTCTTGTCATGATTCTTGCGTGACGACGTGATGCTACTTCCAAGTTCCTCCCTTCTGCATTTTTCGATATTCGTATTATCAGTTCGATTTCGACCCTGATTCCCCCTGATTACTTATTTATATTTATCTACCCTACCGGTGTGGCATTTTTTCATCATATACTAATCTAAGCCTGTGAGGGAGAAGAAGATAGAGGGATAGACTGAGAGGGGAAAGAAGGTTGAATATTTCCATATGTTATCTACAAAGCCTGTCGCCTCAAAAGTTTGACTCCACATCTATCTTTTACGTCATTGTATTTACATGACAATACGCTTTTCATTTTATCAACTTGACCAATTTAGCGAATCATTCATGTATGGACCTCCTCTTTTATGAAAGGCTTATCTCAGCTGCCCCACGCTAAGGGGGAACAAAAGAATGTAAAGAAGTAACTACTCTGGAAGATTGCCGTTTTGAAAGAAGAGGATGTAGGCGTAAACATAGGTCAATAGGTCAATCTACATGACAATACAAACAACCATTCTAATTTATATACCTTTACGAGGGCATGTAACAATTTTAGAGCAGTTTTGAGGTAATATCTTGATCAACCTAAAGCCGGTCTTGGTTTGAGCGGGCATATGAAATGTTCAAATGTTACGTTCTGAAAAACGACCCCTTACTCTTCCTCTCTCTCCCCACGGAATATCACTCTTGTCTTGAGCAACTCCGGCGGTATATCCACGAATATGAGACTTTCCCTGGGCAAAGATGCTACCATTGTTGAAAAAAAACATGCAACCCAATAAACAAAATCACGTGAAAATCACGTCAATATCAAGGTATCGACTTGAGGAGAGTTACGTTCTTCAAACACCTGATATTTACGTAAATGTGTTAATACGTTTATTGCACTAGGTCACTTAAAACACACGTACACTAAATCACGCAATTGTCACTGCAATATCACCATTATAATAACGTGATTATCCCTACCTTGGAGACCATGGTTTGTAAACCTAATACTCCCGTGTTTGTTTGGTTATGAAATTACATCTTCATAAACGAAAGTATCGCGTCACAGAAACACGTGAAGCATTAGTGATAGTTTTAGTCAAAATATCTGCGTGAAATTCACGTGAATATTACGAGGCTGACTTGAGATGAATCATGTTCTTCATTCACGTGAAATTTACGTCAAAGAGGAAATATGTTACTGTAACCCGCGTTCAACCCAATACTTACGCAAATGTTACACAATAAATGAACCAAAATAATGACGTTCTCATCCCGTTTCTGAACATCCTGTTTTGGATCTTCCATAATTACGTCCAGGCGCGCCGGAAGCAGTTTGGGATTAGAGGGGGTGGGGAGGGGGTGGGTGCAAACATCCCAGAACTGGTAACCCCGGAAATTGAAATGGGCTAAATGATCCAGTTGATCCAGGCCAGTTAGAATTCAACTGGTCTAGCTGAGCCATTAGAACCGTTTGGTAAAACTTCCAACCAGTTGAACGGCAACACCACTTCAAATCTGGTACGTCTGTATTTCCAATGTAAAGGCATTGGTAATAAGTAGACTTACATAATTTAATTAATCAAAAAATTTTCATATACTTGTATTTTATTGAAAGTATTTTAGTTCATAGTTAATGTTTCCCTTATTCATGTTTAATGAAATGTAATTTATACGAAGTAGCGAAATGTCCTAATAACTGGTAATTTATATTTGTAGTATTTTCGAAATGAATTGCATATAACTAAATCATCAGTAATTGAGAAATATGCTGTAAATTCAGATAAATTGTTAAAAAAACATAGATCTGCACGCACCCCATATTCAATATGCAAATTAATTGGTGTCAGCTGGTTCAACTGGAAATATGCTAACAGTCAGTCATCAACTGGTGCAATGAAAAGATGCCAACAGTCAGTTATCAGCTGGTGAAAAAAGAAATACGCCAACAGTCACGGGATTATCACCACGGAACTTAAATGGTAACTGTGAAACCATCAAGACACCCAAGAATAACTAATTGTTCACACCTAAAAATCACTGATGCCCAGCTTAGATTAATAATCCGTTTGAGTCACGAGATCATCACCGCGGAACTGCTGGCAACTTTGACTACCATTTAAATAGGTGTTTTAAGACACCTAATGATGACTAATTTTTCACACCTAAAAATCACCGATGCCCAGCTTAGATTAATAATCCGTTTGAGTCACGAGATCATTACCGCGGAACTGCTGGCAACTTTGACTACCATTTAAATAGGTGTTTTAAGACACCTAATAATTACTAAATTTTCACACCTAAATATCACGGATTCACAGCTTAGATTAGTAATCAGTTTTAGCTACGTGATCATCACCAATAAAGTTATGGTAACTTTGAAACCATTTAAAAAGGTATTTTAAGACACCTAATAATTACTTATTTTTCACACCTAAAAGTCACGTATGCCCAGCTTAGATTAATAATCCGCTTGAGTCACGAGATCATCACCGCGGAACTTATGGCAACTTTGACTACCATTTAAAAAGTGTTTTAAGACACCTAATAATTACTAATTTTTCACACCTAAATATCACAGATTCACAGCTTAGATTAGTAATCAGCTTGAGCCACGTGATCATAACCAAGAAAGTTATGGTTACTTTGAAACCATTGAAAGAGGTGTGTAAGACACCTCAGAATTACTTATTTAATATAACCAGAGATTCACGGACAGAACAATAAGACGATTAGCTGGTGTAAGTAACGTGATTATTACCATCAACCTTGGATAACCTGTGAAACCAATCGATAAAGGTGCTTACAAGACCAAATAATTACGTATTTATCACCACCATCGGTTAACGGACAAAAAACTCGTTGCTTGGTCAAGTGGTTATTTGGTCATAAACACTTGATTTACAGAGGTAAGTGGAATCATGTTACTCCAGTCGCGTGATAAATTGGTGGTTTTTAGGTTAGATAAAAACGTGAACAGGAGTACCTTATTTGTTTAAATGAAGGCACGTGTCGATAACGTTTAAATCTAGTTCAAAAGGCACCATACTTTAAAATCACTTAAAATACACTCCCAAAAGAGGTTACTTTTTAGTGTTTTGTTTATTGGGAAGGCAACATAAAAACAAGTTTTCTGGCAATGAAGAAAAGCGAGTGCAAGATGAAGAAAGTAATTGTTAATATCATTACTATTTTATTACAATATCGTAAGCATCATCATTTCATGTATACATGTACATGCCATCTACAGAACTGATCATGAAACGAGGATTATCTAAGTTTTGTCGACACGATAGGTTGAACAAGAACATAGATGGAGACGAAGACAAATGAAGTGAATTCTCACATTGTTTGCACATCTTTCTTTATTGTTCCGTAATATAATGAATTACTATTTTTTCAATATCATTTATTTTCGAATAAATAAAAGACTACCAAGACTACGGCGATTAACTCCTTATTAGCCACACCCTTTCAAAAAACTAACAAAAAACACAACAACGCGATGCGGAAATAAAACACACTGAAGCACAATTCCAATTCACAAAATTCCTGACGTATTCAGAGAGGGAAGGGAGAGGATAGAGACAGACAGAGAAAGATAGATAAATAGATAGAAAGAGAGAGAGAGAGAGATGATTGTGATGAATTATGATTTTGTTCTAATCTCTGTTATTCATTTAGCTCTTTCCATTACAAACAAAACTAATAAAATATGCGTACAAAGATTCAATAAATATTTTATTGATACAGCAACCTCATATCAAAATAGGGTTCTAAAAGATGTATAAATAGAGAAAAACTAAACAAAATTAAGCGGGAGGCAAAAACTAAAACAAAATGAATATTTCAAATTATGAGAAACTAAGTCGAAAGCATTCGAAATAAATATTATTTTCGTTTTCGAGAATAAAACAATGTTCATCTCAAAATTGATTTCCCAAAAAGTCCTTTATTTGATTTGCACATGTAAAAGAAAGGGCATTTAGTGTAGATCATGGCATAATGTTGGTCAGAATATAGTTACAAAATGTGTCGAAAAAACATGCAAAACGAAGGCTTAGGCCTATTATTTATGGCTCGGTTGATAATCGGCCAAGCTTTAGCAGACGACAATCATTGACAATGGGGAAATGAATGGAGGTATCGACCGATCTGCGCGTGCGGCGGTGCTTACGCAATTTGTATGGTGAGTGTATTGAAAAGGAAAGACGTGAAGCTTCAGCAAAATAAGACTGCAATTTCCCTCAAAAATAACAGACCTTATTTTTCGTATTGATGATCAAAACTTATATTTTAAGAAAGAAAAATATCTGATCATTAATTTTTACATTCACTAAAATCATGTAAATGACCGAATGAGGCGCAATGAGCAATGAAAGTAGAAAGCACTGCCAAATTTTCTATTACTGGCGATGTAACCGAAATCGCTCCGTCACAGGGGAAACAATCGCTGTGCGCGGGCTCGCTTTCAAAGGGTTAACACTGTTCATGTGTTTATCCGATAACAGATGTTGTCAATCACCATGCAGAATTAGCTTTCAGTTTTATGACCAACAGGCCCTGTGTAATGCCGCAGACTCCCCCACATGGTAAAGTCATTTTCTCACTATTCCCCTCTCCCGAAGACCCTCCGCGAGACTAGGGGTATTTCTTGATGGAACTACGGGTTTTCTGGGTGCGAGACTTTTACACACATTACTGGTATTTTCACCAAGTCTGGTGTCAGCGAAATATAGCCTTTTGCTCATGGAAACCGACGACCCACGTCCCTTTAAATCGTAGGGCTCGTTCAGATATGGTGCAAAAAAAAACAGGGCGGTGTATAAAGCCTGCAGCTGATGACGAACACCTAGCAAAGGACAACACACTGGTCAAAATTGCAAATTTTCAATGTGCGGGCCTTGTGTTCCCTGTGCGACCCGTATGTGTGACCGCCCAATTAGATGTACAGTAGTAAGCATTATGTATGATCATTAACTGGTAACCATGTGTAAAGTAAATCAATTATGTGATGAAGATTTCTGGACCTGGGGGTTATAATATGAGGAGAAGTATAATGATTCATTAATGATCAATCAATCATTCATTCCTAACAGGTCCATGTGATGATGGTTTCTTTACCTGTTCAAATGGGGGCTGTGTACCAGACTACTGGAAGTGTGATGGAGAAAATGAGTGCTTTGACGGTGGTGACGAAGTCGACTGCGGTACCGTCGGAACTATCTGTAAGTTAGAAGAGCTAGATATGCATATATTGACATGGCACTACAATGTTCATTGACAAGACATATTGATAGACATTTGCACACTCCACCCTACTGCAGTAGATGGAGATCTGATAGGAATTTATTCCTGGAATGCTTTTAGCACCTGAGGGCAGCTGGGCAAATACTGGAATAATGCCCCTGGGATGGATATATGTCCAATATATAAATGTAGCTATTATCATGGGGGCTGTGTACCAGACTACTGGAAGTGTGATGGAGAAAATGAGTGCTTTGACGGTGGTGACGAAGTCGACTGCTATACCATCGGAACTATCTGTAAGTTAGAAGAGCTATTGATATGGCACTACAATGTCCATTGGCAGAACATTGAAAGACTTGTGCACACTCCACCCTACTGCAGTAGATGGAGATCTGATAGGAATATATTCCTGGAATGCTTTTAGCGTCTTTAAGTAATAGGGCAGCTGGGAAAAAGCAAGAATAGGAATGGTACTTTATAGAATTGTGCTTTGAGCATCCCCTGGAATTGGTAAATGTACGTGTGCAATATAAATGTAGTGATTATCATAGAGTCAGAGCCAAATTATAATCCAATTCAACTTTCTACACTTGTTTAGGTCATATTTTAAAAATTAAAGGTTATTAATTGCTCTTTCAAACCTTTTTGCCTCCATAATAGTAATGATAATAATGATAATAATGGCAATAACAATGATGAGAGATATAAAAATAAGAATATAGTATTAATGTCACAAGTAATTTTAATTGATTATCCTTACTCTGCTTGTATCCACAGATAACTTAAATGTAGGCCAGAATGAAGTAAAGGAAATCACTTCCCCAGGTTACCCAATGCGTTATGAAGCTGGCTGCTATGTCGGGTGGCAAGTCACTGTTCCTGCTGGACTTTACGTCCGCTTCCTATTCGGGACCTTTGACATTGCCCTTTATTCTTATGTTACCATGGGAACCGGCCTTGACCACAGTGATCAGGACACACTGGTGTCCAACTACCACCACCGCCATGTTCCAAGGCAACGTGTCATCCCTAGCAACCAGGCTTGGATTGAATTCCACTGCGGAGCAATCGGAGGTGGACAAGGTTTCAGGATCGAGGTTTCTGCAATCAATCCAGACAGTGAGTGACAATCAATTTTTACATTGCTGGTTTCAAATTGCTTTAGTTTAAAGGGGTAGTTGAGTTCTGTTGCAGAGGGCGCTACACAAAATAATTTTTTGTGAAATAATGAAAAACTGAATGTCAAATTTGAAAGAACATATTATTTAAATGACAAAGTCATCTTTGTTTGATCAAAATCGGTTCAGAGACGGCTGAAATATAATGATTTCTAACACTTGTGTACCATCACAAATATTAGATATTTTGAAAAATTTGAAAAAACCATTGAAAAAAACGAAATAATGCTTTTTACGTCGTATTTCAGCCGATGCCGATGTTGGCTTTTTTGTTCATTTGGCATTTTTGTGTTGCTTATATTACCCACGATTAGCCGGCTCATGAATTGTTATTTTTCAATTAAGGGTCACCATGTTTTATTTAAAGTGGAGCTGAATTGGTATGATCGTATTGGCTTAATTTCACACATTTTGGGGTCTAAAATTACCTTTATAGCAATTTTAGGTTCTAAAAAGGCACTATAAATGTCATAGATAAGAATAAGTATTTATCTTTTCAAGATTCAGGATATTTTATTTAACCGTAACCATTAAAACATACAAACAATAATACAAAATACAGAATGTAATATGGTAAGGACCAAAAGAAAAGCGAATGCTTGTAAGGAATGGCCCTGAAAAAGAGAGAAACAAAAAAACCTAATCTATTATGGGATATACACCAAACGCTTTAAGTTTTAAGTGTTTGCAGTGCAAGATAATAATGAAAATAATAATGATAATCTTTTAAAGTCCACTCCAAATTTTATTAAGTTAAACCGAAAATTGAAATTCTTTTTGCCCAATTGATCGTGAGACCGGCAGCCACTGAGCAGCGCCAGATCGACGTTGCTCTATCCCTTATTGTTGAATGCCAAACAAGGTAGCTGCAACTCCCGTCTTTTAACGTCTTTTGGTATGACGCGGCCGGGGTTCGAAACCCACGACATCCCGGTTGTGAGGCGGACGATCTACTGACTGAGCCAACACACCGGTATCCTATACGGTGTAAAAAAGAGTTAATTTTTGCCAATTTTCAGATTTGGTTAATGAGCAAGCATGCAGAGAGGCAAGGAAAGCAAACCAAGTGTTACGAAACACACCGTATTATATTTTTTCATCCCTTATTACACCAACAGACTACATCCACCCAACATGCAGTAGCGACGAGTATCAGTGCATGGATGATTCTTGTATAGAGACCTTTGACCTTTGCAACGGAGCAAAGGACTGCTTGGGAGGGGAAGATGAGGAACATAACTGTACTACTTTTGACCATTGTAAGTATATACTACCAGAATACCAGGGAGTGTTTCACAAAGATCCCAAGTCAAACCTAACTCTAAGTTGGACTTAAACATTATGGAGCTAGAGCCATTTGTAGCCGTAGAGTAAAATATATTCAAAAGCCAAAATTCAAGTATTTTAGACTTTTCATCAATTTGACATCAAGAACATGAAGATATCCTTAATTGATAATAGAAAATATATATGTATTTTAAAATAACTTGTACAAAATATTTTCGAAGATGCTAACATCTTTCCATAATTGTTTAATCCAACTTAGAGATAAGTTAAACTTATGATCTTTGTAAAACACCACCCTGGAAAGTTTACACAAATAGTCATAACAAACAGTTCTCCTTTGACCTAACTTCATGGTAAATTAAGGACAATCCAACCCTAAACAAGATTTTTGTAGAATGAAGGAGAGTCCCAAAGTGATGAAAGGTGAAGGGATCCAGTTCAAATTTACTAAATTCCATTTTTTTTTTGCTGTGCACTAGTAAGCAAATATTAACCGACCACGAGGGTAATGGTACAAACTATCATCGCCGAGGTGATGTCGGGGCTACTATCATCTCGAGCCGCAAGGCGAGGGATGATGGTAGCTTTGAGATCACCGAGGCGATGATAGTTTGTATCCATTGCCCAAGTAAAGGAGGTTAATATTTGTTTTATATCCCACATCGGCAATAAGGTCTATTAAAAGTGAATTTTACATGATTAAAAGAACTGATTCTTCAGACAGTTTAGCTTCAGCTAGATTTTACAAAGCACAACACGCATACAATAATACAGTCGATGCGCACTCATTTTACATTGACATTGACATTTAGCATAACCTACTTTGCTACGCTTATTCAATGGGCAAGTGGGGCAGCAGCAAAAAATTATGGTACAAAAGGGAGATAGTACTTATCTATCATTGATCATGTGACCTCGTATAGACCAATCAGATTGCAAGATTCTTAGTATGCAGGATATAAAAATTAATATCTCGTTGAATCTTTCAGATGATTGTGGCACCCACGAGAACGAGTTCTTCTGTGAAGCTGGGCTCTACTGCATCCATGCTGATTTCAGGTGTGATGGGGTACTCGATTGCCCCTTCGGAACTGATGAACTCAACTGCGGTAAGTATTTACTAGATTCGCATCAGGAAACATTTGTGTTTTGGAAGCAAGAGCAATTTTCACAACAATTAACTTTATAACTTGCAAATGATTTGGAGTTTTATAATAGTTGTGATGGTATTCCTGATTGCCCTTTCGGAACTGATGAACTTGACTGCGGTAAGTATTAATACTAAATATATACAGATAAACCCTTCGGAACTGATGAATTAGACTGCTGTAAGTATTTACTAGATATATTGTAAACCCTTCGGAACTGATGAACTAGACTGCGGTAAGTATTAATACTAAATATATACAGGTAAACCCTTCGGAACTGATGAACTCGACTGCGGTAAGTATTTACTAGATATACTGTAAACCCTTCGGAACTGATGAACTAGACTGCGGTAAGTATTTACTAGATATACTGTAGACCCTTCGGAAGAGATGAATTAGACTGCGGTAAGTATTTACTAGATATACTGTAAACCCTTCGGAACTGATGAACTCGACTGCGGTAAGTATTTACTAGATATACTGTAAACCCTTCGGAACTGATGAATTAGACTGCGGTAAGTATTAATGCTAGATATACTGTAAACCCTTCGGAACTAATGAACTCGACTGCGGTAAGTATTTACTAGATATACTGTAAACCCTTCGGAACTGATGAACTCGACTGCGGTAAGTATTAATACTACATATACTGTAAACCCTTCGGAACTGATGAACTAGACTGCGGTAAGTATTAACTAGATATACTGTAAACCCTTCGGAACTGACAAACTCGACTGTTGTAAGTATTTACTAGATATACTGCAAACCCTTCGGAACTGATGAACTTGACTGTGGTAAGTATTACTAGATATACTGTAAATTAAGCCAGATAAGCATTCGTGTCAGGAAACATTGATTTGGTAATTTGGAAGTAAAAGCAATTTTCACAGCAATTAACTTTACAACTCGCAAATAATGTGAAGTTTTATAATAGTTGTGATACAGTTATTTTTATAATAATAATAATATTTGATATTTATATAGCCCACATCAAGAACATGAAATCTCCTTGATAGTAGTAAATATGAATCAACATTCTATGCCTTTTAAAATAACTATACAAAATATTTTCACAGATGCTAATGGCTTTCCATGAATTTTAAGTCCAACTAGAGATAAGTTCAACTTAGGATCTTTGTGAAACACCCCCCTGATCTGTTGAGTGCAGTTGCCATCTAAATTCTACTTGTATTTACAAGTTTTACCAACGTATATCTGAATGAACCATTGACAATTACTTATTACTGGAACTTACTGAAAGGACAAAGGAAACAGCAGTACTGATTAAAAACTGTTATGATAGTAATAGTAAATTTTTATTGTGCAATGATTATGTTATATTAAACTGCAGATAACAATGAATAAATTTGTTTGTGGAAAGGTGGAGTGAGTTTTTAGACAATTTTCTGAAGATATTCTTGAAGGATACATGCATACTGGTATCTAATCTAGGGAGAGAGATTGTTACAAAGTTTGGGCATGGCACTTGCAAAAGCACAATCTCTCATGCACAGCAATCTTTGTCTAAATACACAATGGAGAACTATTACATGAGTATGGGTGTCATGAGAACCACACTGGAAGCCTGGGATGGTTATATTCTAATATCACGAGTTTACTGAGACTCACTGCATAAACTTCATGATAAATACAGCCATGTATTTGTTTTCAAATTGAAAATGAGCATTAAAATCATTGATGGTGTGTTTGAAATTTTCAAATCAGAAATGGAGCATGAGGAAAAAATAGAGACAAGAACAAATGAGAGAGAGAGAGAGAGAGAGAAGTCACATGGAGTAGAAAAGAAAGAGGAAATGTGTGGGAGAGAGAGAAAGTGACAGAAAACAAAGAGCTCTGGGAGGGAAGAGATGAGGTAGAGTACAGGCTATCAAGAACAGTGACTGCCCATGGTAAATAAAGACAAACAACGACACATAGACATTGCATGCTAGAGATGGACCCTATGATAAAGCGACAAGGGTAAAATTATCAGCTATTCCAGTTAGAAGAAGAAGAAGACATTCATGTGATAAATTTAGCCCCTGAAGGACCCCTGTCTTGAATTTTTCTTGTTGTTTTTTTTAAAAACAAGTGTAGATGATATTTTTTCCCGCATTTATTCTTTATTTCTTATAGAATGCAGTGCTGGTGAATTTGAATGCCCTGATATTAAGCAGTGCATTCCTGGAGCATTTATCTGTGATAATTTTGTGGATTGTTTGCAAGGAAATGGAGACGATGAATTGAATTGTGCCAATCCAAATAATACGAGTAAGTATCACATTTTGCAAGGGGTGGAAAGGGTGGGTGGTGTAGGTTCTGGGAATATATTGTTTTTGTTAAGATAATCATTAATATGTTCGCACTGTGTTTCATGGATTTTGTTTTAATATTATTATTATTGATCAATTAATCAGTTTATTGTAGTCATTTTTATTGGACCCCCGAAGAAGAACAGATCAACTCTGTCAGTGGAGCTGAAGCGGGCGATGCCTCGATCTAATTTCGATTGAATTTTATTCTTATTTTTCTATAATACGGTATTCCATGTGAAATATTTTAGTGTTTTGTTTCTTTATGTGTTAGGATGTTTGTGTTTCATATTTTATGATCGTAAATAAAACCAACCAACCAACCAACATTCAAACTAATGTCAAACCAAGATATTCACAAATTTGTCTTGCCACTACATACTTAATGGCGTGCCACTTGCTTTCATTTTTTGTTCATTTTGTGAATGTTGCTTGGTGCTAAAAAGACATTACTTAACAATTCACACAAGTTTTTATGCTGTGAAATCATTATTACAATTCAAGTTCTTCATTTCGTGAAAGTTAACAACTTCTCCTCATTTGATTTTTTTTGTAAACTCAAATCAAGAAATGGTCTTGTGAGATGGCAAAACAATGTTTTTGCACGTAGCTTCTTTTCTAGTAATTCAGGTTTAAAACTTTACAGAAGTAAACTTCTATTTGTAATTTAGTTCAATATTTTATATTCTTTCTCAAAATGATTGAAGGGAATCAATGTACGATCAAAATAAATTTTACTAAAGCCCCACATATTTGAGTGATATTCATGAATTTAAGCATACATTGTTTTGCCGTATGCACCAACCAATCGATTGCTATGCAGACAGGGCGAAGGCTGTCTCCATTTTTGAGTGCCATACATACAGTTAACATATTATTTGTGACAAAGCCTGTCTAAACTATGGGCTTTGTTTTATACACGCATAAGCGTACACTCTACTGTTGCGCTGGCGGATAGACTTTCTCTGATGTTTAAGTCAATATTAGAGACTTTTAGATTGAGTGGACGAGAAGGGCATGAATGTCCACTGATCATGCGTGTCTATGGCAAGCCATTTTAACATTTATTCCTATTTCTTGATATCAAGAATTACCATTGCTTTAAAACAGAAAATCATTTCTTGATATCAAGAATTACCATTGCTTTACAACAGAAATTGAATTCTTGAAATCAAGAAAAAGGAATAAATGTCCACTCAATCTAAAAGTCCCTAATGAGCAAGTATTGCCGTTTTATGTTGAACATCACGTGTGCGCGTTGAGAAAGGAGCTGTCATTTGTTTTGCTAAAAAATTTAGAATGTTCGTTTTTATGGGGAGGGGGTGCATTCAGATTTCAATATTTGATTGAAAGTTAGATTACACTAATATAAAGCCAAATTCATTTTAACGTCGATTTTCACCAAAAATTGTCATACATTTTTTGGCGGTATCACAGCCGTGATGTCATCTACACATGCATACTATGCATCAATCTCCATATTATGTTAAACATGTATGTTCTCCTTTTTTCAGTGACATATGATCTGACTGACCCGATGAACATTTCGTCTCCCAACTACCCCAATGACTACCCGGTGCATGATTACACAGTGACCTACATCACCGTACCCGAAGGCATGTTAGTTCGGGCACGAATATTAGACTTCGATCTCAGCATCGCGTCTATTGTACTCTTCAGGAACGGTCATGATACCGAATCAGGGGAGTCCGATTTCATCAGATCATTCACCTCTGATTCAGAAGTTATCCTGGGAGAGACGGAGGTACTTTCAGAGGGCAGCAACACGATGTCTATTGAATTCCACTCAAATTACTTCAGTCAATCACGTGGTTTCCTCATTGAGCTGTCAGCTGCGGAAGGTAATTTTTACATAATATTTATTTATTTATTTATTAAAACATATTTTAACAGGATAACATTGATCAGCTCGCAGGCTGTTTTACATAATGGTCCTGCATAAGGATGGAAAATACACATTCAAGAACTGACAATAAGAGTAGTTACAAACAAAATAGCAGTTTTATACAAATAGGAAAAATAAGATTAGGGAAAAACGAAAAGAGGAGAAAAAAGATAAAATAATGCAATATAACATTAACATTATAACATTTTACATTTTACATTATAATAATATTGAAAAACTTTGAGGTCAATATTGACATGAGGTCAGGGCCCTGTTTCATGAAACTTGTTATCTATTGACAAGTTAACGATAAGCGTTGTAAGCTACTGAAATTGTGGCATTTGATTGGCTGAAAGCAAATTTGTCATAGATGTTTAGCATTTGTTATTGATAACAAGTTTTATGAAACAGGGCCCTGGGTGGAACTTTCATTCCGTTTCGGGTTGTTGTTGTTTTATTCTTTAATAATAATAATAGGCATTTGTATAGCGCCGTCTATCTAGACAATGCTATTCCGAGGCGCACAATAGCTACATTTTTGTACTGATACATTTAAGTAATGTATGAAGAAAACAAAAATAACAATAATCATGTTGAGAAGTTAAAACATTGTCAGTGCAATGAGCAAGGAAAAACGTTTTGCTTGTATGAACAGTGTAAATTTGAGGATTTTAATGTTTCTATATTGAAAAGCTCTGGCATGAGATGCCAAATATAGTGGTGTCCTAGTCTTGAGGATACGTTACCGCACTGTGGATCGCATGGTTCACGGTTCAAGTCCCGCCACGGCACTGATGGCTTTTGGCAAGATATTAATCTACATTTGCCACACTCCACAGAGGTGAGGTAAATGGTTACCTAGAAAAAAATTCTGGAATGTTTGAGCGCCTTTGGCTAAAGCCGGATAACAATATATTGCAGGGCCCTCATAGAGAACAATATCAATACTGATGAGGCTATCCTGGGTAAACATAACATATTGTTATCATTATTATTATTATAATTAGTAGTAGTAGTAGTAGTAGTAGCAGTAGTAGTAGTAGTAGTACCATTAATCAAGTCCATTCGTTTACATGCAGTTGTCCAAAAGAAGACGTAGATGGCGTTTACCAGTATTTACCAAGCTACACCCCCTTTAAAGAGATGGTTTATTGATTTCAAACTTAACTGAATTTGGTATCATTGCAATCGAAAAAATTACACTGAGTAAAATCATTACATTTGTGTAACTTTTACATTTGAGCGAAATTTATAAAAGTTGATTGAACTTGCCGAAAACTCAACCCACTCAACGCCCCGAAAACATTGTAAGTCAGCTGATTTTTGAAGTGACGTCACAATATGAACAGTGGGCCGCTCAACTGAAATGATTGACGACGGTGCGAGATGCAGTTTGCGTGCTTTTCACATGTATTGCATTGACTCTCGAGTACCGTACCCATTTATACCTAACGCCGTTTACCTTCATCAAAATCCCCTGGAAATATGGATATGGACGAAAACATACTTGATTTGAGTTTTGAGGAGATAGAAGAAGGCTCCTCCATGGCATGGTTTTGGTTCTTAATCTGACTTTAGTCTAGATAAATGGTATTTAACTTCCAAAAAGCGAGTGAATATATCGTCGATGTATGTAGCGTTCAAGTTTAATTTAATTTATTCCTCACAACAGTGAGGGCTTCAAAAGTACTTTGCCCATTTTGTTAATGTTCTCAGCAATCTGTAGAGGTGTAATTTGCCATTTTTCCACATTTCAATGAACCATCTCTTTAACACGTGGGTGGAGAGGAACAACGTAGATAGCATGCCTTGCTCATCAATATAAGTGCTGTGCCGGGACATGAACCCACAACCAATTTGGACATGGTTTATTCAGAATCACTCTCTCTCTCTCTCTTTCTTACTGATTATGCACCCGTATTGACTCGCATCACAACTGCATGTAGTAGACAACTGGCACCAAACAAACATGTTATTCCTGGCCTCAGCCTACCATAACCGGTATATATCTGAAATGTAATCTTTTTCTTTCTAATGTTTTATATTTGAAGAACCATCATGTGCCAGTGATGAGTTTACATGTGAACTTGGTGGGTGCATCAATTACAGCCTCACATGTAATTATTTGTTTAATTGCCCTGCGACTGATGACTACTCGGATGAAGGAAGTATTTGTACAGCACCGGAAGGAGGTAAGACTTATAATTTGTTAACATACATGTTCGCGTAGGTCCTGTAATGATGATGATAATAATGATATTGGTTTTTTTATGAAGGGCATTTCCATTAACTGAACGGTATCATTGTTACCCTAGACATGGATTTAATAACTATTCTGCACATTACAGTGCACATTCTCCACTCCTTGAGGAGCATTCCAGCCAGTCGCTTTTTTTACGGGCACTCACAATTATTCAACTTCGTTCAACACCGTTCGCGCCCTTCCAATTTAAAGGGAGTGTAGACTGAGGAGACTATGCGTCTTTCCCGTGGCCTGACTCAGGGCGCTTAGAAACATCAGTATTAAGCGCCTAATAAATGTTATGTATTATTATTATTATTTATTATTATTATTATTATAATACAACAAAGGACGATGCAACCGCAGCATCACGTGCGTGCAACGTACGAGAAACGTGAGGAGAACTTTGGTCTGTTTCGCTTACACTGACCATGTAGAGATTAAGTCGCTGACTACCATTAATCAAGTCCATTCGTTTAAGTGCAGTTGTCCAAAAGGAGACATAGATGGCGTTAACTAGTATTTACCAAGCTACACCCCCTTTAACACGTGGGTGGAGAGGAACAATGTAGATAGCATGCCTTGCTCATCAATATAAGTGCTGTGCCGGGACATGAACCCACGCCCACTGCATTTCTAGTCAAATGATTAAACTACTTGTCTACATCACCTCTATAAACATATCAAAGTTACAATTAATGGTAACTCGACAATAAATGGTAGCCTACAATTAATTTTATGGTGCATGAACACATTGAAAAAATGTATAGTATGTGACATAGTGCCTCTCCCATTTGTTTTAACACACGTAATTGATAAAATTTCAATTTTTCAAAATGTATTAATCAGGGCCCGGTCAATGACAACTCTTTATAATTCAGAGCCAAGGGGGGTCTTTTCTTTTTAGAGGAGCTATAATAATGTGCTATCCATAAAATATTGTGAGTAGTGCCCCAAAGAAGATGGCACTTTGGAGAAAAGTAGAAATAAATGGTGAGATGTCTAAATTGCCAGTTTGAGATTGACATAGATTTAATGATGGCATATTTCAAACATTTGTTACTCTCTCTCTCTCTCTCTCTCTGTCCCTTTCTCTCCCTTTCTCTCCTTTTCTCTCCTTTTCTCCCCTTTTCTCCCTCCCTCCCTCTTTCTCTCTCCCTCCCTCCCTCTTTCTCTCTCCCTTCCTCTCCCTCCCTTTTTCCCTCCCTCTCCCTCCCTCTCTCTCTCTCTCTCTCCCTCCCTCCTCCCTCCCTCTCTTACTGCCTCTCTCCCTCCCTCCCTCCCTCCCTCTCCCTCTTTCCCTCTCCCTCTCGCTCTCTCTCGCCCATCTTCTACGTGCAGGTGACTGTGGTCCGATGCTGTACACCTGTAACGATGGCCAGTGTTTTACCCTCAGTTACGTGTGTGACTTTTGGCCAGACTGTTCAGCAGGAGAAGATGAGTCGGACTGTCCGTAATTCATCAATCGCATCGACGTGGGTGGGGTCAAATGTCAACAAGAGAATAATAACACATTTTCCCTGCATTACTGAAATAGCCCCTCCCCCCCCCCCCCCCCACCCCAAAAAATATATTTAAAAAATAGTAATGATAATACATGAATAAATAAATAATACAATTTAAAAATCTAACTTTGTTGATAAAATGTCAGTAGTACCCGCTCTGAAATATAATGTCCAATTTTTGGCTTGATTGTATGGGGTACATTTACCACACATATTATTGAAAGCCCAAGAAAACTTGAATCACTTTATTCTTTAATATGTTCATGAAAATTTAATTTTGTATACATGCACAGGTATGGAAATATAAAAAAAAAAATGTGTATTTTTACCTTTTTTAACGTTAATTTTACCTTGTTTTTTTAGATGCCCCCCCCCCCCCAGGCATTCAAGGGGGGGTGCAATTTTTCAAATTTGGGACCCTACCCTTAAGAAATCCTGGATCCGCGCATGGGGGGGGGGGTCCATTTTTGTCCTTTTTATTATGTATTTTGAACTACAAGATGTACAGACTACCGGTATATGAACAAAGAGTGTAGGTTGGATTGCCTATAAAACGTGCCTTATCCTAATGGAAATACTACCTGTATAACACAGAGACAGATATTTTTTAATCTCAAGGCGAAAATATCGGCATAAGAGCTGGTGCAGTGTTGTTTTAAAGAAGAGTTTGGGTTTTGTTTTTGATACTTTCATCTCTATTTGCTATTTTGCTTTCAATGTAAGCTTATGCAAGCTGTATTAAAGGAAGTTTTTTTATAAAAAGAGTGGAGTATGCAATAGTCTTTCCATTAGTCCAACATGTGAAAACAAAAATATATATTTTTAGGGGATCCAAGAACTGAACGTTTCAAAGTTTGTACAGGTTTAATTGTGATCACCCTGCTTGTGTGTTCACCCCTAGTCTTTCATACCAAAATTTGAGGTTTGAATTATGTGTTATCACGTAGTTGATGTTGTTGTGTTTTTGTTAACCCTGAACGGGTAATTCACTCCTACATGTAGGTTTGCATGACCTCTGACCTCACTGTCAATTGCACAATTTGGAGAAGTACGGTATAGAGAATATATTTTATGCCAAATGGTGTGTATAAGTACTAGAGTAACTGTATATGAATATGATGTACTTGTACATTTATCATAGAAATATATACACCTGTCAATGTCTATTTTCAAGGTATGGGAGCTAGACTGTTTTGTAACAATGTTGTAATTAGCGCACAAGTTGATAGCCATATTCAATTGAACAGTACTACTATTGAATGAATCCAATGCTAAATATCTTGGTTTATTTTCTATCTATGCATCAGTCTGTGTATTTTATATCATGTTTAATCATTTAATTGGTGATGGGTGATACTTTTTTTACCATATATATACATTTTGAAGAAGACAAAAAAATCATATATGTACATTTTATTAAAAAGTCTGTAAACCTTTGGTATAGTCAAACCTGTCTATTAAGGCCACCCAAGGGAATTCCAAACACAAAAAGTAGCTAATGTAGGACACTTCAGGCCATTCTAGACGGGCTCTTTAAAGCACATCAGTACTAGTTTACAGGAAAGGCCACCCTGCAAGGTCACTGGACAGCTGGTTATCTCGTCAACTCAGCTCTCAATTAACATAAGAAAAAGAGGGTCATGGGGGACCAATGGTCACCGATTATGCATTGTTTGTTATATAGAGGGCTCAAATGGCTACAAGTAGTGCAGTGGGACTTTAAGACATTTCTCTCTCAAAGAGAAATATACTGATAAAAGACAATCATTTCAGATGGCCGTTATAGAGAGGTTGCCTTTATAAAGAGGTTGCCTTTAAGACAGGTTTGGCTGTACTTCGTTTTGGTTCAGTCACATATGCATCCAAGCATTTTCCAGTTGTAAGGTATCCTTCACCAGGCATAGATAAAAAGAAAAATCATTTCTTGTTGATGAAAAAACTCCCGAGTCGTGGAAGTGGTAGGGGGCACTGCAACATTGCCCCTTATCTTTTGTTGGGACATGTCTCTGATTGCAATTTAAAGCTGATGCCCCTTTTGGCACACTTTGCCAGAGTCTGAGAAAGGAAAATGTTTGGATATCAAAACAATATTTTGTTATTGCTGCCATAATTTTGTTTTAATTTTTTCTAGAGGTACATGGTATGTTGTAATGTAAGAAATATACAATTTTTACTCTGAAATATGATCCCTGTTTTTGATTGATTCTCGTTATAATGGTAATTAAGTATCTTGATAATGCAATGTGCATGGAATGATTTGTTGAAGATGTTTATAACAGAGTATGTCGTCAATTTATTGAATACTGATTTATTGGAAATACTTCTGGAAGATGAACAAATATTATATTGTTGAATTTGTACTGAGAATTTTCTTTAGAATTTGTTATTTTGTAACCTTTTGACTAAAGATGGGCCTATACAATTTACTGATAGGTCGTTTTTTATTTGTTATACTATACATGCATATCGTAAATGTAGAGTACTTCACATTTTCTTTAATGTTCGTTTTATATGCAAGGTGTTTTTCTCACCAACTGAAGGTGTGGGATTAGGTTAATTTTGATTTCGTTGAAAGGTTTTAAGCTGGCGTTTAAACAACTTATTGCATGATTGAAGCTGCCAGTTAATTGAATTTAGTGGCACACAAAGATGCTACACTGCAATCATTGGTTGGCTTAAAGTGGATAAGTCATTCTATCTCTGAGTGGTGGTTGTTTCCAAGAGTTGTTGTTTCATATGAAATGTGCATCTCAAGTTTCTTTGTATCGGATCATTCGTTCAAGATGATATCTCAAAGATCAGACATAATGCGAGATTCAAAAATTACCTATAATGATCTTTTATTACTCAGACTCGGAACTTACTTAGGCTGAATGTAAAGGCTGCATGCACTAGGCTTATACACAAAGATTGTGACTCTGTTAGTTATTCTTGATAGTCAAAGCCTATATATCACAGAACGTTAATGATCATTCTCCGTGACTCTTTAGATTGAAATTTGAACTATCAAGAATAAATTATGTGCTAATCTTTTTTAAAGAAAAGAGGTAAAACTACCATTTATTCTAAATGTGTGGGCAATATAGTGTATTACTCTTGCCCGTACTCTTGAGAATCCTGTACAAGGTCATTGCACTTTGCAATAATTCAAATACTAACTTTTCTCTTGCATTAGAGCTCGGCTACCGAAACTAAAGATTTACTTCCCAGAAGAGCCAGTAAAATGTTACATTCTTCAAATTATTTGTATGTAGATTTACAAAATGATGTTACTATGTACATTTTAGGTCATATAGCAGCTACCGTATACAGTCGAACCTGTCTATATAGCAACCGCCTAAGGGAAACACAAAAAGTGAGCTTTGTAGACAGGTTCCTTTAGTACGTGATTCAATGAGAAACCATTTTCAAGGGAAACAACAAACGTGGCCTTTGTAGGCAGGTGGTCTTTGTAGACTGTGGTCACTATAAAGCAGGTTTGACTGTAGTTGTCAACATTTCTACTTGGAGGATTATTATGCAAAGAATCTCTAATGAATGCAATTACTTTTGGGGATCACACCAATCAGCTGAATATTTGGTGAGATTTGGATGACCAGTACTTAATGCTATATTCAACAAGCTTCTTAGAAAAATAAATAAATTTTGCAGCACTTTCATGTATACTTTCTTGATGCGTTCATTTTGTATAATAGTGGTGATGGTATAGTAGTAAGAGGAGGATTGGGCAGTAGTAGTAGTTATAATGGTAATAATAATAATCATAATGTAAAGAAGGAGAAGGGGGAAAAGAAGAAGGGGAAGGGGTAAAGGAGGAGGCCTGGGTGGTCACTCCCAACATGACTGGCTATGCACCCGCGTCCAGAAAAAGCGGCGAAAGGGTGTCTTTATCAGCTATGATGGCGCCGTCGACGTTTTCCTTAAAAAGGGGTGTTTTTCAAGCACTGATCGATTGCACAAAAAACAAAAAAGGGTACCTTTTCAGTAGCATGTGTGTGTGAGAGTGACCCCCCCCCCCCCCCCCTGTGGCCCAGCAGCATAATGCACACTATATCCATCTCAAGTAATTAAACTAAACAATGGAATTCAGTGATATTTCCAAGCAAACACAGATAAGCAAGATGAGAATAAGAAATACTGAGAGAACAATAATGGATATATAAGAGAAGTCAGCTAAAAGAGAGAGGAGAACGGGGGAGAGTTCGAGGAACACGTTTCCAAATGCTTTCGAAAAATCAAATGGAAATTCATATGGCTATGTCCATTACGTTTCGAAGTATGTGAAAATTACAATGATGTATTTACGCAATGCAAACATGACTAAAATAGGATGTAAAATAGGATATCGAAATTGACCTTGTCTGTATTTTTTATTTTTCGAAGTCTTTGCGATAGTGTGAGAGATAGGAGAAGGTAACTCAGAAATAGAAGAAAAAGCAGAATCGAGAGAGAGAGGCATCAGAGAGAGAGAGAAAGAGGGGGCAACTTAGACCTAGGATAAAGAAGTAGACTACTCGAAAAGAGAAGAAAAGTTAATTATAGTATAGAGAACTCAGAAAAATAGTTTTTAAATTCAGAAAGAGGGATAGAGAACAAGAAAGAGGGATACTGTAGTAAAAGAGAACTCGTGAAAAGAGGTAAGATCGAGAGACAGTTCGTAGAAAACTCAGAACGATAACGAAAAAGAGATAGTAGTATAGAAAACGCAGAAAGAGAGAGATAGTAGAGAACTCGAAAAGAGAAGAAAAATAAATAATAGTTATAAAGAGAATTCAGAAAGACTCGGAGATTAAAGAAAGAAAAGAACTCAGAAAGCCTGTGTGTTTTTTAGTCAGAAAAAAGAAGAAAGAGGAATAGAAATCAGAAAGAGAAATAGTAGTAAAAAACACTGAAAAGAAGAGAACACATAATTATACAGTGAGAGAAGAAAGAGAGATAGAAGAGAAGTCAAAAATAAAGAGAGAGAGAGAGTAGAAGAGAAATCATGAAGAGAAGAACGATGAATTGTAGTATAAATGAAAGAGGTGTTCAAAGAAAGTAATAGTTGAGACCCATCAGAAAGCCTTAGAAAATGGGGGGGGGGGGGTTAACTCAAAAAGAGAAGAGAAGAGAAAGGGAAACTTAGAAAGAGAAGAAAATGAGATATCTGTATATAGTAGAGAACTCAGAAAGAGAGGAAAGAGAGATCGACAGATACAAGAGGACTGAGAGAGAGAGAGAGAGAGAGAGAGAGATAGAGAGAGAGAGAGAGAGAGAGATTGAGGGAGGGAGAGAGAGGGAGGGAGAGCATGAGAGAGAGAGAGAGAGAGAGAGAGAGAGAGAGAGAGAGAGAGAGAGAGAGAATTATATTTGTATTATTATTAAATTTGACGATCGATTTGAACTGTGTAGCAAAGCAAGGCAAAATCAGATTTAGACTAGAGTTATTGTGTAGATTATTATAAATGTTAAAGAGATGACTCAGTAGAGAACTCGACAGAGAGAGACATAGACAGACAGACAGAGATATTAGAATAATAAATGATGAATGATGATGATGATATATTTTTTTTCTCGATAGTATAGGTCTAGAATAAAAAAAAATTAATTTTTGTCTAGAGAAAGATGTCAGATTAAGACCAAGAGATGGCAGTAGTCACATATCGTTAATTTAACAGAACAACATGGCTGCGTCCATAGGTGCATAGAAAGCGATGATGTGTACAAAAAACTGAAACAGACTTCGATCGGTGGTGTAGAAGTTAGCGCCTAGATAGTTCATATGGGTTCTGTGCTACCTTCCTTCTGACTAGAAAAGTGGTAAGTTTTATTTATTTTCGAGTTAATAATACAGCATAACAGGTTCAATCAGGAGGCTAGATCTGCAATTAGTGGCTAGTCAGGAGCACCCAGTGCAGGAGGCACTACCAGGTAATTCATGTCCGTCTACGGTCTAGGTCTAGTCTAGTGCAATGATGATCTGGCCGGGTTGGCGTGGCGCGGCGCGGCTTAGAAATAGACCCTTGCCCTGGCCCACACATAGGAGCATCGCTATACCTAGACTGAAAGCTTCAGTCTCTCTAATCGTCGGTTGTTCCACTGAAACTACATTGTACGTCTGGCTCCACTAGACCTCCGATTATAGAGACTGAAGTCTGGGGACCTCTTTCTGTGAGGCACTGTACGGAACAAATGGTTCGGTTCGACCGGACCACGATGAATGAGATATGCAACGAGATTTTCACTCTTTACATCCTCATAACTGCTGCAATTATAACACAAATTAAAAATAACATAGGCCTATAGGCCTAGAATCTATAGATCTAGGGCCTTATTTGACTTAGTCTAGGCAAATTCTAGACCGAAAGCTTCAGTCTCTATAATAATCGTCGGTTGTTCCACTGAGACTACGTCTGGCTCCACTAGACCTCCGGTTATAGAGACTGAACGACTGCCTATGCCAGCCTGTGTTGAACTTATTCCGCTAGATTTTAGCCGCTAGGCCCCTCCCACAAACTTGCCACGGCCGTATTGTTATGCCCCCAAAATCCCCCAAAATGTCATTTTACCTCGTTCATTTCCAATTTTAAATTAGGCCTAGGCTATAATACATCGGTTCCACTTACTAACTTGATTGATATAATCCGTTTAATGGTCCCTTTTAAGGAAATTATCGGTCAAAATCGACATCCATGTTGAAAATCTTGCAAGCCGTGTTAAACTCTCGCTGCCGTCAATCTCATTCCCTTCTAGTCTACGCCGAAGGCAAAATGATTATGAAGGAAAAACTGTGATAACGCCATTACGAACGTGTAGATGGCGCACAGTTTTTCCTTCATAATCATTTTGCCTTCGGTGTAGACTAGAAGGGATGAGATTGACGGCAGCGAGAGTTTAACACGGCTTGCAAGATTTTCAACATGGATGTCGATTTTGACCGATAATTTCCTTAAAAGGGACCATTAAACGGATTATATCAATCAAGTTAGTAAGTGGAACCGATGTATTATAGCCTAGGCCTAATTTAAAATTGGAAATGAACGAGGTAAAATGACATTTTGGGGGATTTTGGGGGCATAACAATACGGCCGTGGCAAGTTTGTGGGAGGGGCCTAGCGGCTAAAATCTAGCGGAATAAGTTCAACACAGGCTGGCATAGGCAGTCGTTCAGTCTCTATAACCGGAGGTCTAGTGGAGCCAGACGTAGTCTCAGTGGAACAACCGACGATTATAGAGACTGAAGCTTTCGGTCTAGGCAAATTCATGCAAAAAAATATATTAAAAAAATTGACTTGAAAACACATCAGACAATTAGTCTGAACCGAGTCAGGAGCAAATTTGAAGAAATTATATTTTTAAATGTTGTAAAACCAAAGATATAAGAAGAAAACTGACCAAGTATCTGTACTAAAAATCGTACATGTAAAATTGGTCGTATACATTCGACAGCTGAAAATGACGCGCACGGTTGCATTAGACTCTACGTGCGTTCTCGAATCCAAAATCATACTTCACACACACACTCTCGCCATACCGCGAATGGTCCTTCGTGGGGAGCTAGCCGGCTGAGAGTTTGCAGCGATACCAACGCAGCTTCGGAGCTCCGCAGAGCACCATTTTAGCGGGACTCGGAAGGGTTCGCGTGGGAAGGCAGGGGCCTAGCTTTTTGCCCAAACAACGCTAGATCGGCTGCTGGCAAAATGAAAATAACTAAGATCGAGAACATCGTCGGTTTCTTAACTTTTCAGTGAGATAATTCTGAATTCTAATTGAGACTAGGTCTATATTATATAATCAATTGAATCGACAAAGAAACCTCGGTAGAACTCTTATAACTATACAAAAGCTTGTTTATTTCTTCATTTGACATTTTGTTTTCGACCATTTTTTCGTGCGCGAGTCAATGCAAACTATGTATTACCAAACTTTCAACACGCAAGGAACGGGGAACACTCGCGGAACTCGTATGAAATTTGTTGCAAAAAAAAAATTCAAGTGTGATTTTGAAGCAGTGTAGAATATTGGCGCTGCAATGCGCAGAAATATACTTGAAAGAAACTTAATAAATCATAGGGTAGCGCGCCCAGTATTCGGTCAATTCCCAGTATTCGGTCAGACAGCCGTTTCGACAGCTGTAACAATTTAAAAAATAATTTAAGAGCCACGAAACTTGCACAGATCAGGCAGCTGAACAACTTTTCTTAACTCTCAAAATTAAATCAGATTTAGGGCCCCGGAAAGATCTCCAATTTAGCTCAAAATTGGTCAGTGTCGCAAGACTTTCTGCCCTTCTGCGTTCTCTTAGCACATGCGCTAACATGCATAGCCATATGTAGAAGTCTATTGCGAAACAACTGCGTGTGCTGTCGCAATGAATTTAGTATGTGTGTGAAGAGAATCACTTCCGTGTTCACTCCATCGCAGTGAATTTGCTAATGACGCACTTGCCGATGTGCGAGAGGTATTTATACGATACCCTTGCCATGCGGTATTGCTCGGCCAGTATTCGGTCAACGCATTGACATTCAGTGCTTTATCGCGCAATTGTGTGAAAATAGTGCGCAAATACGCTACGCTCCTGCAACGGAGATACCACGCACAAATCGCGTGACCGAATTCTAGTCGGCGCGACCGAATTCTGGGCAGAAAAATGCTCCGTCTTCTTTCGGAAGTCTTTTGCTTATCGTTATTCTATATTTTCAGTGACTATAAAATCCTGTTAGAGGAATAAATTTCTTTTCTTTTGATGGGTAGATTGCCCAATGAAAGAGGTAAGAATTCAAAATATTAGTGATTTCCCCTTAAGTGACCGAATACTGGGCACTCTACCCTACCTGAATTTTCAGAAAATCGTATTTGTATTAGTGTACCTAGATGTGACTTGTTTATAACTCAGATTTTATGAAGATTTGTCGGGAAAAAATGTCAATTTTTTCCGTTTGGTGGTCATTTCTAGGCTAATATTTAAAAAGTTACTTAAGTAATGGGCCCGATGTTTCTCTTATCACACTCGCATGTTATTTCTACATAGATTAAACATAGGATGGTTAAGGGTAAGACCGGATAACATTATAAAAAAGATATATCCTTCCAACCTCCCATATCCAAATTTTGGGCTGATTATTGCCGACCCACCGCAGCAAGGCCATTCAGATTGTCGTACGCGAGCGAAGCGCCCTCTAGTGCCCCATGAATGTGCCTACTTAGACTACGATAGCTTGCTCATTTAGATCCTAAATTAATGATTAATCCGAGAAAGTCTCGTAGTCAACATTATCCGTCTTGGTGTTAGTTGATGAATATTCATTTTTTCTTTTCGAAAGTCCAATAGCTCCTGTAGCTACGTACGAGTAAGCCCAGCTTGACCAACGAACTCCCACGAAACGAGTGCTCTGATTGGCCATTTGGCTATGTTTTGGTAGGTTGACCCGGAAATATTTTGGCCGCCGGGTCATATAGCCCTATGTTCCGAGTGCATGAACGTTCGGAGATTCAAATTGGATAATTCATATAAGTAAGTCCGTAAATTATCCATTTAATATTGAGTTATCAAATTTTGATAACTGTAATTAGGACAAATGACATACCGACCTAATTTACATCTGATTTAGAAATCAGGAAATTAGATCTAAATAAAGAAAATCGGGGAGAAAATGTCGTGGACGAAAATATGCACATATAGGCCTATAGCCACCCCCACGGTACGAGATCTCTGGGTTGCCATCTGTATTGGGGAATGACAACAAATGTAAGTTTTATTAAAGAAATGACCCAAATCGGATGGTTATTACTGTCTACGCTATACCATGTATATTGGCTGTGTAGTCTTCTTCTTCTTCTTCGCTATAAGTACAGGCCACCGTCGGGTGTATTCTCGTACTGATTGTAGGTGCTGTGCAGGTGTATATATACATGTGGTGTCTCAATAAAAGGTCTACAATGAGCTACATGTATGTGCAGTTAAAAAAACATCCGTAGCTTAACGGAGCTGGATCTTGAGTACCTCTCTCTTAAAGCTTAGCAGAGAGGTACAGGTGACGGCGGCCTGCGGTAGTGAGTTCCAGAGCCTAGGAAAAAAAGCTTAGACCGAATTTTCTGTCTCTTTCGTTCGTTAAGCCTCTTATTTGGGTAGGGTTGGCTCTCTCTTTAGAGACAGAAGCCGACCATACCGCCAAAGGTGTGGGTAAAGGTGTGTAAATTTACACACTAAACTTGAAACTTATCCCGAGTTAGACTACTCCTTTCACATGATGCATCCGCTGCATTTTATATTGTAAATTATAGGCTTAACTACTTTGGTTCGACTTACCAACTTGACTGAAATAATCTGTTTAATGGTCCATTTTTAGGAAATTATGCGTCAAAAATCGACATCCATGATAAAAATCTTGCAGCGGTAGTTTAAACTCTCGCTGCGCGCGCGTGACGTCATCTAAATCTCATCCCTTCTAGTCTACGCCGAAGGCAAAATTATTATAATGGAAAAACTGTGCATGAGCTACGAGTTCGTAATGACAGTCACATGCACAGATTCCAATAATAAGATTGGAATAATCAATGATTTTAAATAATTTAGCTTCATATTTTGTAAGATGGAATCTGATATTACCTCTGTAACCACCATGTATACCGTGGCTTACTCATATATTACCTCAATCATTATGTATGTTTATAAAATGTGTATGTTTATCACTGTCCTGTAATATTTCATTTATATATTTGTATTGTAATACTCTGTAAACAGTGGAAACCAAATTTCCTGAAAAGGACAATAAATTATTATACTATTATGAAGAAGAAAGGGGGCCATTTATCACAGGTAAAATAGAAAACATCTAAAAAGAGTCAAAAAAACATTCTTCCTTACGCTACAATTTCTTCAGTTTGACTTTCATTTGCTCCAAGAGAAGTTCCCCGGGATGTTTTTGCTGTTTGTAAACCCTCTCACAATTTTACCATCGTAATGCCTAGATTTCAGTCCGTGCGAGGTTACTATAGTCAAGTTTGCATCATGTGTAAAAAGGTATGAGAATGAAAACCTTATCGTTCAAGATCATTCAAGACTTTTTATCCCCTCTCTCTCTCTCTTTCTCAGATTATTTGTAAGACTCCCAAGTACAGAGTGACATCCTCAACTCATCAATTACCATCATCATTATTATCATCATCATGAAGTTGTCGCCATGGTTACTGTGCTCCTGCCTTGCGTATTTCTACTCCTTTATCAAGAGGACCATCTTCCGCTTCCGACGGAGACGTTCCAGTGATCCTAGTCTACCTACCAAAGGATCAGGTCCAGGGGGAGGCGGACCTAGTTCCTCTGCCAACGGGTCCAGTGCTAAAAACTATGCCAACACCTCAGGGGTAAGTTTAATACTGGAGTCAATTCTATATGTACATGTGCTAAAATCTACGCCAACACCTCAGGTGTAAGTTTAATACTGGAGTGAGTGGAGTCAATTCTATATGTACATGTGCTAAAGTCTACGCCAACACCTCAGGTGTAAGTTTAATACTGGAGTCAATTCTATATGTACGCTACGTGTGCTAAAAACTACGCCAACACCTCAGGTGTAAGTTTAATACTGGAGTCAATTCTATATGTACGCTACGTGTGCTAAAAACTATGCCAACACCTCAGGTGTAAGTTTAATACTGGAGTCAATTCTATATGTACGCTACGTGTGCTAAAAACTACGCCAACACCTCAGGTGTAAGTTGAATACTCAGGCAATGCTATATAAATATACTGTATGTATGGTTGTTCATTAGTGTAACATGTTATTGTCACTTTTTCTTTCTTTTTTCTTCTTTTTTTTTTGGGGGGGGGGTTGTTTCTTTTTCAAATAGATTCTACAGGCAGTGTGTGTGTGTGTGTGTATTGGGTTTTTACAGACGTGTATCAATCAGATATGATTATTTACGTCTGGGGACCAACCTTTAAACGTCACCATCCGAAAGACGTGACTCAGTTTCGAACCTGCGTCCTCAGCCGAATCAGTTTGTAACTTCCACATTTAGCTGAATTACAGGCGCACGCCACAACGCCATCAAATTATGAAATTATGAAAAAACAGTTGGTTACTAAAGTCCGGGAAAAGGTGACATGGGCAGTTGGGCACAGAGTGGGCATGTTTAAAACTTGTTTTAATTCGCTGATTTGTTTGACATTTTAAAAAACGTGAATCAAAACATCCATTATTTTTAACAAAGTCGAGAAATTTTACTTTTTTGCACCGTTGTTATCCCCAAAATGCACTAACTTGCATATAGTAAAATTAAATGCACGCACACGTGATCCATTTCAACGCTTCTCATTGGCTACATTCTAGAACCCATTTTTTAACATGGAATGACGGGTACAAAAGTGAATTAGACTGCGCACCTCTCTTCCCTGCGGTTACCCATTGTCTGCAGTGTCTTAGCTCTGCGCATCTGACACGTACAAGGGCAACCTGAATGTAATCGAGAGGGCCTGCGCCAAAGAGAGCAAGACATGAGCTCACAAAGATCCATCATTTTAGAATACTGTAAACACTGTTATTTTTGCTTGATTAATTTTTTTGCGCTTCGTGACCCCAAAACATATTCACTGGCTCTTAAATTCGCGTTGCATGCAATTCAGCCCGTACCAAACATGCATAAAAAGTCATGCTTATAATTTTGCGAGTTCTAAAATTCGCGCTTGGCGATCTTAGCGCAAAATCTGTGAAAATTAATGTACAGCAAATATTTCTACTTTTACAGTATTGCATGCATGATTCATTGTTCAATATAATCGGGTATTAAAGAGAAGGTTGAGTTCTGGGAAGAGGTGAAAAATAATTTGTGAGCATTACTCATTCTTATTATGCAAGTGTGGAAGAACATCAGTTAAGACATGTTCCCTGAAAAGCATGGCTCTTCAAATGCCTTCATATTCTAAATATGCATGTAACATCGTAAAAATCGGGGGGGGGGGGGCGGCTTTTTACGCCACGTGTTCGTGTAGTCCCATATACGTCTTTCTGTGCAAGTGTTTGTAACTTTACCAAGACTTGGCCAAATTTCTTATCATTTTGATGATTCCAGAACCTTGCAATACACACAAATTCTTATATGCTAGATGATCAACCTTTTCTGGTCGGTTCCACACTGTTTCTTTCACAATGCAATCGCATGACCAGAACTCAACTTCATCTTTAACTTCCAAATTCAGAATTTGCGGTTCATGTATTTTTTTATATTGAATTCCAGAGCATGCAATATTTGTTTAATACATAGTGAACCTCTGCAAACAAAGACTCACCTTTGTGAGATTAATTGTGATCTAGATGGGACTAATCACCCAGTAAGATTCTGCCCATTAAAGGGACTTTGTAACATTGTTCAGATGAGAGAAAATGGTGCTAAGGTAGGGACTTCTGTACAATCAAAGATAATCTGAAAGTTTGAGTGAAAACAGACCATTATCAATGATAAATATTGGGGAAAACTGATCAGATTGATTCCTTAATTCTCCCAAGTACATTATTATAATTTAATTACATTTTAGGTGAATGTAAATCCTCACAAAGCAATGAATTGGCTCTATATACCATTCCAAACATTTAAGTCTTGAAATATTTGTAATTTGTAATTTACTGTTAGAGCCTTTCAGAGTGTGTCGCACAGTGCCCTGCCACCTCCAAAGAAAACCATAAATATCTTTGTGGTTTGAGAATTTGTTATGATTGTTTGTATGTAAGAGGGTTAGTTCAGTAGAAGGAATATAATTTGTAACATTTCATATAAAAATTACGCAGTTTTTTCATCAACCTTCAACAATGTTACCGGTTCACTTTAATTTCTAAGATTTTGAATGTCTCACACAATTTTGTGATGATGATTTCATTACTTACGTGTCTACCATTGTTCATGATCAATTTCCTCACTGTTTTAGATGTCTCCTTTTAGTGATATTTTGGGGCATTACTTGTTGATATACTGTATATTATGTATTATAAACATGAGCAGAAAGGGCAAAATCGCAGAATAATTTCAATCTATTTCTGTTGCACTCATTGTGTCATCCAAGAATAAGAATTATTTAATTAAAAAGAAAGAATTATTCAATTGAAAAGAAAGTTTCAAGTACGATCATTAACACTGCAAAAATCTGTAAAATGTTGGCAAGCGCTCTATACGTCTTCCGACGAAACACAGGAATGTTGAAAAATCAATGATTTTTGGTTGCAGTGTAAATGCAGCTAATTAATATTGTTCTTTCCTTCTCTTATCAGGTTGACCTTGCGTGGGATGACTGGGGAGACGGTTCTACTATGAGCATCAAGATCGACCCGACCACTCCCACAGTCGCACCTAGTAACCAAACAGCCCCCTCGTCGCTTAGCAACCCGGAAAATGAGGAGGAGGAAGATCATGTGGACTATTTTGCAGATATGACGCCAAGATATAAGAAACCTGTAAGTGATTCATGGATTTACTGACTAAGGAATAGATTGTACCCATTGGTGCAGAGTGGTGTACAATAATGTCTTGTTTCTATAAATGGTATAGGTTTGATTATTTATGACCCAACTTAATTTCCTGCTGTAATGTAGATAGGGAAGAAATGAAACGCTTAACCCTTATTTTGAAAATTCTGTTTCCTGCAATCAAAGTTTAAGTGCAGTAAAGCGAGTACCGGTAGAGCTATTAACTATTTAAAATGGGACATGAAAATGTGTTTTCTTTTTGGTATTCTAAAAGCTGTAAAGATTTATTTGAGTATTTTACGGAAAGCATATCATTTTGTCCCTTATCCCCAAAACTATTCTTTCAATATATTTCTATCCCTTTGTATCATCCTTCTATCTATCACTATTATGTTTGCCTTTCTTATCTTTATCATGGGCTTGCTATAATGTCTTTGTTTGTCTCTATCTCTCTCTCTCTCTCTCTCTCTCTCTCCCTCTCCCTCCCTCTCTCTCTCAGTCTCTCTATATCTCCCTCTCTCACACACACACACACACACTCTCCAGACCTGCCAACCAGTACGATTTAATCGTATTTCGTACAATTTTTAGAAGCAAATACGACAGTAGGCCTACGATTTTCCTCAATAAAAAAGATTTTCAAAAAAAAATACATATATTTTTTTTTTTAAATTTCAATAATAATTTTGTGTGTGTATGTGCCATTTTCAATGGCAAAATGCACATTCTGTCCTGTAAAGTGTCCTACAAGCATCTCACATCGGCAATTTGGGGATGTTCATTGGTTCTTCGAACACAACAGTCGTGACGATATCATGCATATTCAACCAATGATCCATTGAAAAATTTCTTCCTGTATGTAGGAACGGTGAGAGGCATTGATCCGCGTAACAGTCTGTGTTTATTTTTAAGAATACAACTTTCGGTAGTAAAATACAACTTTTGGGATTGAAGAATACAGTTTTTGAACTCCAGTGGTTGGCTTGTCTGACTCTCTCCTGTGTGTATCTTGACTGTCTTTATTGCATTTCTGTCCGTTTTTCTTGCTTTCTGTTCTTCTCTCCCTTTCTTCCTGTCTATGTGTGTGTCTCATATTCCCTAACAAGTCTAAAAAGCACTGTATGAATTTTCTTTCACCCTTTTTCCACCAGCCTACGATACGAAAGAAGACTCCTCAGATGATACCCGGTCCGTCTTCATTAACTCAAGGCCTCTCCAACAGGCTCACTCTAGGGATGGATGAAACAGCAGTACTAACGGTAGGCACTATTGTTCATACATGTTTGCTTCCTTATATGCAGTGAAACCTGCCTAAAGTGTCTCGGTAAAATTGCCTCAGATTCTGAAACTGCAAAATCCTATTTAGCTCACGCTGCAATCATAATCGTAAACCTTTAGGTCATTCATGACTTTTACAAGCCGATCGCCTGTCTGATTATCAAGATATTTATGATTGGAAATCAAAATTTCATTTCATATTGGGGAAAATGAGTATGGTAAAGATTGTTACATTTTTGAGGTACTTCATGATCATTTTGAAGCGCAACTTCTTTAGGGCTTCAATGTTACACCATATCACAGACACTGATGACACGTAGGGCCATGCCTCTCAGATTTAACATTGTTAAACGATGCCTTTAAGCGATCACATGTATAGAAAGAGTGACTTTCTATATATAGAGACTAGAGAGAGAGATCATACTTAAAAGCATTTAATGCCAAGTAGAGACTTACATAGATGAACAGCAGTTTGAATGAACAAGTGTCTCTGTATATTTTTCTGCTTCCCTTCGCTCGAATAGTGTTTCTCATTGAAACATGTACTAAATGAATGTATACATGTACATGTACAGATCACTTTCCTGGTTTACCTTGGGTGGTCTTTATAAATGGGTTTTACCTTTGAGTTGGAAGTTGAGAGCCTGTCTTTTACAGGATATCAATCTCTCAATTATATATTACTATGTGTCAACCATTATATTAAGTTGGTTTTAATAGAAGCAGCAAAATAAGAGGGTCAGTGAAACTTTGAGCAAATGGGAAGGAAACTCACAAGATTCGTCACAGAGTTGCCAGTTTGTGTTTGATTGATCGCACCTTCAAAAATTCATAACTCGTTTTTAATCGGTTATTGCTCAAACTTTCAGTGACCTGTTTCTCTCATTTTTGTGCTTCTATTAAAACCTACTTAATATCAAGGTGGACCATCCCTTTAAAATCTGACACATCAGCTGCAAATGTTATTCTGTATAATGGTAATGTAAAATCAAAAAAAGACACTGCACTTTTAAAGTTCCATGTTATGCTAGTCAAGCAGTCTTGCATGGGGAGATGCTCATGGAATAGTCATCTCCAATTATCCTCTTTTATTCTGTTCCAGAATCAATCTAGTGCTCATTTAAACCAATTTAATTTTAATTTTCAGGATGAGCTAGGCGCTTGGTCAGAAAACGACAATGGTTGGGGAGAGGAAGCTCTTTTTATATGTGCCAGGATAAATATAGTACTCATTTAAACCAATTTTCTTGTTATTTTCAGGATGAGCTAGGTGCTTGGTCAGAGAACGACGATGGTTGGGGAGAGGAAGCTCTTTTTATCTGCGCCAGGATCAATCTAGTACTCATTTGAACCAATTTTCTTGTTATTTTCAGGATGAGCTAGGCGCTTGGTCAGAGAATGACAATGGTTGGGGGGAGGAGGCCGGAGACGATCTAGCTTGGGAGGCGGACCAGGTCATCAGGGAGAAGAAGCTAGCGGAGCGGGAGAGACGCGCTGCCGAGCAACGACGGAAGAAGATGGAGAGAGATGCCCAGAGGGTAACGAAGAAAGATACAGGCAAACTGGCCACAAAATTAAAATGAAGGACAGCGCGTAGGAACCAGTGACTTGATTATAGCCATCTTTTCTTAACCCTTCGTCTACTGGAGCCAGGTGTTTCCTGTATTAAGTCTATTGGGATTAGAGAATTCGGTAGTCAACGGGGTGTAAAGAGGGAGCTTGATATGATGATGACTCTGCAGTGAGCTTTTATGATCGCCATGGAAACCGGCTAATTCTGAAAGAGTGACGACGGAGGTGACATGTTCGTGTAAGATTTTGTATTGTAAAGAAATAGAGGAATATTGAAATAGTAGGCCAAGGGGGTGTTTCACAAAGATTCTAAGTCCAACTTAACTTTAAGTTGGACTTAAATATTATGGAGAGCCATTTGTAGCCTTAAAATGAAATATATTCGAAAGCGAAAATTCAATTCTTTTAGACTTTTCATAAATTCCACATCAAGAACATGAAATCTCCCATGATAATAGAAAATATAAATGATTTGAATTAACATTTTATGCCTTTTAAAATAACTTCTACAAAATATTTTCAATGATGCTAACGGCTTTCCATAAATTTTAAGTCTAACTTAGAGATAAGTTCAACTTAGGATCTTTGTGAAACACCCCCCAGGAGATGTGCACCAGTGGCATTTGAAGACAGGGAGACATATTTGTGAAGTGTCTAAAATGGAACCTGTCAAAGTGACCGCATCTATATTACAGTCAAACCTGCTTTTAGTAGCGACCACTTGTATGGAAAGGCCTGTCTATAAAGACCACATTTTGCATTTCCCTTGAAAACGGTTTCTCATTGAAACCTGTACTGAAGGACCCTGTACATATGAAGACCATCTGCCAACAGAGACCACTACTCGTGTGTCCCTTGTGCGGTCTTTATATGCAGGTTTCACTGTATAGCGGCTACCTGTTTACAGCAGTCACTTTTCTGCTTCCATTTGGTGGCCTTGATGGACAGGTTTGACTGTACTGTACATGTATGTTGGATTGAGATCCCTGCTTCATAAGAAATAAAATGATCATCTATAGCAAATGCTATATATCTCTTTGACAAGTGTGCTCATAGCCAATCAAATTCAGGAATTTCAGTATATCGTACATCAATAGTTTTAATCAAATAGTGATAACAAGTTTATGACATATAGTAGGCTTGCGGATGCACCATGTGAGAGAGAGGGAGGATTGAGGAGTCCTGAAAAGGACTCTCAGTAATCTTTCTTGAGGGTGTGTAGTCCTGAAAAGGACTGTTGGTGTAGTCTTGAAAAAGACTGTTGGTTATCTATCTTAGCTTATAGTTCTAAGGAGAACTATAGTGCTTGGAGAGGATGGGTGGCAGGAGTGGCTTGACGTTTCTAACAGGTTGACTATCCGTCGTCAGGAGTGACACACTGCCTGATTTGCTTTTAGAGATTACACTTTCACATCACTAAATGCACATACTTAAAAGTGCATGCAGTACCATGTTGCAAGCTGTGATGATGTTGGTATTACAACTACCACTAGGAACATGACGGACAAAGAAAGCGGACAAAAATACAGTTCCTCATTCTACCCTCAACAATTGCTGTCATGGACATCCCTTCACTGCTATTATGTAAAAATGTGCAGAACTGGCGAATATGCATGTGACACCTGTTTTACACATTTTTACATAATAGCAGTGAAGGGATGTTCATTTGTCTACCACAGCAATTGTTGAGGGTAGAATGAAGAACTGTATATTTTGTCCTCTTTCTTTGTCCGTCATATTCATAGTGTACGGTATATCATTAGCAGACTGTTGAAATTAATATGCTTCATAACAATACTTGACCACGTTACTGAATTCTTTAAATTTATCCTTTATGGAAAAACATCCTTGCTATGCTGCAGAAGGCTGTATGGTATATTGCCATTGCCATTCATAATATTTGACTTGTTAGGGTATGTCATCCTCTTTAAATATAATAAATGTTCATGATGTGTTGGGATATGTGTTAGGAATCACAAGATATGCAATTTTAGTTTTTCAACCTGTGAATGTGATGAAGATACCCAAATATGTATAATGTAGCATAAGAAATGTCCATAGACCTACTTAAAATTAATTATCTACCGTAATGAAATGTAAATTTCGTGGACTGATCTTGGCTTTGAAATGGTGAAGTTTCAGTTGCCTCTCCATGGAACGAGGAATCATACAGAAAAGAATTATTTTTGCAGCAGCTTTGTTTACAAATTTTAATGTTTTATAAACAAACACACATGCTCCCATTTGAAATCCTAGATTGTTTTGTTGTATTGGATTATATTTTACATACACTTTAATGATAATAGTGGGTTCTGATATGTTGCACATTTCTGTCAGCCATGACACACCTGGCGCTCCAACATAATTATCCTGTTGAATGTTGATAGCCATCTGCAAAATATGTAGTGATATTGCATGCCGTCTGCAAAATATGCATTGATCTAGCATATCGGGTACTCATATTCACCTGGGTGAAGGGTGGCAAATGCGATTAATTAATTAATTGTTAAAGGACGTTAATGGTGGGCAGAGAATTGAACCTCAATCCTTGGATAGAGAGCCAAGTTAATGAACCACTATACCACTGCATTTGATAATATCAAATCGTGGCAGGCTAATGATTGTCTTTGATAATGATAATGGAATTCAAAACTCAAGTAACTGTGATTTGTTTATTGTGGAGAAGTTGTTTTTGTTTAGTTTAGACCAACGAAAAACAGACAAATGAAAAACAAAAACTTGCAGGGAAACATATTCAGTGAAAGCTATAGCTCACTTTAACATTAACATCCTGGTAATTGTATGAGATCATGTGATAGGAACATTATGTCAAGTTGAGCATGTTAGCTTGATTGTCTTATATTTTTCATCGCTCTTTTATCATTTTAATTTTTACCAAAATAAAAGTTTTGAGAATCATAAGGTCTCATCCAGATATGATGATGTAAACCATGAAATTTTGAGAAAAATTATGATGACGAAACTGTTAGACACTTACGAATTATGACAAATTTACTCTCAGTCTATCAAATGCCAAGATTTCAGTAGTTTATAACAGCTATTGTTACCTGATTGATAACAAGTTTTATGAAACAGGAACCAGATTTAATCTTTCTTTTTTTTTTGGGGGGGGGAGGGTTGAAAATGTTGTTTCAAACAATGTTCTACAGTGTATACAAACTTTTTTTTACCCATTGTTTTCTTTTGTTTTGTTAGGTATGTAGAGACTCGACGTAAAGGCTTTCCTTGTTTAATGTGATTTTCTGATAAATTATTCTTAATTACCTTTTGATTGTTACGTTTTGATTTAAATTGTTCTGTTATATTTCATCCTTTAACAAATTTTCTTAAATTAATGTCTGTTGCTATTGGAACTTTTTTCACTTTCTCTTATTCTTTCCACTTTTGTTATTAATTTCACCTGTATTACAGTCCTTTTAAGATACATAATGTTAGTATCTAAGTGCAATCATTTTTGGAAAGTAATTCGTAATCATTTAACTTTTTAATTATGTTTTACTATTTTGTGCCATAAATTTATGTTTTTAATTAATAGGTGGTTTGGGATAAGGAGGTACTGGTTAGCAAAAACAGAGATTTGTGTATGTATAATAGCATGGCACATATATGGAATGACAGCTTTTAAAAGGTGCTTGGATGACTCTTGGATAAATAATAATGTCTGTGTGAGAAAAATACTGAATTACAGATGAATGCATAACTGTGAGGTTTGTGTTTTATATTAAGGTGTAACCATCTTTGCTAAAAGGAAGAAATTTACATTTATGTTTTTATGTTAGATATTTGGGGAAATATAAAATTCTGATGTAAAGTTTAAAAAAGTTATATATTATGAAGGAAAAAAAAATAGTAACAAACTAATGGATAATAAGATATTTTATTGTGAGAAAAGAAGTCTTGTCATTTGTGGGTGAGAAAATATAAAATTGTGATTTAATTATACACGTTTTATGATCTAAATCACGTTTGCAAGAAAAAAATATAATTAAGCATGGTCTTTAAAGGGCCTGTGGCATGGTAGAACGTTGTTATTGAAATGAGATTATCAGAATAAACCGCTTTGTAAAAACAATCTGTGCATGGTCAGATAAGGGTCATTTGTCCCAAAATGGTAAAATCTAGATGAATACTGGATTCATGCTCATGAAAGTTATGTAATCATTCATTGACTGCACAATCTCTAATATACGTGTGAAAGTACATGCATTCTTCTCAAGAGGGCAAACAAAAGGTATACATCCATCGAGACGAATACTGAATTCGTGCTCATGAAAGTTATGTAATCATTCATTTGTTCATTGACGGCACATACACATGGAAGTATTCTCCTCTAGAGGTCAAACAAAAGGTATTCATGAAGCACCTTCGTCACCTTGCAGTGATTATTCTGAAATGCACAAAGCGGGATGTCTCAGTGAAAAAATACACAGGGGCTCAGGGTGAATTTGCCCCCAAAATGCCCAAAAGAGCCCCCGAAAATCAGAAAAGAGCCCCCGTAAATTTGCGTAGAGTTCAGTGCAAAACAAATTTTAGAGTTATTTTTATGCAGGCAAGCTTGAAAAGTAGCCCCCTAAATTCTTTTCCCTGGTCTACAACCAATTCCTTTTTACTACACAGCCAGTCTATTCCCATATGGTCTACACACAACCTGTCTACTATCCACATGGTCTAATCATTTTGTATAATGTCCATTTCGGGTGATATCCATTTGGTCTAATCTCCAATTAGTCTACTAAACATTTGGTCTATTGTTCATTTAGTCTAATAATAACAAGTTCATTAAGTCTACCATAATTCCCAGTTTGTCTAATGCCCATTTCATCTACTATCTACATGTATAAGGTCTAATAATCATTTAATGATTATGATTTATGATTAAATGAGTATTAGACCAAGTGGATCATAGACTGGCTGGGTGTAAACCATAATGGAAAAGACCAATTGGGAAGTAGACAAACTGCTTGTAGACCAAACAGCAATAAACTATTATTTGGTGGTCATTCATGGTCTCTTCACTTTGAACTGCCATTGAACATACAAGATGATAAAAACCTGAGAAAGAATTTGGTTGCAACTGCTCAGTATGGAAATCATGTACACATGATCTGCATACAAATGAGAAACTGGGAGTTACTGCAAAAATAATATCGTGAAATTCCTCTCAAGAAACTTCCTTGTATTTATAAGATGATACATATATACTTGTTGTCATGGAAACCTGGCTCTGATGCCAAGATTAATGATAAATCGTTTATTTTTTAAATGTTACTTTTATTTGTACTCGGTAAATGTCAGTAGATTGATTTCAAATTAAACTTTTATATATAATAATTGTTAACAATCTGTTGTTCTCTTCATTTTTATTTGAAGTGCTGGCTTTCTGAATGACTTTTTTTGTGACCTTGCGTTTGACCTATGTGTCTTTCATCTTTAACCCTTACAAGACGGTCATTCCACATTTTGTGGTTTGGCCCCATGACTTTTGGATTCAGAGTCCTCAGTAAAAATTATGCCAGATACACGATTAAGAAGAGCAAACCTTTCTGCATACACAGCATTCATTTTTGTTTCATGACTATATACAGCGTTTTGATGCTAGGAAGAAAGATAAAGACCAGTTATGGTCATGTGATTGCATTGTGAAAGAAACGTTGTGGAATTGTTCAGAAAGGTTGATCATCTAGCATATAAGTATAGGTGTGTACTGCAAGGTTCTCTAATCATCAAAATGATAAGAAATTTTGCCCAGTCTTGGTAAAGTAACACAGAAAGATGTATATGGGACTACGCGACACGTGCGCGATATCTATCAGGTCCAAATAGATATAGTAGGCGGTTTTTCTGCAAAATTTGTATCATCACATATATTGTTTCACATGATTGGTAATAAGAGCTTCCATTTCATTTTTGAGAGGGGGGCATTTCCAAAACTGATCTTTACCTTTAATAAAGAAATATAAGCTTTAAAATCATGATTGGCAACACGTCAAAATATTCAAAAAATCATTGTTTTTCTATCAAAATTGGCAAATATTTCAATTTGTTTACAACATTCTCACCCATGTATATTGTTTTCAGATATATCACATATTATTTGAACGATGTATCAATAAAAGAAAAACGTGATTGTTGCCTATTTGAAGAACAGTGTGATCAAGTTGACCCTAAATATAAATTGTTCGCGTATGATGATGCCATGAACTGCAAAAGTTTATGTTGCATGTAGATACTTTTCATTTCATTTGGTTTCCTGGAAAAAAGTAATCCACCTCGGTAACCCGCTATGGTTTCCTGCATCACATGCAAAATAGCCATTAGGAGAAACAAATCCAGTGAAAAAAAATACACGGGGGCTCAGGGCGAATTAGCCCCCGAAATGCCCAAAAGAGCCCCCGAAAGTCATAAAAGAGCCCAAAAAAATGTGCATAGAGTTCAATGCGAAACAAATTAAAGAGTCACAGTTATTTTCATGCAAGCAAGCTTGAAAAGTAGCCCCCAAAATGTTCTGATTTTTTTTTTCCCTGAACAAATCACTGACAAGAAAGAGTAAAGATGCAAAACATGTACATTGTACGTTGAGAATATTTTAATAATTTAGCTTCCAAAAAAATTACACATATTAAACAATGCACCTGGTACATGCCCTGCATTACCAGTTCTATACTGAATACTAGTAGTTCCTTTTATAAAGATAGTCTCAAATTTAGCCAAATTAGTTTTGTCAGTTTAAAACAGACTGTACCTTTCACAACGTTCATCAAAATGCACAGGTTACAAGATATTCTGATTACTCTGTAAAATTGACATTTTATATAAAAATATCTGATCTTTATATTTTCCAAGTAGAATGTGAGACATGACACCTACATTAAATCCTTTTTTCCCTCATCATTATCAATAAAACTCTTTTCAGTCATATGTTTTTGTTTAATTAAATATAGGTTATTGGTGAAACAAAAGAAATGCTCCTCAACAAAACAGTTTGAAATACAAAATTATAAACTATATACCAGGAGATAATTTTGGCATAGCATACTATTAATAAAAGTACTGGTACTTAAATTTCAGTCTTTACAATATCATGCAATAAACAAATGGTTTACTGTAATGATTAAAGTTGAACACTCTCTCAAGCCCTCTGTCTCCCCCCCCCCCCTTTTCCCCTCTCTCTCTCTCTCTCTCTCTCTCTCTCTCTCTCTCTCTCCATCTCTCTTTCCCCCCCCCCCTTCCTTTACCCTTTTAACTCTCCTAATTTGGGACTTATGGGCAAAAGCAAAAACTCATAAGGTTAATTTAAAAACATATATAATCACATTAGAAATTACAAATATTCCACAAATTTAGACCATTGATGACCTTCTATACAAATAGGCCATGCATTATGGTTCAAGGCATGGCCACACAGAGGATTTTTGTTATGTTTGAGATAGGGGCAAAATGCAATGAATTATTGATAATTTATTGCATTTTCTTTTCTTTCTTTTTTATTTGTGGGGGCTGCCTACAATGCTAGTCCCTGCTGCTATTAAAAGAATATTTCATATTCGCACTGATCAGATTCGCATACAATTGTGAAGAAAAAATTTCACCACATGTTATTTTTCATACCATAGCATGCATGTGTGCTTCAGTCACATGGTAAAAAGTTCAACCTCTTTAAAAAAAATTGCATAAAGTTACAGAACATTAAAGCATGAAGAGTTACCAATTTTTAAAAGCTTTCAGCTTTCTTAGAAATTTGCATAGGATTTTTACAAAACAATACTACGGTAGGTAAAACAATATCAAAATGGATATAAAACATGAAAGCTCTAGCAATATTTCAAAAGAATATTAATTATCACTATCACATAACATGGTAGTGTCAGAATGTAATAGAAACTTAATTTTCAAGAGAAACATGTATTTCAAAAGATCGGTGTAAGAGTAGATCAAAACTAGAGAGATTTCCAGGAAATTTGCATAGGATTTTTACAAAACAATACTAGGTAAAAAAATATCAAAATGGATATAAAACATGAAAGCTCTAATATTTCAAAAAAATATTAATTATCACAATCACATAACATGTAACATACTAGTGTCAGAATATATACACAAATCAACATGTTATAGGAACTTAATTTTCAAGAGATATTTCAACAAATCGGTGTAAGAGCAGATCAAAACTAGAGAGATTTCCAGGAAAATGATATTCTATCGACAGATTCTAGCTTGGGTCATCTTGAGTTCTGAAACAAGGAATGCTGGGGAGTGGTTACTATGGTTACCAATACAACAGTATTGATTCTCAACTGAGGTGAAAGGTCACGGTAAACAGAGGTCAAGACATCAGCGACCTTGGAGGAGGTCGCCCAAATGTGGAGGATCTGTTTGGACCACTTATCCAATGCATTCTGGGTAGCGTTCACAATACCTGAGAACAAGAAAATGAAGTAGAAGTATAAAGATGGTGTCCGTATTACCATGCATATTCAACTATTAAACATGCATCATGCATGTAGATGTATTCAATTTCATATAGAATTGAATCGTTGTGAAGAATTAACCATAATGTCGCAATCTCCACAAAAATTATCTGGGAGTCTGGGACAACATCCAGTATGTAACAAAATCTGCATGATTAGGCAGCGGAAATTTGAATTTCCTTGGTCACGCAATATATCAACCAGGGACACATTCACAATGCAATTTCTTTTTATATCATATAGTTTTACTGATGTAAAAACCTTTGCAACTGCTTTCACGAAGTGCAAAAATCACTAATTGATGACTGTCAGGTGGGGGGGGGGGGGGGAGGGGTGCTGAGCAAATCTACCATATATTACAAAACACAACGATAACTGTCCCCCCCCCCCCCTCCCCTCAGCCAAAATTGATTAAAACCCATTCCTTCTTTGATTTTCATAGACAAGGTGCTGATAAATGTGGGAGGGGGCGGCGGGAGGGGTTTGCCGGCAAAATTGGAGACAATATGTGCCTCACCCCTTACCCAAAGAATCACTGGGGATCGATGTGATATTTTATGTACATATTTTTTCTGAGTATACATTATCATTATAAAATGAGCTTTAATACTAAAAGACATTCTCATTTCCCATACATGGACGACCTCAACTCACCCCTCAACTTCTTGCCCAACAACTTCTCTGCATCCTCCTTCTCAAACTCTCCCTTGTACTTCATCGCCCTGGTAACAGACACGCCCAAACTGACCCCAAACATCTCACAGGTGTAGTCTACGATGGAGCCCCCGTACGGGAAGTATTTGACCTCCATCTCCGTCTTCAACAACTTGGCTCCAAAGCAGCGATGGAGCAACTCCAAGCTGTGGAGGCATAATTAGGGTACTAGTGATATACTGATCTTAACTCTTTTGCAATATTTTTTTTTTACACATTTAGGTGGTTTTTGGCTCAATAACTTTCGATTCAGAGCCCTAAAGATAAAGCCAGATACACAAGCAGATGGGACAACAATTGCTGCACACACGGCTTTTTTGTTTTATTTATATATAAAATGCAATAATTGCATTTGATGCTAGGAATTTTAAATACAATGCAACTGCCCCATGTGAAGCAGGTAACAGTTTTGTGACACAAATATGTTGAAGTTAAAAAAGAAACATATAAAAAAGAAAATAAACATATATAACCATGTGTGGTTACACATGCATGTTATAAATCAGGTGATATAGACATCAAGAATAAAGTACATGTAATCATATCACAGATAACACACTCTTCTCTAGCTCCTTTGCCAACAAATCTATGCAAACAAATAGTTTGCAGGCCTTAAATTTCAATATTTTTAGGGCAATTAAGGTCACTTTCTGTAGGGCACATTCCTATATTACAGCACAAATAGGAAGAATTGGAAAGGGCACAAAAATCTCCAAGGCCAATGAGAGGGGCATCCACGGCCATGGCCTTGGTGGCCTTGGATTAATCTAAGCCCTGAGTTAGAAATACCTCACAATAGTGATTAATCAATTTTACAGCGAACAAATCATCAGCAGATGTGAGATGAGCACAAAAACAGGATTTTTAAAAAGTGATTAAAGTATTATTGATTCTTACCTCAAGACTTCAGACTCGACTGAATCTCCACCTGCATTGGGGCACTCCTTCATTCTCGCTGCCATGCCTGACAAAGTCATCTCATGATATCGCTTGAAAGGATCGAACCTGCACTGCACAAAACCGTCTTCAAAGTCGGCTTGTTGGAGAGATCTCTCGAACTGGAAGGCCGCCTGCAACTTGGTAGCGAAATTCTCTCCGAGATAAATATTACAAGGTGTCTGTTGCACCTTAATTTGTCCTTCTTGGTTCTTATTTTGGGTATGGAACCGAGATTTGCTGTGCCTGGTTCGATGCCTAGGCCTAGCCTTCGCTTGGCCAGCAGCGAAGGGCACGCGACCCATCCTGCCCGGAGTTCGGGGGACGCTGCGGGTAGTACCCGTTAAAATTACTCCGTGAACTCCGTTTTTTCTGCCGGCGCATCATGGAGGCGTTGTGGTTCATGTTTATGTTTTGTATAGAGTTCGTCATTTTCTCGCCTTCTGTGTTCTGTCTGTAGGAGTTGATCTGCTTCATTACGATTCCATTTCTCAGCAAATCTAACGTCGTTTTGTTTTGCAAGTTACATTTTCGCGAACTGATGTTGCAACGCGAAGATCGTTGTTTATATACACCAGCTGATGCAATACGTTTGTAATCGCACCGAATACGTCATTCCGTCGTGCACTAAAAATAGACGTAAAGCTGATGCAAGAGGGAATGACATCATTTTTGACCAATCACAATCGCCGTTGCCTGATAACGTCAGAGGGACTTTCCCTTTTCGTATATTCGTTTGTGTTCCGTTCAGACCTGCCATCGACAATCGCTGGCCCAACGATTTTCAATGTTTCTTCGACGATGTCTGTATAATATTACTAATGTTTATATCTTCAATATAGTGTTTTCGTAGTTATCTTATCTTTATTAACCTGACAAATATGTTCATGATATGAAATCATCAATCAAAATATTAGAAAAAATCGTTAAAGTATTGATGTCTTTGATATTTAATCCCAAAAATTATGTTTTATCATGAGCATGAAAATTGAGAATTATAATTTTGTTCAACGTTATGTTTACCATGTTAAAGTTGAAAAATGTCTTCTCTTTTGCATAAATTATGATATATGAGAAAGGAATGGGTATTTAAGAGAAAAGAATGATCAATCAGGACTAAAAATAGTAAATGTTGATAAAAGCAATAATGTGCGAAAAAATCATTTCGAGCCATATCCGTTTACTAAAAACAGGCAAGTTATGAATGTTTGAAGTTGTTGACAGTTAAACACAAATTAACAATACTATGATGTATCTTGCGAGCTCCTCTCCAATTTGTTCTGTACCGCGAGAAAATTTCATAAACTTAGATTTTCTTAGTTGATGATGGAATAGATTTTTTTTCATACACGGGTTGTATAAAGACGTATTTGCAATGATTATACGTACACTGTAGGATGGATGTAGGATTGAATGAAAGAAAAATATAGATTGTTGAAGTTTTGTAGTAGGCCTACAGCTAGGGAAAATAGGAGGTGAGCTCGCAAAATACGTCACAGGTCAGTGAACCGATTCAAATGATTTGGTGATTTGGTAATGAAGAAAAACTCTGTTTTGCCAGAATTCAGCTTTAGGACAACCTAGCATTAAAATAAAAATCATTATAGTTATCAATTTGAAAAAACGCTGTGTGATTTTTCACCTAAAGTGTGTCGAGCAATGTATAAAGAAAAAGATAACAGTCAGAATTATGTTTCCCCTGACATGTATAAAGAGCCTCACCCCGATCTGTGCCCCGATGGACTACCTTCGGTTTTCCAAATGTCACCGAATGTCTCCGAATGTCCCACAATGTCAAAAGCGTGATATTTTGTTATCACCGAATGCGATTTCATTTTCTATACTGGTGGAGCCACGTCCTCACCATAGAACTTTTGCCGAGAACATGTCTGCCATAATATTCCAAAAGTATTAACAAAACATACTTTTTTGGTCACAATCATTGTGACGTCGTAAGTTCAGATTCATTCATTCATTATTATTCATTTTATCATTTTGTAATAATACCTCTATGGTGTACCTGGGGCCTGTTTTAGAAAACTTGTTATCTATAAAAACTGCTAAATTTCTATGATAAATTTGCTTTCAGCCAATCAGATGCCATGATTTCAGCAGCTTATAACAGTAGCTTGTAACTTGTTATTGATATCAAGTTTTATGTAACAGGGCCCTGATCCCCATACCGTGCTGTTCCACGGTGGATTACCTTCTGTTTCGGTTTTAAGAAAAAAAATTCCCCTTCTCAACTCAAGTTATCCAATTTTCATCAGGAAGATGCCTACATTGTTTTTATAAAGACAGTGATTTTGTTTTATCTTGTTCAAGTTTTAGTCTAATTAGTGTTGCATATGCAGATGATTTGATTTCATTCGATGTAATCTGATTCAATTTGATATATGATTGATTTCATCATCCGTAATTCGTGTACACCATAATGTATACTTAAATTGGTTAGTTGCTGGCATGCTACAAGTTGTGCAAAATACCTCAGGATGTTATCATACTTTACTGAAATAGTAATACATTTTGATACTTCCTGATTCTTGACAAGAAATACTTTAAAGCCCCACCGCACTAGTTTGGCCAGGAGGGATTAGACCTCCCTGCATGGTCTCTGACATGTGGCTATCTCATCAAATAAGCTCTCAATTTACATAAGAAAAAGAGGATCATTGCATGGAGACCAATGGACCAATGGTCGCCAATGGAGGGCGCAAGTAGCTATAAGTAGTGCAATGGGGCTTCAAAAAGTATTTCAGAGGTGGGAACTCTTTGATGTTTTGTTGTTTTGTCACACTTTATAACCTATACTTTTAGATATTGTGTTGTTTTGTCACAATTTATAACCATAGCAAATTCAAATACTCTGATTTTATTTCTCTTGCTCAGCTTTGGAGGTATTCTTGTTCGTTTCCTATGGTTTTCATTATCATCCTGAATGTGTTTTTTTTTTAATTTATTCGTTTTATTTAGACAGGGTAACTCTCTCGGTATGAATACTGTTTTCTGAGAGGCCCTGTACACACAAAAATGATTACAAATACATGAAATAACAAACAGTGTTAAAAGACGTATACGTGATTTTATATATATATATATATCAGGTTTATGAATGTGTGTCATTTATGCTTTTATAATGACGTTCTTCCGCCGGATAGTGTATGTAATTTTTCAGATATATCCTCGAAAACTATAAACAATAATAAGAAATTGAGATAAATATTTACAATACTTATCCAGGCACTGTGGGTTTTTTTTTAGCATTCTTTATTGCTTTCATTCAGTACAAAATATCAACAAAAATTATACACCTTCATTGATTTACGTAACATACCAACATGTAAAGAAAATTGTACATCCCTCAGAAATGCATAATCTAGTTTAATACACGGTACATAATGTCTTCAAATTAATTATACTGAATGATTATTATAGATCAGAAGCCTTACGCACAGACTGACAGACACACCACACACGCTCACATACTCGGACACACATACAATATTACTCCGTCCTCCCCCTTCATTCCCATAGCTGCTTCCCAAACTCTACAACTCCCCCCCCCCCTCCCTTCCCGAGTACAGTCAAATCTAGACAGTTGTTGGAAATCCAGTCTCTTCCTTTCCTTTATGACCAAATTATATATAAAAAATGGAGTCTGAGAAAGAAATATCTGTCTCTTCCTTTTCCTTATGACCAAATTATATATAAAAAATTGAGTCTGAGAAAGAAATATTTGCCTCGCCGTCCTCGTCGATACCGAAAAGATATCGAACCTTACTTAGATGAGGAACTACAATTTCAGAGATAGTAAAGTGTCGTTTTCCTAGCTCGTTTCGCTCGCTCGCAAAATTTAGAAACGGGACAGTGTAAGGCAGTGAGGTCCATTAATATCCCTATGACCCTATTATGATAATATGACAATACTTGGGCACCTCCCTGTCCGTATATTATTCATTGCACTATTATATCGGGATGAAATTTATACCACAAGGCAAAAAAAAAAAAAAATTCCCTCGTTCGCTACACTCGACGCAGAATTGATAAATCAAGATAATTCCTGGCAACGACATATAATTTTACATTTTACCTAATGTATATTAATGACTAAACATTTGTTTGCCAGAATGAAAGTGGCATTTCTTTCTTTCGCTCGCTCGCAATATTTAGGATCCGGATATAGAAGTAGTAGTAGTAGTAGTAGCAAAAGTATTTATTTTTCGTTGTATTAGAAAGAAATATATATAAACAATATACATTTTTGGGATTGGTCATATTCATAACAAAAATAAGAAACAGAAACTAACAAAGACATGTACATTTAATATAATAATAATAATTTATGAAAAAAGAGAGAGAAAAAGAGAGGCAGCAAGAGAGAGAGAGAGAGAAAGAGAGAGAGACGGAGAGAGGGAGAGACAGAGAGAGAGAGAGACAGACAGAAAGAGAGAGATAGAAAGATAGACAGAGAGAGAGATAGACAGAGAGAGAAAAAAGAGAGAGAAAGATAGAAAGAGAGAGGAAAAAAAGAGAGAGGGGGAGAGATAGAGAGAGACAGAGAGAGAGAGAGAGCAAAAAAGAGAGAGGGGAGAGAGAGAGAGAGAGAGAACATCACCCAATTTTGGAAGATGAAATATTTTCCTACTCCATGGGGTGAATAAAACGCTAAAAAAATAACCTTTTCAAACTTCTCAAGCACCTCATGTGCTTAACCCCTCCCATGGGGAAACAGCTGCCTACGCCCCTCAATAGGACTACAAACTATTGTCCCCTAGAATACGCCGTGCGTGACTCAGTCAATGGATTATGTCGGCGTTTTGTGTTTTTCGAGAAGAGATACAGCATTTTTTTATGCAAGAGTCGTTCCGAATGCAGGCAGACTGGATCGAGCAAAGTCCATTCCAACAGCACACATTTTGGACCCCCAATAGACGCCAATACTAATGCGCTCGATGATTTATTGTGTACTCTGATAAGGGAGGACTAGCTATCCACCGGGTCTGTTGCACTGGTGTGTTCTTAACAACAAAGGGCGGGGTAAACTTGTACTCGATCTGCCAGTGAAGCTGTACCATTCTCTCATTGGTGTTTAATCGGCTTATAACACTGCGTCGCCGTCCAAACAGGAAACGCTGTGTACATCAAAGCACACATTAATTAAAAGCCAAGGCAATAAGGCATACCAGACGAGTCCAGGAACAGGCCTAGCTAGTCCAGAAGATCGGTGCTTAAACTTTGGATACATTATAAACCATAGGGAAATATATCAACGAATATATATCTGCTACTCGACAGATCGCGCAACAGGGACCGCGAACCGATTTTTCTTGGAACGTAATATCAAAGCGGGCGGACAACCAGCACAGCTGTTGTGGAATTATATCACTGCCCTGTACAAACACATGATATAGATTCGGATTGGATCTATATATTGGATTGGATATTGGAGCTATTATATCTTTCATTTTTAAAAGCTCTTTGATATTTCGAAATGGCTTCTTCGTCAACTCAAATGGCGCTTCACAAGAACATTGATCAGCTTCAGAGGGAACTCAATGTGGAGCGGGTTAAAGTCTCACAGTGCACAGCTGAGTAAGTATATTCTGATTGGTGATATACACTGTAGACACTGGGAACATACTCATTATATTGGAGTAACTTTGGACTTTATATAATACAGAGAAGAATAGTTATGGCTGATATAGACATGTATATTCATTGTAATGGTATAACTTCGGACTTATTATGATACAGAGAAGAATCGTTATGGCTGATATGGACATGTACTCAATATATTGGTATAACTTTGGACTTTATAAATTATGCTAGAGAGAAGAAAAGTTATGGCTGATATATTATATGTGAAATATACTCAATATATTGGAATAACTTCGGACTTCATAAATTATGTTACAGAGAAGAATCGTTATGGCTGATAAAGACATGTGATATATACTGTACTGATGTAGTGAAAATTATCAAAAATAAAGTAATGATAAAATATGCTCCATTCATATGACTTATTTAGTCTTTATTCATTCTGCAATACAAGGATTTAAGTATTTCGTACAGCAAAATACAAGGTACAACTGGTACATTGTATGAATTCATACAAAATAAGTAGAATAAAAGTTAACATCATTTCTATGTCTTAATAATGTCAATATTATGTTTGTTTATTTAAAATAGTGAGCTATATTTGGAATACCATTATACATTATTTTATCCTCTCATCGAGGGATTAAGTGCATAATGTAAGCTCTACTTTGCAGACCCACCAATCGACAATGCTCGACACAGCCTTGAAAATAAGTTTGTTTAAAAACACGTAAAATGTGAAACTTGTATGAGCCTTTAAGAGGAGCATGTAAGGAGAACACTTAATAATTATTTATCACTGTTGTAAAATGCTTTGTTGCAGCATGTCGATGTAGTTTGTGTTTACAGAAAGAATAAAGCAAATTCATTTTACATGTGTTGATGTAGGCCTACTCTCTGTATATAATTACAAACCCTATTGGCAGGTCTCCTTTTTCCTATAAAAATAGATTTAGTTATCACAACAATTACAAAAATAGACGGTTATAAAGCGCATAGACTAGTTGTTGAGTGAGACGAAACACTTCCTTGTAGAAATAAAAAGAGACTCATAATCACTCTGGTTAATCTAAATAAAAGCATCACCATTGATTTTGTGTAGATATTCCTCGATCAAAAGGCAACCAGCTTCGCTTTGAGAATGTTTTTGACCAAAAATCAATTTTCTACATAGGGCCCACTATAACAGCCCGGATGTAGACTCTCAGGCCCGAATTCATAAAGCAAGGTTTGAGCTCAGACCAAGGTTTGAGCTCAAACCTCCTTTTGTTTCGCCAAACCTCCTTTTGTTCTTTACAAACCAGGTTTGTAAAAAAGGCGTAAAACGCGTCATATGACGTACGAAAACCAAGGTTTGTCGACAAACCTCCTTCGTGAATTCGGGCCTTAGAGGGTATTATTTTTATCTTAATTGGACATTGAATTAGTACCTTTAAAATTGCTTTATGTGTTTCTTGCAAACAACAAACTTTTATGTGGATATCAAAATAATGAGGAAATTTAAAGAAAAACATGAACCTAGTTTTATTGATAATAGTACGTAAGCGCAGAAAGTGGGATATTAACTCGAAAAGAATGGGTAGAGAAGCAGATTGATGGACCATATACATCAAACACATGGATCATTATTAATTTCCTAGTCATTCGATTTTGAGACGGGGAGAAAAACACAGCAACACCTAATGGGAAAAGAAGATTATGATCTTTAATCTCTGCAGGGATGATATTTCAGAGCGGAAGGGCCTGGGTTAAAATATGTGTTAAGTTGCATGCATAGTCAGGAAATCTCCGTATTATAATCATATTCCCCGCTATGAAACACCGACGGAAAAGACCGGTTTACTGACATATATTATATTCAAATTGTATGCATACATTTTTTAAAGAGGTTGTTCTTGATCACCTGAAAGCTTGCCAGAGGCTTGCCCGACACAGCAACATATAGTAACTATATGCAGACTGGATTCAGAGTATTGTAGTTCATTCACTAATAGCATGTTAATGGTAACTAGTCACTATCATAATAGGTCCCAGGAAAAAATATCCATGAATTCTAATATGTTAGTGAACCGGTCTATCATTAAGGACTTTTAGATTTGCGTGGACTGATACGTGTCATGGCAGTGCGTTAAAAGGACGTCGATCGTAGCAATCCACGTTGTCGTTGTGCAAATCTAAAAGTCCATATATTGTAAGACCGACAACAGACCCCCCCCCCCCCCCGAACGAAATGCTAAACTCAGGTGTATAAAACAAGTAGGTACCAGGAACTTGAACGTTTTAGGCGGGCCTTGATAGTTTGGATAAAGCCAGAGTATATTGGCAGGTGCCTTGCGGATTCCCTTGAATTCATAATGTGCACTGTAAATTTGTAGTCGAACCAATGTAATTCAAACAGTCGTAATGGCCCCCTATCTAAGACTGCCTGAATGTATTTCGTCTCCCTTGAGAAAGAAACTTATGTGCGTTGTAGAACGTGTCTAACAAGCCTACCTGTCGAAAGTGGCCACCTTTTTCGATCCCTTGGGTGACCTTAGTGGACAGCTTTGACCTTGACAATAAATTGCTACCATTCTTATTAATTACATGTAATACGCTATCGATCGGCCGCTTTTGACTCTGTTTAAGGTTGACAATGGCATACAGAAACAAGCAAGGATCGGTTCAACAACTAATTTCTTGTTAAATTTGATATGCATTGATTATAAATTTCATATCAATTCAATGGTCATAATTGTCTAGATCACTATTGTACTAATTACAACGTCCAAGAGGCAAACACAACGCATAAATCGCAAATCGATAGTTGATAAACATCCCTCCGGGTAAGCGCCCCTGTTGGGGTCCCGAAGCAATCATCTTATGCTTTTTTAGACCATGCAATACATTGTTCTTTCCTTCTTTTCATTCAATACACAGCCTTGTTCAATACTGCGAGCAGGAAATGGGGAATGACTTTCTGTTGACAAGAGAGCTGCATGTCGGTCAGCTCAACAACTACAAAGACAAGAAAGGAGGCTGTACATTACTCTAGTTCATTCATTCATTCTGGTAAGATGGCACCCTTGCTTAGTTTTGTAGAGGTGCCGTGGTCAAGTGGTTAAGTCGCCGGACTGTCGATCACAAGGTCAGCGGTTCGAGACTCGCCGCGGCACTAATGTCCTTGGGCAAGACATTGATCTACATTTGCCACACTCAACCCAGGAGATGTAAATGGGAACCTGGCAGGAATTAATTGTTTGGAAAGCTAGAGCGCTGCAATGGCAGCACAGCTAAAGCCGGGGTGAAAATCTCCAAGTTCGGAAGCGCTTAGTGATTGTAATAAGGGCTTTATAAAAATAGAGTATTATTATAATTATTATTATTATTTCATGCAGAGCCATCTATACACAGAGTTTGGCCAACTTGGTTTCACTTGGTCACAACATAGCGTATATTCTTTTGTTTTGTGCTTGCCCAACAAAGCAGTAGTCACCATATTGTGTCCCTTAACTCGAACCGGGTTGGCCAAACTCAGTGTGTAAGGATGGCTCTGATTTCATAATAATTGTAAAAATATTTTTGGCTTGCACCCAGTAGGTAAAGATTGCGTGATCGATCTTATACTGAAAACAAAATGTCAGAAAAATATCTTGGAATTACCAGCGGGATTCGAACCTAGCTGCCATTCACTGCCTGCCGGGCAGCGACTCTACCACCAGGCCATTGCTGGCCCATGGCACAGACACGATGAATTGGAAACAAAAACTTCAGCCCTTCTGACCCATTCTGTTTTTTTTTTATTTTATAATATAGCCAGTGGCGTATCCATGGGCGGGTATGGGGTACGCCCCCACTCCGGCCCTCGCCTGTATCATATACCCAGACCAATATGTGTACATGTTCCGACTTCAGGAAAGGGTTAACCATTACTTACCCCCCCCCCCCCCCGTAATTTGCTATCATGATTAGCTTCGTGCGCCTGTTATGGATGAGCATCCCTACATGTATATATAGACCTATAACCCTCTAATAAATGTGCTGCCCTTGAGCATTATTTCACTCATATCATAGTAGAACGACCTTTTTCAAGAAACAGTTCCATATTTAAATATTTACACCAAAAAACAAAAAAAAAGTGTTGGTACTAAGATGAATACATCTCAGTCAGTAGGCTTACGTGAAAAAAAAAATGTAACCATATCATTTTTGGCACATCTTAACAATTCTTGTTATGGCCCCTGGTTTTTCAAATACACATTTTATATGTTATACAGTAGGCTTGCGGGTGCACCATGTGTGAGAGAGAGAGAGAGAGAGAGAGGATTGAGGAGTCCTGAAAATTATTTTATATGTTGTTATTATTAATTGTGTTGGTCTTAAGAACTTTACCTGAGGTTAGAGTCGATATATACTTGAGATTGATAATGTCATTGTTTCACATCAACAATCTATACGATTGATTTTGCCTTCTTCAAATATCTAGGTCTACTTGTTTTAACTGTATTTTTTATCGTGTGTTTTGTTTTCTTTCAGAATCGCATCTGAACATCCCATCTGCTTTTCCAGACACCAAGCTGACCATGTGTTTAACAGGGTCCTCCTGAAAACCTGAGAAAATACAACTTATTCGCACAGAATCACCCGTTGACCCGATTATATTATATAAAGCAAAGTATTTTACACCTACACCTGTAGATACACTAAGTCTTGACGAATTTTAATTACGTGCGTGTACTTTTAAATGGTTTTAAATGTTGAGTTTCGTCATAAGTGAGATTTTGTTTGTGTGTGTAACCTTTGTTTTAAGTTGGTCTAATTTCATTTGGAGAAAGGTATTTCTATTAATATATGGCTATATGATCTGATATGATCTAATATTTTCATTGTAATATTGAAGTTTGTCGCGTTGACTAACTGACACAACTATAAAATATCAAAGGGTGATTGATCATTGGTTATGTGATTGCAGATTGTAGTTTTCATTCCGCAAGACGTCGAGCTGCGACCTATAAAGACCGACGGCCCAATAACTCATATACAGATTATAGCCCACGAGACCGATATCCCGTTTGACCGACATCCCTCTAGATCGATAATATTGGTGTATTGTGCCATCTTACAATTTTCTGAGGTTACAACAGCCCATTGGGTCTAATGGGAGGTCGGTCAAATGGGATGTCCCAAGAACAGCTCGCTAATTGTTATAGAACCATTTTATGTCTTTCATTATTGTGAGATCTTCCAACAATTTTACTTTTCCTGTGTCTTGCTATACAACTTACAAGGCATATATATAATTCGTTATTAAGAAGGTAGATTTTGTAACGAATTTATGACATTTTTATCAATGAAATGAAATTGTACACTTCCCAGCAGACTTTGCATGTAGTAACATGTGAAAACATTAGATGAGATATTTTTTAAAACGTTTTAAAGTTCGTTTTTTAAATGTTACCAACGTTTTCTTTCATTTTTTGTGAGTGTTCATACAAATCAGTTTTTACTTATTTCCGAAATTGTCTATCTCGTTGTACATTTTGGTGTATTTTGTTTCTTTTAGTTCTTCCACATATACTGCAGTATATAAGTGAACTTGCATTTATCAGTTTCTCGTTCATTATAGAAATAGGTAGAAAACTTCCCTTCCTTTTTTTCTTTTTTTTCCAAATTGCATTTAATTAATCGAGGCATAAAACATAAGCATATTGATTGAATTCATGAGCAAAAGAAGGGTTCAACATAATTAAAAACTGTTTTGTTTTTTAATGAGAGAAAAAGATGACAAAGAGACGGGATAGTATACATGTATGTATTAAACGTCCGTGTTGCATTGAAAGTTCCCTGCAACGATTAAACCTTTCTGTCTCTAAAACTAATCAAAATATCACAAATCGATCACTTTTAAAGAAGCTATTTGATGTTTCAATGGAGTATATAACATCCTCTCATGAACCCAATCATTTGTGATCAGACTGCAAAAGCTTTATAGCCATAATACCATCTGCGAAGGTTTTTTGTTGCTATTAACATTAAATACGACGGCAATTAACCACTAATCTTTTAAGTAATTGTTCTTATTTCAGGTCCCTTTTTCATGAAGCTTATTATCAGTAACAAGTTACAATAATTGTTAAAAGCTACTGAAATCCTCGCATCTGATTGGCTGAGAGCAAATGTGTCATGGTTGTGTGGCAGTTGTTACGGATAACAAGTTTCATGAAACAAGGGCCCATGTCTAAACTGTGAAAATATTCATCTTTACTTTATAATTAAATTCGGGTGTATCCACATACGCGTATGATTATTTTTGTTTATACATAAATAAAACGAACTTGATTAGTGCATTGGTTTTAACCTTATATTGTTTCAAGGAATAACTATCTACCAATTTTCCACACCCTCTCGTGCCTTTTCGTGTCTATACATGTTTTTAAATCTCTTAACATATTATATTTCTTCTTTTTAGTAAGTGATCAACCACTGTTAAAAATAACATTTCATTTTTGTTTGCCCGAAATATGAGGCAGACATAACTATCAAATCGCAGTTTGCAACAATATACTGCTGTACTTTATCATCGATTTAATGTCGCTTTCTAGAATTCGATAAAACATATGTTTCGCATCCCATCACCTGTATTATATTATATCATAACGTGTGACCGACAGTGGATTATATTCAAATGAAGTAGGATGTGTTCTTACAGAATTCTATTTCCAATATCCAGACTCTCATCATGTTTATAACAAACAAATGTGCACCAGAAAGTTGAATTTGACATGATCAAGATGGCGTCTTATCGAGGTGTATCGTTATGATAACAATATGTATACAGCTCAAGTATTCGACCTTTCAATTTTGTTGTAACAACTGTTTCATTAAAATACTAGAAAACTTCTAAATTTGTTGTTCCTGTGTGTGTATGACATTGACTTATTCTAATATAGCATATGGCCTACAGCCTACAGTGTGTATTAATTTCAAATACACACTCTTCTCTCCCTTTCTCTTTCTTTCAGTTAGTTAAGATTTATTTTATTCTTTGTTAAAACTCATGAAACTACAGTTTACCCTGGGATTTTTTATTTTTTTTAGTCTGCACGAGAGAGAAATGAAACTTATGACAGATGAGCGAGAGCGGAGAGAGAGAAAGAGAGAATCTCTCTCTCTCTCTTTCTCTCTCCGCTCTCTCAGAGAGAGGGAGAGAGGGTTACACTGGGAAAGAAATAAAGATTAGAGATATAAAATGATTGAGATATAACGGGAAGATTTTTAAAAGAGATATAATTGACTGAGATGAAGAGAGAGAGAGAGAAGAAAGCAATATAATCAGTTTTTACAGTATGTTCTCCGATAACAAATCATATCTGATTTTATAGCAGCCATTGTCACTTGTGTACACATGCATGTGCTTGAATACTTGCTTTTAATAAACAAATATTGCAAAAATTGTTAAAGCCAAATTACTTTGCATATACCGTGTGAGTCAAAAAAAAGTTTACACCTAGAAAATTGCTAATTATTTTTAAAATCATCTATGTATAGTAAATTATTATACATCTGGTGAAAGAGTGTTTTATCCCAAATTATTTGGTACCATTTTTGTGTGGTATGTGTTCACGCTTGGATGAACAGGTGGCATTGTTTGCGAGAGTGCAAAAATCGACTTGCGCCAAAGTGATGCCTTCAGTATGTATTATGTTGGGATTAGTGGAGTGAGAGAATGGATTGAATGTATCAAATGAAATGCATTGCATATGTTTTTTGCAAAGGGCGAAGTCACACACACGCGCACAAATGTTCGTTGATATTTGATATCTGATATGTGTTGGTTGCATGATAAATTCTGTTAGGGGTGTTATTTGGATCTGCAAAGACCGAATTAATACCCAAATCCCAATTGTTTTATTCAAACATCACAAAGGCAACTTTGGCGCAAGTCGATTTTTGCACACTCACAATAATGCCTCCTCTTCACCCAAGCGTGAACACATACCACACAAAAATGATACTGAATGATTCGGGATAAAACACTCTTTCATAAGATGTATAATAATTTACTGTTCATAGATGGTTTATAAAATAATTAGCAATTTTCTAGGTGTAAACTTTTTTTTGACTCACTCTGTACAGTGCATGTCCAATGTATGTATAACTTATGACTGATTTCTTTGAGAGGATATTAAACTACATAATTTGAAGATCATTTTTGTCCCTAATCATGTACTCTTTTAGTTGTTGGTCTATTTGTGATTCATCAATTGTTAAGCTTTCAATACAACATACAACACAACACAAATCAATTTACATTTGTTAATACATGTATGACCATTTATTTATATACATCTTCTAATATATATTCCATTTCTCTACAATTTTTCCATCCCAAATGCTGACAAATGTTTGATACCCTAGGGTTATTAAAGGATACAATAGAACATTGAATATAATATATAGAAAGGAAGATGTTTCATTGAAAAGATACGACATAGAGCCTAGAATCACGAGAGTTGCAAGTTCATCCACGAAATACAGAGAGTACATCACTAGAATGATAATAAAGCTTCAACATAACAGACATAAGCGACATTTATAAATGAAAAACAAAGAGAAAGAATAAAAAAAGAAATGTCCTCTGAGGATTTTGCATTCATAAAGTAAGCGCTTCATACAAAACAAGAATGATTTTCAACGCAGCTGGGAATCTTGCTACAGAATAAATCTCGTATATCTCTTTCCGTAAAATGGTATGAATACTCCCTAAAATAGTGGAGATGGTGCACATTTGTCTGGGGCTTGAAATCCAGTGACCAGGGGAGATGATAATATGGTTAAGCCCATTGACGTATTCACGTATAGGCCCTACAGATAAACAAAATTTCATCCTTTTGTTTTTTTATAATTCAGGACTTTCCACCCCAATTATTTTTGCCTGATAGCACAAACGTATCTCTATTAAAAACAGATGATAAACCACAAGTCCTATTGCAGATTAGTCTCCTATTAAGGATTCCAGGTGATAAACACCATTCTTCATCAGGTAAACAATGCTATAAATGACAAAATGCTTCTTGTATCAAAACTAGTTCAGATTGGCCCTCGAAGTCGTTATGCAGGGTGCAGTTTGGCATATTACTTGAATGTAGTATTGTAAAAATATTGCAAATAAGGAAATTGAGATGATATTTTGCTGTACAATTTGATCACAAGCTACGATACAAGGTGCAAGAGCCAACGCAACGAGGGCAGCAAGACGTGATTCAATTTACCCAGATCAATTGATTTCAAAGACTCCTCACAACTTGCATGTGGTTATGCTGTCTTCACATAGCCAATTCTCAAAGATTATTCGCCCTGAGTCTTAGTAGCTTTCACTTGGTTTAATCTCTCAATTACAGTATTTTGGTACGTGATTAAAATTCAGTTTAATTGCCGCCCTCACTCAAGTGCTGTGTAATGAAGACACACTGTGTTATTACATAACAAAGCCTGAACAATAGGTTAACGTTACGTGTGCAGTCAGTGTGCATATATTAGCCAGTAGAAGTATATAGTGTCACCACAGTATGGATATACCCTGCACACGTTACACAGGATACCATGTATTTACTACACATGTTTATCACCATCCCGCATTCACTTTATTATACACTGTACTAGCATGTTATGGCCTGCTATAGAAAGATACTAACTAATTAAATTAGGTAGGATCGAAACCATTGGGAGTAACTTTTAGCTTTAAAAAAATATTACAAATGAACTTCCATGAGTCCAATGTATTTCATGTATTCCTACGTTTCAAGGTTAAATTGGAAATACAATATCTTCTTAAAACGAAAGAATTCATATAGAATCAAAGGTAACGTTGTCCAAATGCGAGTGAAGCGTTTCAAGTATTGGGCAGCATTTTCTCTGATGGCACAGAGAGGGTTAAAGAGTTAAAAAATCAAAGAAAATTATAGAAAAAAAGAAGAAAAAAAGGAGGATACACATTATCCACTTAACCTAATATACAGCACAAAACCATTAACATTGAGTATTGCTAAATATTTTCCGCCCTTACCATTTCACAAACATAACTCGCCCTTTGTTTCTAATATAATAAATTTGAAACTCCTATTACAAAAATCACTACATTGTTCAACATTTGAGCACCAAATTACTACTTCCAAGGGTGACAATTATGACTCTTTTGTCATGTCTAGTATTAACTAATAACATTTTTAGAGTGACGACATTTTCAACTTAAAACTTGACATAGTCCAATAATTGCATATTCATTTTATAAACATACGTACTTATACACTAGATGTAAAACTGGCAGAATAAAATGAAACAATTAAAGATGGAGAAGCCTATCGGAAGGGATGTCCAAACATCATTCAAATACATTCTAGAAAATATTAACAGCATTTATCTTGTTTTTATAACTCTCTGACCAACCACCTACCGGTATAACAGAACATGGCATTAAATTCAAAAGGGAAATCGAAATGACTGGCAGGACATAGGTACAGCATTTTATGAGCATTGTCAGGAAAGGAAAAAGGACATTATGTATAGACCGTTAAAGGTGAAGTCCACCCTGATATTGAGTTGGTTTTCATAGACGCCACTACAATATGACTACATCACAGTGACAAACCAGCTCCGGCCAATTTGAAGTGCCCCTACCTATAGCGATTGCAACTTTTAAAAAGGTATAACTTTCTAATTTTTGTCCGGTTAACTTTCACCAGTAATCTTCTCTGAAATGTCTCCTTCCCTCTACAATAGTTTGCTATCACGAATTGGGTTTCCCTTTAACGACCTCTCATTTAACCTCTATGCTACATACACTGTACCTCATACTAGAGGTACATGGGGCATGCTCATATTATACTGACCAATAGTCACACTTTGCCAATAATGTGGTTCACAATATACAGTACTGATTTCAATTATTCAACATTATTATGGAATGTCTGAACACAACTTAAAATTGAAAAACACAAGTACAGAAATAATCTATCACATAATATGATGTTAACTATAGAAATATGTACTACAGGGTCTTAAAGAATATGTTTGCATGATAAATTTCAGTAGAAAGAGAGAAATGTGTTGGTATGTTTACAGAGAAATCAAGCAAAAAGGTTAAGTCTGAAGCAGAAATATTTGTATTGATATTCCCTTTAACTTTTTTTTCATGCAAAATATTATAATTTTCAATTGAGCAATTGCACGCAGGAGCTAGACCATTACATCAAGCATTGCGGAACTACACAATCAGTAGTTAACATGTGAAACAGAGATAAGCAGTCATTTAGAATGTAGATGATATAAAACATGAAATTTAAATTGACATATCTTTGGCTGTTCTGAAAGAGATGGCACAATGCTGCCTCGCATGATATTAACTCTAGAATAAACACAACATGTGGCTACAAAATACTGTTAAATCATAATCCATTCTGTTTCTGTTTCTCTGAAATTGCACAATATGAAACAAAGGTTCATCAAAAATATATGACAGATAAAAAGACAAAAGGACATGGTTATGTGTGTACTAGAGACATTCCACCACCGACATCAAATGCTATGCATGGGACTAGACAATGATTGTTATATGATTGGTTTATATCTATGACTATATATTTGCTATGTTGGCTAGTCTTCTAGGTTCCTGAAGCCTTGCTGCATCTCATCTAATAAGTCGGCAAAGTCTTGCTTGATTTTGGCTTCACCGTCTTTCACAGGATCCTGAAAAGAAAGCAAGGTAATTTCATCAATGATGGAATATCAATTCAATTCAATTCATTTTATTTCCACATTTGAATAAACAAATAATCACAATGACAAGAACACATACATGTACATTGAAAAAGAAAATAACAGGTACCGGTATAAAACAAAAATAAATTCAAATATGCTTGGATTCGTAAAGGCCATAGGCCTATCATCCATGGCAAACCCCATTACAACAAATATATATATACAGTAAATGAAGCCTGTGCTTTTCTGTGGAAATACCATGTACTCATCACGGCCATTCGTCTGTAATTACAATTTTAGGAAACGGCATTTCTATTACTCAAATTGTGATGGGATTTTAGCTTCCTTATTCTCGAGAATCACAATACTGAGAATAGACTTAGCAGAAGTGATTGTACTCTTATTGTTGAGATGGGGGTGGGGGTAATTATCTATAGGTAATTGGCTGTGGTGGCCCCAACAAAGGCTCAAGGGCAGTCTTATCAAGTGAACCAATTGTTGCTAATGCTTCTTTTATTTTATACTCCTAATTTAAGTTGCATGGATGAAATTCTCTCACAACCCTGATATTTTGCAGATACTGAAGAAGTTTCTTTAACGTTTCATTAGCATTTCCGGTTGGGTCACAAAACTAGCTGGTTTTAATAATACTCCACTTCTCAAATCCCAAGGGCTTTGTCAAAACCTTTTGTCTTCCTCTAAATCAAATTTGGACAACTATATTCAAAATGAGAGGATGGCTTGGTTTGGTTTGGTTATATTTACGATCATAAAATATGAAATACAAACATTATATTCACATAAGAAACAGAACTCGCAAATATTTTACATGGACTATTCTACAAAAATAAAATATTAAAATTATGATGAAGATCGAGGGATTACCCGCTTGAGATCAACAAAGTTGATCCGTTCTTCCTCGAGGTCCAAAAATAACTGTTTTTCATAACACTACAGTCTATTGGGGAGAACGAGTATGGTAAAACCGGTCACTCAAAGGTTTTTACTTTTTTAAGGCGCTTCTTGATCATTTTGAAGCACAATTTTTTTAGGGCTTCAATATTACACCATATCACAGACACTGATAATACGTAGGGCCGTGCATCTCAGATTTAACATTGTTAAACGATGCCTTTAATTAATGAATGTACTGATGAAAAGCTTACCTTGAATTTCATAGAGGATAGTTTGTACATGATGTCTCCCATGCTCTCTCTGATAAGAGCATATGTGATCTTGTTCTCGCTCTGAGAGGTGCTCTCTACAGCATGTCTGGCCATGTCGTAGAACGATACAATGTTGCTCAACATGCCAACCGTCTTGTAGAATGGACAATATCTAAGAGAGAAAGAGAGAGACAGAACAATTCAATATTACTCAGGTGAGGACATGGACGTTGTCTGGCATTTTTTTAAAAATGCATATCTAAAATTATTTTAAAGAAATAACAATGAACGAGTCTGAAATTTGATTGACAGACAGGCTTCGCCGACTCACCAGGCCTGTGCGCGACAAACAAGCGAGTCATCGATTGCGAAGTTCATGACAATGACTCTGTATTGTTATGTTTTCAATAGGCACAGGCCATAATGGAATGTGCAAGAAACAATATCCTGTCAGTAGTAAGATGTTTTGATTGAAGTTTAAATAAAAGCTTGGGGTTGAATAGTTTTATTGTGTGTAAATGACCGTTAGATCTATACTAGCTTCATAGGCTGCCGCTGTGCCAACGATCGCCTGACTGTGTGAGCGTAATTGAGAGCTGCTGTGGCTGGTCGCCATTAGCTGGTGTTGTTGGTCTTTGTGTGGACATTTTCGGTGGCCAGTGGAAGCAAATGAGTGGCCACTGGTCGTGTTAGACAGGTGGTCGTTGTATACAGGTTGTTAACTACATGAAATCTCACAGGGGGATTTTGAGTGGTCGTTACAGACAGGTGGTCGTTGTATACAGGTTCTTAAGTACATGAAATCTCACGGGTGAATTTTGAATGGTCGTTCTGGACAGGTGGTTGTTACAGACAGGTGGTCGTTAACACAGGTTTGACTGTACATGCTTTCTAATTACCAGTCAGGTCAAACAATCATCATCACCAAACAAAGTGTTCTTCATTTCCCGAAAAAGCATCAAAAACAATGTCCAAATGTGGAGAAACCAATTGAATATGTTAGGGATTCAATTGGTTTTCGACATTTGGACATTATTTTTTATGCTCTTTCGGAAAATGAAGACAAAATTGAGAAATTCTAAAAATAGATTTTTATGACGTCACAGCTTCGGTACTCTATACCGAAACATCAAATCAAATGACCGCTGCTAGTGCTTTGCATTAGTAAAAGAATCTCTAAGAACAGATGACTTTTTATTTTTCCCTTCACCAATTTTCTGATTTGTGTGAGCATACAGAATAACACAAACTTATGTAGATTAAGGAAAAAGTATGTTGAAATAGCTTCGATTTTATATTGTCCACATAAATGGAGACAAAATCACTATACAATCAAATTAAGTGTCAGAACACAGTGCTAACGGGGAGTGTTCTGTAAGTATAATGCCATTGTAAAACTGCAAAAGAAAAAGAAAATCAAACAGAAATAGAAAAATCAAATCCATTTATTAACTCTTATCAGAATATTGTTCAAGCGACTCACCTATCATACGACGAGTATCCGTTCTGCTGGAGGAAGTCATCCTTGAGTAGTTTAGCAATCTCTAGGGTGATCTTATCGGACTCAGCGAGGGAGCCCTTTCCTACCAGCTGCACAATTTCAGACAACTCTTCCTCTTCCTGCAAGATCTCCCTTACCTACAGCAAAATATAAATAAAAATATTATAATAATGAACTCACAGGGGGGATAAGTGAGCACTAAAAAAAAAGGGTTTTTTGTTTTCCCCTCAACCCCGCCCCCCTTGAGTAAAAAGAAAAGAAGAGGATGCGTGGGGAAAAAATGGCATCTAACAACATTCCCCCCTTTCGAGTAAGAAAACTGGGGAAAAATTGGGGGGGGGGGGAAATAGGGCAAAATAGGGAAGAATAGAGAAAATAAGGGGGAAAATCAGGAAAATCAGAATAAAATATGGAAGAAAAAAAAATCTGGTAAATTTTTTTTTTTTTTTTAATTGTGGATTTCTTTTATTTTTTTTAATCGGGAAGAAGAAAAAAAAATTGGGAAACCGATTTAAATCAGGTTTTTATCAGGCCTGACTCATTAGCTGCATTTACACTGCAAGCAAAAATCATTGATTTTGATTGTATTCCTGTGTAATGTAGGTATTTGAATACTTCTGGCAAACAACGAAAAAACCTAAATAAGAAACAAAAATCACCTCTGGAATGTGCTTTTTTTTCTAAACGCCTGCCCAAATTTCACTTGTTTTTGCAGTGTAAAATCAATTCATTTTATTTCAATCAATCAAAAACACCAGGGAGAGTGTTTCACAAAGACTAAGATCGACTTAAGTTGGGCTTAACTATGGCAGGCTATTCAGGCCACTGGTTGCTCTCATCACTGGTCTCTCAACTATGATCTTTAGATAACAGTTTTACCTTCAATAATAAATTATAATTTTTTTTTTTGTTGTAGATTTGTGATCGTGATTTGTACGTCCATTGATAGACCATTGCTAGTAAACGTTGAGAGCAAACAGTGGCATGAATGCTCTGTCATAGTTAAGTCTAACTTAAAGTTGATCCTAGTCTTTGTGAAACACCCCCCAGGGCCCTGCTTCAATAACACCGTTTAAAAAAACAAGTTACAATAACTGTTATAAATATAAGCTACTGAAGTCCTGGCATAGAAGTTTCGCACTTGTTCCCGATGAAAAGTTTCATGAAACAGGGATCCTGCACTGACATTTTTAAACCTAACCTAGCCATCCTAGCGCTGCATATTAATATTTGAATAATATATAAATATTTGCGTTGGTACGGCAAGGTGGAGAACAAATTACTATATTAGCCAGATTCTGGACTAACCAGTATGTCGCAATGATTATGGACAAGTTACAACCTGGAAAGTCATTCGTTTACGGTAAACCATACCAATTTTCGCGCAATGTCACTCATTTTAAGTAAACATAGCTTGCACTTGTATTTTTTGTGTGAAATCTCATTATTTGATAAATTATCGCGTTGGATTCTGTGTGCGTGCGTATCTTGAATATTTATGACTAGCGCATAACGTGTAGGTTCCTATAGAGTACCGAAGCTGTGACGTTATAAAAATCTATTTTTAGAATTTCTCAATTTTTTTCTTCATTTTCCGAAAGAGCATCAAACATGGTAAGGAGCCAGAGCATATAACACTGAGTTCCTATAGGAAATTTATTTATTCAGATGGTCATATCTCAGTCAATACTTAACATATTCAATTGGTTTTCGACATTTGGACATTATTTTTGATGCTATTTCAGGAAATGAAAAAAAAATTGAGAAATTCTAAAAATAGAATTTTGATGACATCACACTTCACCACTCTATTGAGCTAATCAAAAGCAGCGGTAGGATGGCTAGGTTAGGTTAAAAAAAAGACGCGTCCTGCACTGACCTTGGTCCTGAGTGGCACAAACTCTGCATAGTTCTTATCATAGAAGTCGTCTAACGCCCTCATGTACTTGGAGTAGCTGATGAGCCAGTTGATGGAGGGGAAGTGCTTGCGCTGAGCGAGCTTCTTATCCAATCCCCAGAACACCTGAACGATACCAAGGGTTGCGGAGGTCACCGGGTCAGAGAAGTCACCACCAGGGGGCGACACACTGAAGAAGAAATAAAAGTTTACTGTTAGTGTCAATGGATGTTGATTAAACTTGAAGGCCTGAATTCACAAAGGAGGTTTACATTTAACCCATGGTTTAAACCCTCATTTACATAACCCATGGATTAAAATTAGCGCAAAATAAGCGTAACACAGTCAAGAGGTCCAATATTTGACGCGCGCAAGGCAAGGTACGCTTATTTGCGCTAATTTTAAACCATGGGTTAAGTAAATGAAGGTTTAAACTGTGGGTGAAATGTAAACCTCTGCTGTGAATTCGGGCCAAAGAGAGTTACACTGTGGGATTTTTGGATTATTACAATTCAATCAGAGTTTTTTTTAAACAGGTCCCTGGGTTAACTTTATCATGAAAATGATCTAAAGCTAACATAAATAAGTTCAGCTCTACACATAGCTACTCCGATATCCTACATTAATCTTAAAAAGGCAGATACCACCCGACCACCTCCCCTCCCTTAAACTGCTAAGAAAAAGAAGAAAAAACAAACACTCTAAACATCTGGTTCAAATTAAAGCATCTATGTAAGTATGTAATGGTCCACGTACATTATTTTAACATTTTTCCAAAGGTAGAGGAGGGGAAATGGGGGTAAATTTTACTTAATATCAAGAGGTTGTATGTTGCCTCTTCCAAAATATTCTATGGTCATGGTGGCTGTCCATTCCTGTTCATGTCAATGACCAAAAAAATTGTTACATCAAGTAATGGATTAAAGGGTAAGTCCACCCTGATATTGAGTTGGCTTTAATAGAAGCATGAGGGTAAAATGAGAGAAACAATTCAGTGAAAGTTTGAGCAAATTCTGTTTAGAAATAAGAAAGTTATGAATTTTTAAAGAAGCGATCAATCAAACACAAATTGTCAACACTATGATGTATCTTACGAGCTTCTTTCTCATTTGCCCTGTATTAAAAAGCTTGCATGAAAAAATCTATTCAGTCAATTAATAACTATTACAGAAAATGAAATTCACGATATTTTCTCTACAGAGCGAATTGGAGAGTGCTCACCAATATGTGTTTACCTGACAACAACTTCAAAAATTCATACCTTTCCTATTTTTCAATGCATATTGCTCAAACTTTCTCTCATTTTTCATTAAAACCAACTAAGTATCAGGGTGGATTTTCCCTTTAAGGTTAGAGGAACATTTTGGGGTGATAGACTTACGCCCCTACGATGCTGACACTGCCCTCTCTGCTTGGGTTTCCTAGACATTTGACTCGACCGGCTCTCTCATAGAAAGAAGCTAGACGGGCTCCTAGATAGGCTGGGTAACCGCTGTCTGTAGGCAGAAAATGAGAATTTGATACAATTCAATTAAATTCTATTTTATTCGTCCAAATCAAATAAATGATAATGTTACATGTGATTTATTTACAAGCAATAACTATACAAACATACATGACAAAAAACGTTTTAATTGAAATACAGTCAAACCTGCTTTAGTGACCACCTGTCTACAAAGACCACCTGTCTACAACAAGCACATTTTTTGTTTCCCTTGAAAATGGTTTCTCATTGAAACATGTACTAAAGGAATCTGTCTACAACAAGCACATTTTCGTTTCCCTTGGACGGTCGCTGTAGACAGGTTTGACTGCATATAAGTGATGAATACACATAGACATTGACACAGACAGACATTTGAGTAAAATTACACATAGCATGAGTACGTGATTGGATATCTTAATGATTTGTGTGGTCAGCATGACTATGTATACATGCCAACATTTGAAAATCAGAAATCTGTACACTATGTGCGCGAAGCGCACATCACGAGCGCGAAGTCCTTTTAGCCGGGGTCCAGGGCCCGCTTTAGGGCCCTGGAAGCTCTGGGTTTCCAGATGCTCTCTGGTGCAATCTGAGCCTATTTTAGGGACCATTTCCCCTAAAATTCAACCCAAGTTTATGGGTAATTTTTGTGTCATACTAGGTCTAGGCAAATTCATGCAAAAAAATATATTCAAGAAATTGACTTGAAAACACATCAGACAATTAGTCTGAACCGAGTCAGGAGCAAATTTGAAGAAATTATATTTTTAAATGTTGTAAAACCAAAGATATAAGAAGAAAACTGACCAAGTATCTGTACTAAAAATCGTACATGTAAAATTGGCATACCTGCCAACCTGAGACAAGAGAAATTAGGAGTAAATTTTTCTGGATGGACTACGAGGTCGCGAACCACCGAAGGATTGGGGTAGTAGCCCGTAGATTGGGGGGGGGGCAGAGATGCCAACCCTATAGGATGGCTGTCAGTAACATTTACCATATTTGTCCGTAACAAATGGGGGTCTTTCCGTAACGCAAGACACCGCAGCATAATTTTCGCGCAAAACGTACACAAACACCCAATCACTTACTGCATTTCGAACCTACCATATTCAAGTCCAAAATAAAGATGTGCATAAAAACGTTTTTAAAAATCTGTTTCCAGTCAAAGGATCTCCTTCTCGGGTACTCGCTCTTTTGAGTGAATCCATGATAATATTCAGGAAGAAAACACCTCGTTCAAGCGTCGAATGGCAAATTCGAATCCACAGTCAAATGGCAGAGCTCGTATTCTACACACGCACACGTACACTCACCAGTACCACAGACACACCATACAGCCCAGGCCGCTAGGCCGGGCGTTCATGAACAACAACACACCGTATACCGCACTGCACTTGCAATGCGCCCGCTGAATCACCGAAGTCTTCGCTACTATATTGCGGGCGCCATGCGCACGATCATCTACCCCCATGCTTCCCTCAAAAGGCACGAACGCACGTAGCATACGTAGCGGCCGTGTTGTTTTGGAATTAAACAAGATGGCGGCGGACGGACCATGTGCGCGAAAGTGTCTATCCAGTGTAGTCAAATTCAGTGAACCTATGAGTGAATGCGTGCGACATGCAGCGCTGTGTGCGGAGGCTATGTGATAAGGCGGCATTCGCTATATAAAGTACTTATGTTTATCGTTTCCCCGTAAGGCGTGTTCTGGTTATCAGTGTGTGTGTGTGTATTGGGTTTTTACAGACGTGTATCAATCAGATATGATTATTTACGTCTGGGACCGACCTTTAAACGTCACCATCCGAAAGACGTGACTCAGTTTCGAACCTGCGTCCTCGGCTGAATCAGTTTGTAACTTCCACTTTTAAGCTGGATTTCGGGCGCACGCCACAACGCCTAGTTGCTGTGTTATGCTTTAGTCTTATGCAACAGTCGTTTGTTTTAAAAATATTTTAAAATTACAAAAAATCGGAGTTTTGAGGCATGCAATCGGAATTCGGAGTGGGTATGAAAAAAGCGGAGTAACTCCGCCTAAATCGGAGTGGTTGGCAGGTATGAATTGGTCGTAGACATTCGACAGCTGAAAATGACGCGCACGGTTGTGGTACGTGCGTTCTCGAATCCAAAATCGTATCTCACACACACACTCTCGCCATACCGCGAATGGTCCGTCGTGGGGAGCTAGCCGCCCGAGAGTTTGCCAGCGATACCAACGCACCCTCGGAGCTCCGCAGCGCACAATTTTAGCGGAACTCGAAAGGTTCGAGGTGGGAAGGTGGCGGGCAAGCTTTTTGCCATCGTTCCTTGTATTCCTGTTTGATCTTCTGAATTCGTCTTGCTGCTGTTCCGCTCATTTTGACAGATTTTCTTCCGAGACAAATCACAAATCACAAAGTATACGGTACCTCGAAACACGTACTTTGCATGGGGACCCTATGCATATACGGTGCGCTAGCCGCGATAGCCAATGCATGCATGCTGCGCTGATATGCGTGCAAACGTATAGAAATTATACTTACGAGATTTGCCAGCGCAAGTATTTACGTACGGAAATGTTACGTACGGAAACACATATCAGAGTGCACGTGGCGCGCAGCAACACGCTGCCACTGTACGTACATATCAGTGCACGCTGCACGCACCTTGAGCAATGCAATCCGTTCAGCACTCGATCGGATCAATGCTATGTATGGAAAGCCAAATTCCCCAAAATTGGAACGTTCCGTTTTTTAGGGCTATAAAAACTTCAAAAACGGAACAGTTCCGTTAAAATCGGAACGGTTGGCATGTCTGGACTATGGTTTGAAAGACAACTTACCAGCAGGCATTTCAGCCAGACGACCGGAGATCTCACGAAGAGCTTCGGCCCACCTGGATGTTGAGTCGGCCATCATGGAGACGTTGTAGCCCTGATCACGGAAATACTCCGACAATGTCACACCTGAAAACAGAGATAAATATCTGTGGTCACTGAAAAACTTAAGACAATGATATGCCTGAGCATAAGAAAGACTGGATGAAATACAGAGCATTATACTGAAAATACCATCGAGACAGATTAATGGGCAAAGAAATGCTCCGTTCATGATCCGCATGGAGAGAAGAATGGATACCGTAATTAACGTTGTATAAACCGCCCTCTTTTTCGCCTTTTTTTTTTTTGCCAAGATTTTTTTTTGTGTGTGTAAGATCATTAATGTAAATTAAAAAACAGTAGGGGACCTAGGATAGAACCTTGTGGTACACCATGTAATAGAAGAAAAATTGGAGGAATTATTATTATAAACTACATATTGAGATCTATCAGAAAGATCACTTTCAAACCAAGATGACAGACAAATTTGAGTGTTGTTCTAGTTTCTGAGTGGTGAGTCAACACACCGATTACCGAGCTGGGAGACATTGCCAGGCATAAATCAAAACTTTAAATTTTTTTTTTTTTTTTTTTTGGTGTACCGTGTATAAGCCGCACCCCTGTCTTTGAATTTTGTTCGGCGGCAAAAGGTGCAGTCAATACACCGTTAATTACGGTAGATGAAATATAGAGCATTATACTGACAATACCATAAAGACATATCAATGGGTAAAGAAATAATCAGAGAATGTTAGGCAGGAAAAGAACAAAGACGAGCATCAAATAGTGTTCAGTGAACCTACTCTAATCATCAGGGAGGGGGGGGGGGGGGGGGTTAAAATCTTGCAACTATATTTCTGGTAGATCAATATTTTCATAATCTGAAGCTAAGAGTCAATCAATAAATATTCAATCAAATAATGGCACAAGCATACTTTATCTATGGTAGTCATGAACGCTATTACTATGTTCAACACAATAAGTTTTCACTTTCCTAACATTTTTTTTAGTAACAAGATTACCTGAGTGTACAACCCTCCTCCCTACCTTTACCACCCTCCACCTTCTTCAGTTATTGTTGCTCAAATTGCTTCCAAGCTAGGTCTGTTCTTACCTGTGTAGATGGACGCTTCCCTAGCAGCTACCGGCATGTTGGATGTGTTAGCCACCAAGGTAGTTCTCTTCATAATAGACTCTGTTTTCCCGCCGATTTCTACTGTCAGCTGAAAGTGGGGGAGAGAAATTTACAACGGGGTAAAAACTGCTCCAAAATGTAGACTTTGTATAATGATAATTACAAATAGCTTGCATGTGCATAGCATAAATTATAGTGCATCTCTTTGGTTTGTATGCTCTTGTCTAGACTGTGTCTAGCAGTCGATACACATGTATGTCTTTAGCAAGGCAACGTGTTCTACAGCTGTGTTGAGAGAGGAAACTGTAAATCGAAGAGTCTTAAAGACGCATCGGAGTGGGCTCTCGTGAGGAATTCAACACCGTTTGGGTGTTTATCCCATAACAGGTGTTGAAAAACACCAGAATTGGTCTTTTATGGCCAACAGGTGACCCATGTAATGCTCTGCATTTTCCATCCATTCACACATTATGGTAAAGTCATTGTTTTGCTTTTCCCTTAATAATAATAATAATAATAATAATAATAATAATAAAAATCTTTTAGTCCACTCCGAATTTTATTAAACCGAAACGGAAATTCTTTTTGCCCAATTGATCATGAGCCCGGCAGCCTCTGAGCAGCGCCAGATCGACGTTGCTCTATCCCTCATTGTTGAACTCCAAACAAGGTAGCAGCAACGGCTCTCCCTATAATTTTTAAGTCCAACTTAGAGTTAAGTTCGACTTAGAATCTTTGTGAAACACTCCCCAAGACTCAAAATGAGAGAGCAGGCCTTAAATTTCGTCATTTTTAGGGCAAGGCCAGTTTGGCCTCGAGTACCTCATATTTTTAAGGGCACCAAGGCCAAAATATTTTTACAAAAAGGGCATCGAGGCCAAAATATTTTACAAAAAGGGCATCGAGTATGAGGCCAAAAAAATTGATTCTATTTTTGTTAGATGTCATGTGTATTTTATGAAACTTGTGCAGGATCAATTTCCCATGACTTTTAGCACCAGCTTCTTCACAGAATGTATAGAGGTCTACGGTACATACAAACAAGCAGGCGCGTAGCCACGGGGGGGGGGCACGGGGGGCATGTGCCCCCCCCTAAAATTTCCAGGATCGGTTGAAATTTTGTAGACCCCTTTTTTTGACCTCGATCGATTACATGTATGTGCCCCCCCAAACACCAAACTCTGGCTACGCGCCTGCAAACAAGGCGGCGGCCCGCAAGCCTTAGATTTAGCAGCCAGGAGCAAGGGGCAATTTTTTTTTTAAGTTGCCCTTTGCCACGGGAATTTACCAGAGCAAGGGGCAATTTTCAAAAAACAGATAGGCCGCTTATCTAATCATAACATATGATAAGTTCAAAGAGAGTCTACAAATGTTAATTTCATAATGTGAATAGATCGAACGATCAATTTAATAACTTTTTAATCTTAACAATATGAACAGGAAAGATTGATTAAGAACATCAAACTTGCACATTAAACAGTATTTTAAAGTAACTAAAAATATTGATGAGCAAATGAAATAAATTGTCAATTTCACAAACATCGAAAGTCAGAAGGACTTAATTGGCAAGTTTACCGGGCCGGGTATTCCAAATCAAAATCGCACCTCACACATAAACCTTCCGCCACTCTCTCGGTAGTAGGAGCAAATTTGAAGAAATTATCTTTTTAACTGTTGTATAGATTCTAGAAAGGTCTACATAGGCCTAACTAATGAAATAAGATGTAAAAATGTCCTTATAGACATTCGACAGCTGAAAGTGACACGCTCAGCTCAGTTGCGTAACGTGCATTCACGAAGCCAAAATCGTTCCTCGCACACACACTCTCGCCACTTTTGGTGGGAAGCTGTCGGGCTGGAAGTTTGCCAGCGAAACCGATGCACCCTCGGAATTTTACCGGGACTCGAAACGTTCGTCTTGGGAAGCTGGCGGGGTAGCTTTTTGAAGCGAGGTCGGCTGGTGGCAAAATGAGAGTAACTACGATCGAGAACATCGTAGGTGTTCTTAACTTATTAATAAGATAATTCTAAATTCTATTTGAGATAAAATAATAAACTAGGCCTACAAACAAACCTCGACAGATCTCTAATGACTATTTGAATGCTTGTTTATTTCTCCATTTCTCCATTTGACGATTTGTTTTCTTGATCCTGGCCTTCGATTTGTACGTACGTGCGTGCGTCAACAGCATGCACCATATGCATATCATGCGATCGCATAATATGAACGTACGTGCGCTAGCGCATTGCCTATATAATAACAAAGGGCGCATTTTCACGGCACTTGCGCCTTATTAAAGCACTAAATACGAAGCTAGAAGAGAGCTCGTGGGCGGCAAACTGTTCGTGATTCGTGTATTTTTACTGTTCTAATAATTTATGGGCGCATTTTCACGGAAAACACTTGCGCCTTGCCGTCTAGTTTTAGATGATTATGGGCGCGATTGGTGGTTTTATGTGCGCAAATTTAAAATAAAAAGGGCACGTCCAGTTGGGAAAAAAGGCACGTCGGCCAGTTTGAAAAAAAGGGCACGGCCTTTTTGGCCGTGAATATATCTTTTTTTGGGAGGGCACCGCGGCCAGTCATAGGGGCATCGACGGCCTGGCCGTCGATGGCCGTCGATTAATTTAAGGCCTGAGAGAGTCATTCGATTGGAGCTGTTTACCTCTGGGAAATCTCTCAACACTTCAGACATCTCGTTGCCACGTTCACCACATCCTACGTAGACGATGACGTCACTGTTCGAATACTTGGACAGCGATTGAGAGATGACGGTCTTGCCGCACCCAAAGGCTCCAGGGATAGCCGTCGTTCCCCCTTGTACACATCTGGACAGGAAGAGCAGAAATAGTGTTCTTTAGATGTAGAGTGACTTTTGATTCTTACTGAATAACACAGGTTTAACACTATCATATCCAAATCATCTTACCTACCGACTCAACATGCAAATGCTTTTCCTAATAGAGTTGCTTAAATCATAGACCGAAAGCTTCAGTCTCTGATATCAACGGTTGTTCCACTGAGATTACATCTGGCTCCTCGGACCGCCTCTTATACATAGACTGAATTATGTCGTATGTGGTAGTGTGCGTAAGGAATTATCAGTGTCAAACTTTTATATTTCTTGTGCATATATGATTGACACAAGTTATCTATAGACCTATGGAATCTCTTTAAACAATAAATTTCATATTAATCAAAGAAAATGTAACAATTACTACGGTGGTATGGTTGACCCGTCTTTGATAATAGTATTCATAAATTTGCTCTATTTTGGCTGTAATACTAAATAGTTGTACAAACTTAGCAATAGATACAAGACACTTTGTCAAAAATCTACACTTTGTTGTTAATATGTAAAAGGAATAAATGAATAGATGACTCATTCATACCTTCAGAAAATGTTGGAGCTTATGACTAAAGGCTCGTTTTTACACGACACAGGAAACCATTATTATGTGTAAATTAATTACTAGTGAGAATTAAAAAGTATGTACGTATAGCTTTGTGCAACAAAGGTCCCACACATACTGACTATCTATGTATTAGAAGATATAAAAATGTGAAGTTTATTATGCTTTAATAATGAGAGTGGGTTCTTGTATAGCGTTCATGTCAGTCAGACTTGACACTCCTGGCACTCCAGAATTACTACCCCAGCTTTAGCACGGCAGCCATTATGGCACCGTAGCGTGTCAAAGGATTTAAATCTTGCCAGGTACCCATTTACCTCAGCTGGGTCAAGTGTGGCAAATGTAGATTAATATCTTGCCAAAGGACATTAGGGCCATGGCGGGACTTGAACCACAAACCGTGTGATCCACAGTCCAGGTGACATGTCCACTAGACCACGACACCTCCCTCTTAAAGGCCATCTGTAATAGTTGGCTAGGAGGGTTTAGACCACCCAGGAAGGTCACTGACAGGTGGCTATCTCATCAACTCTGCTCTCAATTAACATAAGAAAAAGAGGATCATGGGGGACCAATGGTCACCAATTAGGTATCATTTTCTATATAGAGGGAGCAAGTAGCTATAAGTAGTACAGATAGGCTTTAAAAAAAACGCTGTGGTTTAGTCACTGTTCTACACATTTTTACATAATAGCAGTGAAGGGATGTTCCTTTGTCTACCACAGCAATTGTTGAGGGTAGAACGAGGAACTGTATATTTTGTCCTCTTTCTTTGGCCGTCATGTGCATAGTGAGTGCGTCGTATGTGAACAGACCTGAGGAGGTTGAATCAATAAGGAGCGGAACTTACGGGAAGAGAGCATCCAGAACCCTCTGTCCAGTGAGGAGGGGGTAGTTGGCTGGGAGCTTCTCTGAGACCGGTCTGATGGTACGTACTGGCCATACCTGGAGCATGGTGTGTTTGGTCTTTTGGCCGTCAAACTCTGTTTCCAAGACAACGTCCTGCGCGAAAATGAAGAAGGCCATATTCAATTATCACAAATAGAAGCAAATTTTTTTCATTCCATATCCAGATTTCTTATAATTCTGTTCATCACTTGTACAGTCAAACCTGTCTATAGCGACCGCCCAAGGGAAACACAAAAAGTGGTCTTTGTAGATGGGTCGTCTTTGTAGACAGGTTCCTTTAGTGCATGTTTCAATGAGAAACCATTTTCAAGGGAAACTAAAAATGTGGTCTTTGTATACTGGTCTTTGTAGACAGGTGGTCACTAAAGCAGGTTTGACTGTACATACTTAGGGGGCATATCTTCTGGTGGTATTCTGAAAACGATTGTTATAGATCTTTGATGTAAGAATAACGATGTTGATTGTCAGAGTAAATCAGGACAATGTCTGCCCAAAGCTGACCCTATTCGCACAAGTTTAAAAGAAACATCTGCGCAAGCACCAAATGAAAGTTTTAGTTTAAGGTATTTTCAGTTTGTTTTGACAATTCACATAATTTTCCCTAACAACAAAGATAACATCCTCTCCTACCAGCGCTAGTTCTCTTTCGAACAACAAGCTCAAGAAGGATAACCAACAGTCCTTCTCAGGGCTACACACACTCAAGAAATATTACCAACAGTCTTTTTTCAGTCTAATCCTCCCTCTCTCATATGGTGCAACCGTTAGCCTACTGTATAAAGATAACATAGTGTTCAGAATATGGCCCCAGGATGGGGGTGAGGGATTTCACAATATTACAGTTAAAGGGGCTGTAGCATGGGAAATACTGGTTGAGGCCATCTATGTCTTCTTTTGAACAACTGCGCGTTAACGAATAGACTTGATTAACTAGGTAAGCGCGCTAGCGTTCGTGAAACAAACCGAAGTTCTCCTCACACTTCGGTTTTGCGTATGTTGCATGTACGTGAGTGAATATGTAGGCCTACTGCGGTCGCGTCATCCGTAGTCGTATTATACCCGATTTTCCCCAAGTGGGCCTCGGGGAAGACGCATAGTCTCGTCACGCTACAGCCCTTTAAGGTAGGCCGAATGGGCTTCCACACTCACCGTGATAGTATATAAACCTGGCTCTGCAATCCATGTAACTGTACCCCTGGCCTTTGGGGGTAGCATGAGGCGATGCTCAATCAGGGTATTCTCAGGACACGTCCCGTAGTAATCACCACCCGTGATGTGACTGCCAACCTGTACAAGGGTTAAAGGTCATCAACAGGTCAAAGGTCAAAGTAAAATCAATGTAACAAAATGGTTGTTATTAGTGCAGCGTCTGAAACAAAAGCTCAAGCAGAAATTGGATTTGTTGTTACATGTTGACACACCATTTGCATAATTTTGAGGCAGATATATTATCTTTAGGATATATATGAATCTTAGAAATGCCAATGTAACTGCAAAATATATGCATCTAGTTTAGTTCCATTTCCTTTTGGAAATTTCTCATTAATAGTTTGATCTTTATCTGGGTAACCCTAATTACAGAGTAAAACAAACGAGAGCTAGAAATACATTGCAAAGAGAGCCAGGGTTTCACACTGATCCAAAGTGGTCAAGGAAGCTGTAAAAAAGGAGGTGTTTTTATATCTCTCACAGAAATGATTGTAAGACTTCGGTGTCCATTTGCCGTTGGAATTTATGTGGTGTCATGCATTGCAGAAGATATTGCCCGATAAACATAATAGGACCTGGATCTATCTGGACCAATCTATCTGGACCAATCTATCTGGACCAATCTATCTGGACCAATCTATCTGGACCAATCTATCTGGACCAATCTATCTGGACCAATCTATCTGGACCAATCTATCTGGACCAATCTATCTGGACAACTCTATCTGGACAAATCTATCTGGACCAATCTATCTGGACTAATCTATCTGGACCAATCTATCTGGACCAATCTATCTGGACCAATCTATCTGGACCAATCTATCTGGACCTACCCTGATTCCTGGATAAGGTTTGAAATCCCACTTCTTGGTGCGACTGAGCGCTTTGACGTTGACACCACGTGGAATGTAGATACTCTGGGTAAGGTCGTTGATGTCTTGGAGAGGACGTTGGATCCCGTCAAAGATGTTGTCCAGGATCCCCGGTCCGAGTTCAACGGACAGCGGAGTGCCCGTCCTCAGGACAGGGTCACCAACACTCACACCAGCTGTGAGAGGTCAAGGAACTGTTAAGGAATATCTCACTCAGCATGTTTCTACAGGAGACACAGGAAATAAAAATACTGTCTTCCCAGAGTTGACCCAGAAAGTAACCCCTATCGAAATGTATTTTTAGGAAATGTTTCTAAAAAACTAAGATGGTGAGTGTGCCAGGAATAATCCACCTCTTGTGACGGGTACACTATTCTATGAGCATTAGTTTGAGAGTTATAATCAGATTATGGTATATTTGTACACTCAATGTACATCAATATGAGATACACTGGTTGTCATACCTGAATGGGGGCCATATCTACAATCCCTCACTAACACTGCCCTACATATTAATTGAAAAAGGGAGCACAGGCCTGAATTGTGACCATTTCTACAAATGCCCACTGATACACGCCTACACATAGTGGTAACTGAGAAAGGATACATGTCTCTTTCTAAACCTGTATGGTGGCCATACCTACAAACCCTCACTAACACTGCCCTACATATTAATTGAAAAAGGGAGCACAGGCCTGAAAGGTGACCATTTCTACAAATGCCCACTGATACACGCCTACACATAGTAATAACTGAGAAAGGATACATGTCTCTTCGTAGACCTGAATGGTGGCCATATCTCCTTCCAGTCTGATGATCTCTCCTACCAGCTCACTGTGACCCACACGCACCAGCTCGTACATAGCTGCTCCGGACATACGCTCTGCTGTAACAACTATAATCAACAAGAGAGAAAGAGAGAGAAATAGAAAATTTATTAAAGGTATTAGATAACTTGCCTCTGATGCTCAACAAAATCCTGGATTTAGTTCATGCTGCAATAATAATTATAAACCTTTAGCAGGCTTTAGGTCAGAAATGAATCTCATGACTTTTACAAGCCAATCACATGTTTGTTATCAAGATATTTATGATTGGAATTGGTTATTAATAACACAGTCTAGTTGGGGAAATGAGTATGATAAAACCTGTCCCTCAAAGATTTTTACTTTTTTGAAGCACTTCATTATCATTTTGAAGCCCAATTTTTTAGGTCTTCAATATTTCACCATATCACAGACACAGATAACACATAGGGCATGCATAGATCTTAGATAAATTGTAGAACTGGAAAATTGTTAAACAATGCCTTTAAAATTATTTGGTGAGTTATTGAAAGGTGAAGTGCAATAGTAAAATGCAATGGGGCATTTTCAAATGTGACAGTGTTTTTCATATGTTGGAGGGTACCGGGCTCGATTTGGATTCGTCCTATTTTCTGGTTCCTTTTATCCTTTTATGTTGTACAATAATGTTTATAGCTTAACTACAATGAATAAATAAAGGGGTTACATCTTGGACTGTGAAAACAATAACGAACCATATTTTATCATTTGGCGTATTAATTTTTTCACTTATAATCCTAAACACCACATGCAATGATGCAAGTAATGACAGAGCAGAAAGAAGGAAAACCCTGTTGAGGTCTATAAGAACTATACATGTACTCTCATAGGTACATGTCAATGTATAGATATTACTTTTGTTTTTCTACTAATTGTATGCAGTAGTAGTAGTAGTAGTAGTAGTAGTAGTATAAGAAGTAGTAGTAGTAAAAGTAGTAGCATCATTATTACTATTATTATCATTATTACCGGTATTATTAGATTTGATTTGATTCATTGAATATAATACATTTTCATTGAAAGATCACATACAAAAATATTCTACAACAATTTTTCCCTCCTAAAGGATTGAACACTAAAATCAAGCAGAACCAGGGCTTGAATTAATCCAAGGCCACCAAGGCCATGGATGCCCCTTTGATTGGCCTCAATGCCCCTCTCACTGGCCTTGGAGATTTTTTTGTGCCCTTTCCAATTCTTCCTATTTGTTCTGTAATATAGGAATGTGCCCTACAGAAATTGAATGCCTGCAGAAGTTCAGAACCATCTAAAGATGAAATGGGGTAAACAGCAAAAGCTCAAAAACATGTCAACCATGCTTGATAAATATTTTCTAAACATTATATTACATAAAAGTGCCCTATCCAATGGGAAAAGGAGGTGAGTAATATCTGTGGATTATATAATGTTTCATTTCTAGTCATTGATTCAGCACACAGGAAATCACAAGTACAGATACACGCTATTTCCTGTATACCAGCATCTACAATGTAATGCTAGAATCTAACAAACCACTTTAACACACATGTACATGTATGCAACACAACATAGTAGGATACAGATGGGTTTATTGAGGTTGGCTCTACAATCAGTTCTTCTACTACCCAATTGGTCTATTCCCATTTGGTCTACATCCAGCCCGTTTACTACCCACAATGGTCTATAATCATGTTGTCTACTTATCATTTGGACTCATGACCAATCAGGCTAATAGTCATTTGGTCTAATTTTAATTTGGTCTTGCCTCAAAATAAGTCTACCGGTTATAACCATTTGGTCTATTGCTCATTTACCGGTAGTCTTATTTCCAGTCAGTCTAATTCCCATGTTGTATAATGTCCATTTTGTCTAATATCCATACATATGCTCTAAAAATCTTTTTATTATAAATAATAATAATAATCATCATCAAATGATCATTAGATCTTACAGATGGTAGAGAAAATGGACATTATGGAAACTGGGAATTAGACAAACTGGTTATTAGACTAAATCTAATTAGAGATATATAGAAATTAGACCACATGACTATTACCGTTGCTTAAATGGTCAATAGACCAAATGATAAGTAGACAACATGATTATTAGACCATGTGGATAGTAGACAGGCTGGGTGTAGACCAAATGGGAATAGACCAATTGGGTAGTAGAAGAACTGATTGTAGAACAAACTGGTTGTGGGCCAAATTCACCTTTCTCGTATACCAGCATCTAATACTAGAATCGAAGGACTACTATATTACACACATGTATGCCACACAACATGTAGAACAGATGTAAAAGGGCTGGCATTGTGATTGTATTATCACTATCATAATCTTGAAGGCACTTTTTTCACACAGGTGCAGAATTAATTTCCTGGTCACAAGGATCATATTTCAACATCTGCTTTTCCATGTAGGAAAAATTGAGGATAGTAAATATTCAAGAGTCCTAAAAAATTCAGTAAATTAGTGTAAACAGCTGAGGACATATAGTCTATGTACATGTAGATTGGAACTGTCTTTCAAATTATAATGTAACAAGTTGTTCACAATATTGATATGAAAAGCTGTATTTCCAAAACTACATGTACATGTACATATGTACACTCTGTACATTGTACATGTACATGTACCGTATGTCTTCTATATCGACAGAAAGTATACAATATAGGTCAAGTATGTTTTTAGAATTGATACATTACATTGTATGATTGTACCTTGCAATATCTTTTCAATATCATGTCTTTTGGTAAATTGAATGTATGTTCATGCATACATGTACATGTATACTGGTACAACATCATCATCATCATCATGACAATCACCATTACCACAATTCTCACCAGCACCACAACCATTACAATCACCATCACTACCATCATTATCACCATCACCACCACCAACACCATCACCACCATTACCACCATCCCCATTACCATCACCACCAACATTACAATTATCAACATTTCATCACTACCACTATCCTTACCATCATCACCAACACCATCATCATCCCCACCAACACCATCACCACCATTACCACAATTATCACCATCATCATCACCACAACCATTATCACCATCACCACCATCATCACCATTTCATCACTACCACTATTGATCACCATCATCTCCAACACCATCATCATCACCACCAACACCATCACCACCATCACCATTACCACAACCATTACAATCACCATCACTACCATCATTATCACCATTACCACCACCATCACCATTAACAACATTTCATCACTACCACTATCCTCACCATCATCACCAACACCATCATCATCACCATCACCATCACCACCATTACCACCATCATCACCATCATGTACATAATAATTGTAATAATTCATTTCTATAGCGCCGTCTATCTAGAAATTCTATTCTGAGGCGCATTTTTTATTACCCCGGCTTTAGCCTTGCTGCCATTACAGCGCTCTAGCATTTCAAAGAATTAATTCATACCAGGTACCCATTTACCACCTTGCCAAAGGACATTAGTGCCGTATCGGGGATCGAACCACGACCTTTGAATATACAATGTAAAGTCAAGTGCTTAAACCACTCGACTATGACACTTCTCAGAGATGCCAACCTCTTGACACACAAAAAAACAGACTGAGTATCCTCAAAAGTCAGATTTTCACAAAAACTTGACACTACCACTGGCCCGTCAGCCTTGGGCTAGTAAAATTTCGAAAAATGTTTGCTTTTCATTAAAAATTTAATGAGAAAATTGTAAAGCAAACTTTTTGTTGGGGTTTACTTGTACATGTTTTTATGAGATTCTGCTGGGTTTAAAAAAAAAAATTAAAAATTAAAAAATTCAATTAAAGTTCGTATTTTAGGATTTTAAGATTGTATTTCACTCTTATTATCGTACTGGTTGGCATCTCTGAATTCTACATGTATGAGATGAGGAAACAAGGTGCATGTGGTGGTGTCACTGTTAGCATTCATCTATTTTTTAATCTACAAGTACAATTCAGAGAATTTTAGAGAAAGACTTACCAGGTCCTGACACAGCAAAGACGTAGCCATACTTGCTCTCTTTCTCATTGTCTGCCACTTTTAGCATGATGAAATGATTTCACTAAATTTCCCGTTCTGAAAACAATGAAAAGGAAAAAAATCTATTACAGCATCACAACAGAAATAAACTTAGACTTAAAGATACAGTTGAGTTCTGGTCATGTGATTGCATTGTGAAAGAAACTTTGTGGAACGATCAGAAAAGGTTGATCATCTAGCATATACTGTACATGTACAATGTATTGGTGTGTACTGCAAGGGTCTGGAATCATCAAAATGATAAGAAATTTGGCCTAGTCTTGATAAAGTTACAAGCACTGTACACAGAAAGATGCATAAGGGACTACACAACCATGTGGCATAAAAATCTGTCCCAATTTGTATGATGTTACATGCCATGTTTAGAATATTAAGGCATTTGAAGAGCCATGCATTTCATAGGACATATTTTCTCTGATGTTCTTCCACTTATTGATAATGCTCACAAATTATTGTTTACCTCTTCCCGGAACTCAACCTTCTCTTCAATAATCAATAATAACATTCATATAAGCGCTTTATTACAAACATCAATAGCTGTGCTACCCTGATAAGGCACTCGATAATAGCAATTTGTTTAGTGTATTAAGTACATGTACAGAGTGTGCTGAATTAGCAAACTCCCTGGGCGCGTGCCTTTTTAATAATAATTTAATATTGGATATTTATGTAGCGTACATATCCACCCTGCAAGGTGCTCAAAGCGCTCCAATATTACCCTGGCTCTGCTAGGCTACCGATTTCGGTGCTCACAGCATTCAAGGAAATCCTTCATACTGGTCCCAATTTACTTCACCTGGGTGGAGTGTGGCAAATGTAGAATATATTGCCAAAGGATAGTGTCGCGCCGGGATTCAAACCGCGGACCTTGTGATCGACAGTCCAGCAACGTATCCACTCGTTCACGACACCTCTACACTGATGATCACTATTAATCTTAAACAACGTATCAAATTAGCAACGCATAAATAGTTTCTTTGCATTTCAGTCAAAACCAATATCGCGAACTCTCGTTAGCATTTTTTTAATTACACCTTGGTCCCTAATTAATTATAGATCTAATCACTTCAGGAGCATGTGGAAGCACTGACTGGAAGGTAAGCAAATCGCTATCAGTCCAGTACAGGGCCTGACCTTTACTTTTTTTTTAGGGAGCCAGCCGGGCTCCTCAAGCACTTTTTCAGGGAGCCCGCAGGGGTTTCAGGGAGCCCAAGTTTATCACGTTTTTTTTGTGGTCATAATAATGGTCATTAACTATTAAAAAATTAAAACACACCGTCACGATACCTTTTTTTATAATCATCAGCGCCGGGACCAGGGAGGGGTGTATTATTAAGTGTAAATGTGACCATGAGGATTAACTGACTGTACTGAAGAATTAATCTTACAACTATTATGAAGCCCTTTGGCTACAGTAACAGTCTAACATTGGACTTTAGGTTTTATCAGAATGAGAATCAGATATAGTCATTGATTATATTTCTCGTGCAATCGTTACCAAACAACACAGGCACTATGTTGAAAGTGTCGACGTGACTCACTGTTTTCATGAATGAAATCTTGCAAATAAAAGCTCAGTCGTAATAGCAGACGAAACGTGATTGAAATAGTCAAATACTTTTTTTTTTTTAATTAATCAAATGACGTATTACTATATGACAGCCAACCCATGGAAGGCTAAATTACTTTCAGTTTACAATAAAAACATTTTGTGAAATACATAAACTGTAAGAAAAAAACACACAACAGTTTATAGTAGTACACAAACCTTGCGAAAACATATGAAAGAAATAATAAATTCATTTATTGATTGCCGTTAAGTTAGTCCAACGACATTCAAGTCAAACTTTTTTATTCCATATTTTATTCTTTTCAGTCCCTTTGACCATTTATACACGCCGTTTTAACGATTGGCTACGAATCTCCCTAATTCGTACATATGTTCACAAAACAACAATCAACCCCTTTTTACACACGCCTTTGAAGTTTGTAGTTCGTAAAATTATGTTCAAACAATAATCAAGTCCATCCAGGTACGCACGCTGAAGAATAAGCACTCACGATCACAATCGCACATGTATCACAAACACGAGTCGACGTAAACATACACTCAGCTCTGGCAACGCAGCGACCACGTGCGTTTGTCTTAGTGTGTACATTCTCTGAGTGCACCGACATACAATGCAGCATGTATTGCGCACTCGTTACGAGTGCGGAGATATAACGTTACCATGCATGGCATTCCTGCACTGATCAGTAGGGGCGCTGGTCCAAGAATGAGGATCGTCCTCATAAACAAGGATATCCTCATAAACGAGGACAAAATGCGTCCTCAAAAATAAGGGTTGTCTGCATTTTTAAGGACGTTTTTTTTCATCGGTGCTCTGGGGGTTTCATGTTACAGAACGGCCTGCTGGCGATGCCAAAAATGGATTCCCCGGGGGAAAATAACCCTAGTTCACCGTCTACTTTTATGGGTTGTCCGTCTTCCCAAGGATTTATTGCTTATAATGTGAAAGTCTCTGTACAATGTCAATGTAAAATGCATCAAGAAAATCATTGCAGAATCCGTTTTTTGCATCGCCAATGCACCGATCAAAAATATGAAACGTCTGCAAAAATGCAGACGGTCCTTATTTTTGAGGACGCATCGGTCCGTGTTTACGAAGACGATCCTCGTTTATGAAGACGATCCTTATTCTCGGACCAGCGCCCCTACTGCTGATCTCGATGTGTTTTCTTTTGCAACTCATTATTCGCGCTGGAGTTGAGCCAATTGTGCCTTGGAATGCCTAGCGCATATTTCATGATTTTGACTGCGGAATTTGGGTTTTTAGATGGATTAAAACATGGATTAAAGTGCTGGTAAGAAACAGCATTTTTCGTGGCTGATACTAGAAAAACTTAGGGAGCCAGCCGGGGCTCCTCAAGCACTTTTTCAGGGAGCCCGCAGGGGTTTCAGTGGCCAATGGCCACCGGGCTCCCGATAAAGTCGAGCCCTGCAGTATCAAATCTCACTTTTTGGGTTAAACTCTTGACCGATTTCAAATGCTTTGTATGAGAAGAAGTGTCCACTAGAATCTAGTGTCTAGTGAACTCCAAAATGCAGGACTCTTTACCGTGACCATGCGAAGCAAAGTAAATCTGGCTGGACATCATGGACATGGACGATTAAATCACTCACAAAGTCACAGTGATTGATATCAAATAAAACCTATAGGCTAGATCCATGATTCACACGCTCAGACACTGTCCCACTCCAGCTCCAACACTCAATTTAATTAAAGGAAGAAGAAGAAAAAAAGGGGCGGGGTATGTTTTCCTAATCCTTCAATTCATTCACCTGTTTCGGCAATTCTTCTCAATGGAAATTGGATGATCATGCCAAGTCAAATTCAGAATCCTGAAATCGAACCTTTATTCATCATTATTCATACCAAAAGCATTACTAAATAAAGTATTTAATGAAGTTATAGGCAATAAAATTTCCACCACGTAAAAATTCAATTATTTAATTAATTACGTGGCTATAATAATGATATAAAATACTGACTTACGTGCAGCTAATCTCTCCTGAAAATTCTGAACTGATCGGATCAGTAGCAGTCTACATGAATCACATGACCATAAAGATTACACGCGAGAAGACTTTAGACGAATGAACCGGTATCATTTAATCTCGCCCATCATACGATTCGCACTCGTACAGACACCGTTCGGTCGATAACGGTATATCTCACCGATCTCAGCAAAAAACCAAAAAAAAATACGTGCTACAACGACTATAATAATTATAGGCCTTCCTTAGATTTTAGGAAAATGAAATGAATGTTGTATTCAGGGGCGGCGATTTCTTTTCACAACTAGGGGGGGGGGGGGAGAGAGACGAAATGCGAGGGACGAGGGAGCGTATTAGATTAACGAGAGGGGCGCGCCCATGCAGTGGCGTAATTAATGAGCAAAAATGTTTTTTTTGATGGGGGGGCGGGGCAGCTAGAAAGAAAAAAATCTTGGCCACCATCCCTCTTACATGTTACATGCAGGCCCCGCGGAACTTTTTTCAAATTGGGGAGGGGGGTGGGGGCTAAATTATTTAAGTTCAGGTAGCTATAGAGCAAAGCGAGGACCAGGGGCGGAGCCCCATAAATATCAAAGTACCGAGGTTACTTATAATAATTATACACTGAAAATCAGGTGATCTTCCGTCCTCAATTCGAATCGTATGGATTTTCGTATGGATGAGGCCTCCGAAAAAAATGTTGTATTTGCCCTTTAAGTGCCAGAACATATGTGTCCGTTGGTCGGAAACCTTTTCTTTTCTTTTTTTTTTATCTCCCTCTTTGGGCTGATAATATCAGTGGCGGATCCAGGAATTTCTTACCGGGGGAGCACAACATCGCATGGCGTGAAATTTATGAAAAACGATGGAGCGATGCGACAAAGCGAGGCGTTAGCGGCGAGGGAGCGAAGCGGCCAAGCGGGGGGTGGGTCTGGGAGGTGATACGAACCCGGGCCCCTCCATGAGTAGGAAGCATTTGCAATTTTAGAACATTATTAGGGGCATATCCAGGCACTTCCTGGAGTTATATGATGTAAAATTGCTTTCTCCTACCCCCTCCAAGAGTAGGGATCTTTTGCAATTGGAGAACCACATGTGGCGCATTAATGTCCACCGGCACTTCCTGGAAAAAAGAGGCCTTCTGATTGGGTAGAAGTTAGAGAAAAGTGATCTCGACGCGAGACGTTTTATATGCCCGTTGCTGCATAATGCACAAAGACAGTGGTCTGGTACTTCACCAGTAGTACTTGCAAAAATTATCTCGAGTGTATAAACTGTGTTGTTATCAAAGGCGTCGCTAGACCTTTTTCAGTGGTGTGGGGACGGGGGTGGATAGGCCACCGATTACCGACAAAACTAGCCACCAATTACCGACAAATATATTAATGCCAATCTCCCAATGTCTAAAAATTTAACCCTATAAACCCGGGGCAAGGAACTAAGTTATTTTTCAGTTTCCCCCCTCCGTCGGGAGCTTTGACACTTCATTAAGTTATTAGAGTAAGAAGACGATTCGGCGTACTGTTCCCGACTCCTAATTCTTGTTTCGCCCCTCCCGCGCGAAACGCAGCTTTTACGTTTCATTTAATTATAAAAGGAAGACGACGGACGATTAGTTATACTGTTTTCGACTCTTAATCCTTGTTTGAATTCAGTTCCCCCCCCCCTCCTCCCGCGCGAAGCGCAGAAGCTTTGATGTTTCATTAAATTATGAGAGAAAGAAGACAATTCGTTGTATTGTATTCGACTCTTAATCCTTGTCTGAATTCAGTTTCCATCCCTCCTGCGAGAAGCTTTGACGTTTCATTAAATTATTAGAGAAAGAAGACAATTCGTTGTACCTCTCTCGACTATTATTCCTAGTCTGAATTCAGTTGCCCTCCTCCCGCGCGAAGCCTCGACGTTTCATTAAATTAGTTCTCTTAATCCTTGTCTGAAGCGAAGCGCGAAAGCTTTGACGTTTCATTAAATTATTAGAGAAAGAAGACAATTCGTTGTACCTCTCTCGACTCTTTATTTTTGTCTGAATATAATTCCCCACCCCCACCTGCGCGAAACGCGGTATCGAAGCTGTGACTTTTCATTAAATTAGTAGAGAAAGAAGACGATTCGTTTTACCGACTCTTAATCATTGTCTGAATTTTCAAAAATGTTTCTTTGTCCGATAAAAAGACACAGTTCGTAGGGGGAAAAAAATTGCCGGCCGACCGACATAATACATCTCCCCGATTTCAAACTTCTGCATTGATATAGTACACGAGGATCGAGCAATCATACCGACACAGCGGACCCGACACAGCAACAAAATTGTCTATGCGTATCTTTGTCGCCCCCTCGACGTGGTGACTCCACCCAACATCCCCCTTTCTCTCTTAGTCCCACCCCTCTTCTCTCAGGCTCTAACCCCCTCTCTCTTTCTCCTGTCTTTCATCCCCCGTTTCTTTTGTTTCCTTTTTCTCGTCGTTTTTCCCTTTTCTCCTTTCTTTTCCTTTCTTTCCTCTCCTTTTTTCTTCTTTTTTCTCTTTCTTTCTTCTCTTCTCTTTCCTTTCTTTCCTTTTCTTTTTTTCTTTTCTTTGCCTTTCCCTTTTTTATTTTTCACGTCATTTATTTAGGAGAACGGAAGATTGATATTGTTAAGTTGTCCGATAACATCGCTAAGTATAAATGTAATGCTGCCTGGGAGAAATTTTAATTATTTAAACATATTTGTGGCGAGCGATCGATCAATCGATCTTATTTACTGGGTGTAAGCCAAAAATTATGTTTAAACATCAGTAAGATTGATTTGATTCGAGATATATCTCATGAATAAAACAGTATAAAGGCTGTATTGTCTCAAACGAGGCTACACAATTAAACTTGGTGCCAACACCATTAAGCCATGCGCCAAATTTAGTAATACATTTCGTGTATAAATAGACCGATCGGTTTCCCAGGATTATTTGGGAGAACGGAAGATTGATATTGTTGAGTTGTCCGATAACATCACTCAGGTTGATTTGATTCGAGATATATCTCATTAATAAAACAGTATATAGGCTGTATTGTCGGTACATGTTAATAATAGTTCACGGAAGGTGGTGAAGAAGAGTGTCAAAAATGTATTAGAAGACGATGCATCAACGTACTGGGAAAAGTCCGTTGAACCATTGCTTTGCCAAGGCCAGATTGCGAAACTACTGACTTTGGAGGACGAAAACCTCACATAGAAATCCATGATGTTACAATTTAACAAAGAGGGTATTAAGTTTTGTAACCAACTCATGTATTGACTCTTTGCCATCATACGCAAATCTTTACAGGTGTGGGAAAAGACTGACAAACAAGCTATTGTCCTTTTTGCCCACTTACAACTGGCACCCTTCACCATATTCTAGCAAACTGTCCAACATTTCTTGAAAGATACGAATGGAGGCACAGTAATATTCTTAGGTATATTTATCGCACTGTGAAAGAGTTCCTCCCTCACGAACAAGTCTATGCCGATATTCAGGGTTTCACTGTTGCGGGCGGAACCATCCCAACGCCCAGATCTCGCCGTTATTTTGGAATCAATGAAACAAATTTAATGCTATTGATCGAATTAACAGGGCCCTTTGAAACAAACACCAATTCTGCTCACACGAGAAAGCTCGAGCGGTACAAAGAACTTGTAGCCGAATTAAGAAACAGTGGTTACAGTGCAGGCGCGGATCCAGGATTTCTTAGGGGGGGGGGGGGGGGGCTTAAATTTGAAAATTGGAGCCAAATATTGATACGTAGTGGTGACCAGCATTGAAGTAATGGGGGGAGGGGCGATTTCCCCCTCCCTCCTCCGCAAAGCGCCGAAGCTTTTACGTTTCATTAATTCATTAGAGAAAGAAGACGATTCGTTGTACCGTTCTCGACTCTTATTCCTCGTCTGAATTCAGTTTTCCCCCTCCCCCCCCCCCTCCCGCGCGAAGCGCGGAAGCTTTGAAATTTCAATTAATTATTTAAGAAAGAAGACGATCCGCTGTACTGTTCTCGTTTCTTAATCTTTGTCTCAATTTAGCCCCCCCCCTCCTGCGCGAAGCGCGGAAGCTTTTACCTTTCATTAAATCATTAGGGAAAGAAGGCGATTCGTTCTACCGTTCTCGACTCATAATCCTCGTCTAAATTCAGTTCCCCCCGCGAAGCGCGGAAGCTTTTACGTTTCATTAAAATATTAGAGAAAGAAGACGATTCGTTGTACCGTTCTCGACTCTTATTCCTCGTCTGAATTCAGTTTCCCCCCCCCCGCCCCACCCCCCTCCTGCGCGAAGCGCGGAAGCTTTGAAATTTCAATTAATTATTTAAGAAAGAAGACGGTTCGATGTACCGTTCTCGCCTCTTAATCCTTGTCTCAATTCAGTCCCCCACCCCTCCTGCGCGAAGCGCGGAACTTTTACCTTTCATTAAATCACTAGGGAAAGAAGGTGATTCGTTGTACCGTTCTCGACTCTTATTCCTCGTCTGAATTCAGCTTCCCCCCCCCTCCCGCGCGAAGCGCGGAAGCTTTGGTATTTCATTTAATTATTAGAGAAACAAGAAAGTTCGTTGTACCGTTCTCGAAAATAATCCTCGTCTGAATTCAGTTTACCCCCCTCCCCCTCCCGTGCGAAGCCCGGCTTTTACGTTTCATTAAATCATTAGGGAAAGAAGGCGATTCGTTGTACCGTTCTCCGCCAGTCCCCCCCCCCCCCCCTGATCAACACTTTGTTTGCGGAAAAATCGCAACTGATCTCCCCTACCCTTCTTCTTTCTCTTTTTTTCGTTCCCTTTCTCTTCTCTTTCCCTTCCCTTCCTTCTCTCTCTTTTAGGTTTGCTGGGAGGTGGGGGGGGGGGGGGAGGCAAGGTTCTTTTGGCCCCCACCCTTCTTCACACCATGTTGGCAGGATTAACCGCAAATTATCTATTTCCCCTTCTTTTCACCCTTTTTTTTCCTCTTCCTCTTTTTCGGTCCCTTTTAGCTCTCCTTTTTTCCCTTTTCCTTCCTTCTCTCTTTTTTTTTGCGTGGGCGGAGGGAGGCAAGGGCCTTTTGCCCTACCCCCACCCCGATCCACAACTTGTTGGCGGGAAAATTGCAACTGATACCCCCTTCTTTTCTTTCCTTCTTCCTC